TAATAAAAGGCACCATAGTATGAAATTGGCAATAATTACTAATAATAGAACAGAACACTTATAACAATAAACTTTAATAAAAGTTCAGTGAATTTGTTCTCTCTGTCTTGGAGAACCAACACAAATAATGTTTTTCAACCATGGTCAACTATAGCAAGTGAAACTAGAGGAAGTAAAACCAGATAAGAGGAACATATGGTATTAAAGTTAAAAATTTTTGCCCTGAGGATTTGTTTTGAGGTTTGAACACAAGATCTCAAACATGGTAGTCAAGCATTCTATCAATTAGCTGTATCCCCAGCCCTTTTTTATTTAATTTAGAGACAGAGTCTCCCTAAGTGACTCAGGCTGGGCTCAAACTTACGATCCTCCTGTCTCAGCCTCCCAAGTTGCCGGGATTACAGGCATGTACTACAGCACTGAGTTTATCCTAAGGATTTTAATGCAAATAATGCTTACAATAGATGCTGAAATCATAGCAATGTGACAGTGATGACCAGCTGTTTCCACTTAGAATTTAATAAATTTTAAATAAATAAAGAATTTTATTATTTATGGAGGTGCTGTTGGCATGCTATGGCCGTGGGCCCTCACCCAGCAAATCCTGCTCAATGCCACAGGAATTATTTAAATTGAATAAAGTTCTGACTCTGCCCCAAGTATAAACTTTCCTGAGAGTGCTGCTGGGTGATGTGTAGACAGTAAAAATGAGGTAGTGTTTTACTGCATTGGAATCAGTCAACGGTTATTTTAAAAATAGCTATAAATTCTATCATCTTTCTTCTAATGGAATTTCTAATATATAAAATATTAATGGCGTTAAAAAAAGAATTTTGCCTTTTCAAGGTTATTTTTTCATCCATGGAAATAAAAGTAAGCCTTTTTGTAATATTAGTGCCATGGAAAGAATAATTTCTCTTCAGTAGAACACAAAAAAATAATTCAGATATGAAATTAGCTAATGGTCATGGGGGAGGGGGATCCTCCATTGAATGTAGAAGTTGGTAAGGTCCTGTCCTTGAATGGGAGCTGACATTCAAGTCTGTCTTGAATTACTTTTTTCATAAAAAGCTTAGGTCAAGCCTGACACAGAAGTGTATACCAATAATCCCAGCAATTTGAGAGGCTGAGGCAGGAGGATCCCAAGTTGGAGTCCAGACACGGCAACTTAGCAAGGACCTGTCTCAAAATAAAAATGAAAGTGGAGGAAAAAAATTCTGGGTATGTAGCTCAGTGCTAGAACATTCCTGAGTTCAATCTCCAGTACCATTATAAAGAATATAGGTCATTTCACATATTATCCTACATCAAAAGAGCAGAGAATTTGCCCTCTATAAATAATAAAATGCCTTATAGAGATATGTTTTATTTAATGTTCAGCATCTCCCAATCCTACTAATCTTCCAAGGAATGTTCTTGGCATAAGTGGTTACTGTGTAGTATTTCCAAAATAAACAACTCTGGTAGCCCTTCCCATTGCTACTCTGGTGACAGAAGCTGCCTGACTTCCTAGTCCCCAGATCCCAGAGAAAACTGTTGTCACACCTCACAAAAAGTAATTACCAAATCACATTTCTCCTGCCAGGGCCTCCTCCTCCCATGGGGAAAGGAAATGAAATTTGACCTGGATTCTTATTTATTTTTTGCTTCCTGTGGTTAAACTCTTAGATTTCAAAATGACTAAGTCAGAGAAAATTTCACAGACTGAAAATCCAACATTACCACATAGAAAACACATATTGTGCCTCTGCTGCTGAGTTTATTATTCTCCCCTGAGTCTGTGGACTCCATTAGCCAAGTAAGATAGCCTTCCCAGGTCTAAGTCCTAGATCCCAAATGTCCTTCTGCCTGTAAATGTGAAGCGTATTCTTAGGGCTGACATTGCAGTTGTCAGTTTTTGCAAGCACACATTATTCTGGGAAGGATAGGACCCTGAGAAAAAGGGTGAGTGGGCACTGGGTCGGGGAGAAGTCTCCAAAGGAATCTTCCAGCTGGGCTCTGAAAAACAAGCCTCTGCTGAAGACCAGAGCCCAGAGGAAGTGGCCTGGATCCCAGGGGGGCCCTGCCAGCTGGAGCAGCTCTGATTGGAATGGCTTTAAAGGGTCACTCTGTGTCAGCCCTGTCCTTCCCTTCCAGTCCTGTCTGACCCACTGCTTCCTCCCTGTGTGGAAGAGCCCTGAGCGTCTCTTGGAGCTTATTCCTGGAAGGTGGAGCACCCTGAGATGGGGGCAGAGAACTTGTTGCATGTTGAAAATTCTGGGCTTCAGGGTGGGAAGAATACCCACCCACCCCAAACACCCCACCTTCCGGAAGGTCACTGCTTATCTTTGAGAAATGCACCTGAGAGGGAGGGGAGTTTTCTAATTGTTTACTTTTAATTATTATTAGTCGTGTTTAATAATCATGCAGAAGGGTGAGCTTCATGGTGGCATATTCTTATAGGCACACAACAAAAGTAGATTGATTTCAATCCCCAGGACCTCCCCTTTCCCTGCCCCTCCCTCCCTCCCATGGTCCCCTTCCCCCTTCCTACTGGAGAGGAAGGGGATTTTAATGAACTGGGTGTGATCAGTCCCCCATTCTGAAAATCCTACAAAATGCAAATAGCATAATTTAGGGCCTAACATGATTCTAACTAAGCCACTTTTTTTTTTTTTCCTGGAACATTGGATGACCTTGAAAGAAAGGAAAAATACTTTCCAGCTCACTTGGAGGGGCTCAGAACAATGTGGGAGAGCTGGGTGTGTGTGTGTGTGTGTGTGTGTGTGTGTGTGTGTGTGTGTCTGTGTGTACGGGTAGAATCTTGCCTCTGAGTTTGACTGATGGCTTCAGCCCATTTAGCTCCAGGCACCAACACCCATGGTGGGAAGCCCAAGGGCCAGTCCCTTCCCTCACACATTCTGCAGTTTAATCCTGAGATTCCAGTGAGAAAGATCAGAAAGGCGAACAAGCCCCGTCTATTGCCCAGGGACGGTGAGTGTAGGATTCTGAAAATAAGAGGGAGAGCCAGGCCTCTGTGGGCTGGAAACATGGGTCCCATCCCTGGGCAGACTTGGTGAAGAACCATGGGTGGGGCAAGCATCTCCAAAATGGGTGTTGGGACACTGCTCTGTGCACACAGCCTGGGCGGTGATCCTGCTCTCTGCTCCACCAGACCAGCCACACTGGCCCCTTCACTGCTTCTGTGTGTGCCAAATTTCTTTCCTCAGAGGGCCTCTGTGCTGTCTGCTCCTGGGCCTGGGGTGCCCGCCTGGGTCTCTGCTGGGCTCATTCAGGGCTCAGAGCAGTTCCCATCCTGAGAAGCCTCCCCTGCCCTCTCTTCCCCTTGACCTCTGGCCCGGACCTTGCAGCCCTCACTACCTTGGCTTTCCAGCTGCTCTTGCTGGGGTATTGTCTGTCTCCCCGCCAGGGCCCTGGCCTGACCTCTGCTTTGTGGAACCCCGATTCTTCTTCATGTGTGTTTAGCGAATGAGTTACATTAAAATTGCATCATTGGCCATTTGACGTAAATGCAGGTGAGTGGAAAGGCTCTTGTTCAGACCGAAGCCACGTGATACGCGGCATTTGGGCACCTTTCAGATTCCCGTGGAATAGCCAGGCAGGAAGGATGAGCTCTTGCCTAGGTGTAAGGACACTTTTATCTTTGTCCTTGTTCAGACTTCATCAAAGCAGTGGGTGGCCTGGTGGTGTAGCAGAGGGAGGGGACCTCATTTCTCAGAGATCTCGTCTTTCATAATCATTTTAAAGATTCAGTTCATTTTTTGAATTTGTAATCCACCCTGCCCACAGGTAAACAACATTTTTATTGTGCTGCTTGGAATCACTCTGGGCAAAAGACACTTAAAGCTTTCTCATACTTGAGCAAAGTATTTGTCCTACAGAAAAATCTTTAAATATAACTATGTAAACAGCAGACACTCAAAAATCAAAAATTCTAGAACCACTTCAACTCCAGGGCCCAAACAGTTAGATGTTGAAGGCCTGTAACATCCAGTGTCTGGGAGAGTCCCTGCCTAGTGACTGTGTTGCGACTCTCATTCTCTGTGGTTGATCACATCCTGCAGCCCTGGAGCAAGGGTCCAAGAGCCTGGAGTGTGGAGGGTGGAACAGAGGAGTCCCAGCCACCCTGGGAAGCCCTCGCCTGGACTCCTTGTCTCTGTGGGACAATTAATTTTCTTCCGTGGGAATTGAAAATCAAGGTTAACTTCTTCTTGAATTCATGAGTATGATATCTTACCTTGTAGGGCTATGGACTTCTTCTCAAATACACTGAAATCTCTTTGATTAATAACCTTTTAGGCCAGGCATGGGGACACATGCCTATAATCCCAGTGATTTGTGAGGCTGAGGCAGAAGGATATCAAGTTCAAAGCCAGCCTCAGCAACTTAGTGAGGCCCTAAGCAACTTAATAAATGACAAAAAGATGCCTGTCTCAAAATAAAAGATAAAAGGGCTGGGGGTGTAACTCAGTGGTTTTATTCCTCTGGGTTCCATCCCCTTACCAAAACAGAAATAAATAAATAATCTTTCAGAAAAATCTTTAGGAAGCAAGCACCTGCCACATCTTGCATGGTATGTATCATGTGACCTAGAGAAGGGAAAATGTGACACTTTGACGGGAGAGGCAGTGAATTGTAGTCTATAATGATCATTTGAGTAACACTTTACCTTTGTATTATTTTTTTAAATCATAAAAGGATCTAGCATTATATTTTTGTAAAAAGAAATTCTGTAATAATATCTGGTGATGACCACATTGGAAACACATGGATTTCCCCTCAAATATTTCTGGGGCATAACTATCTGTTTGTTGTTCTCAATCCTGAAAATGCCATACATTAGATGGGTTTTATGTCACTGTCTTTTTAAGAATGTGGCTTCACATCCTAACAGAGCAGCTTTGGTTATCATACAGACCACACTAAAAAAGCATTCTCTCCATTTTTGGTGAAGATTTTCCTGTAGAGAGCATGACCTTTGATTTCTGCCTCCTTAAAAGCAGGGAGCTGCCCAAGAGAAGGAGGACAGCGATGTTGACCTCACGGCCACTCAGAGCCCCGGTGTGCAGGAATGGCTGGCTCAAGCTCGAACCACAAGGACCCACCAGAGGCAGAACAGTCTCCAGCAACAGAAAGTAAAGCTCCTCTTGCCCTCACTAGCCCACAGATCTGCCAAGGAAAGACCTGGAGGGAAATGCTAAAATTACTAAAATCCAGTTGCTTTGAATGAAGCAAGATGTGATTAGCCTTTCAATGTCTTTACTCATGACCATTGTTATTTTAGAGGGCAGCCTTTCAGGAAATCTTGTTTTTAAGTTTTTAAATAGTATAACTCAACTATAACCCACSTCTGCTTTTAGATTAGCCCTTGTTTGAGTCTTCTACTTTATTACAGTAAAAATTGGGGATGTGACTCAGTGGTAGAGAGCTTGCCTCACATGCTGCTGGTCCCTGGTTCAGCATGCAGCACTGCAAGAAAACAAAACTAAACTCAGGAAGGTCTTGGGGAATTGGTGGAAATCTGAATTTCATGTTTCTTTTTTTCAAAGAAATGTCATTTATTTTTACTTAGACACCATCAGAAAACGTGTTGTAAATTGTTACCTAGTGAAACKATTGAGTTTTATGAATAAGATTTTTTTTTTTTTTTGGTCCTTGATAACACTGTTGTATAAAGGGCAAATTAAAATGTTTAATTTTCCCAAAATACAAATGAGTCTCCTGCAAATAACGAAGGTGAAACCAAATCCGTTGATAATGCAATTTACACAGTAGTGAGCTGGGTGTGGTGGCACACCCTTCYTTGCAATGCCAGCTGCTGGGAGGCTGAAGCAGGAGAATCAAGTCCAAAGGCAGCCTGGGCAATTTAGTGAGAACCTGTCTCCAAATAACGTAGAAGAGTTTGGGGGTCTAGCTCAGCAAAAGCATACTTGCCCAGCTTTATTGAGGCCCTGACTTCATTCATAGCATTTCCAAAAAAAAAAAAATAATAATAATTAAAAAATAAGTGAAGAATAAAGAAAGCTGGTGCTTTCAAGAATCTGTTCTGGCAAACAGGTTTTTTTTTTGTTTGTGTTTTTGTTTTTGAAAAGTGAAAGTTCACTCTATGCCACTAGAGGGCACAATTGTCCAGTAAAATTTTATTTTCCCATTGACCCAGCTTTTTCAAATATTTTTTATCAAAGCAAAAGAAAACTGTATAATACAGATATGTTTGAATATTTATCTAAATTCTATCTTGAAATCATACCTTTTATGTAATGTGCAGATTTAAAGCTTACTGCCAGAGTTCCCTGAGAATTTTCTAAACAGAACTGTGATTGTCAACAATGACCATGAAATGACTAAAAAGTGTTTGCATTTGTCCTCTCCCTTGATCAGGAGCTGGAACAAGAATTAGCTGAACAGAAGAGCCTCCTGCGCTCAGTAGCCAGTCGTGGAGAGGAGATCCTGACCCAGCACTCAGCCTCAGAGGCCTCCGGTGGCCTTGGGTATGTTTCAGAACACTTCAACTTTCTCTTTTTCTAATTGTGTTTCCCCGACACTGGAAGAAATGGGATCAGCTCATTCAAAATTTTATTTCAAATGTCCTATGAAAAATGTGTTCATTTGTTTTCACTTTAGAATACTAAATGTACTTGCACGTTGAGTATTTATTGCAAAGYACAAGCCTCACCAGTAACGGTAAGGGCTAATTTCTTTGCTTACCTTCCCATGTTCTGAGCACATCTGTCTAAAGAAGATGTTCATAAGTTCATTTTCTAAATCAAATAGGAAATGCATTAGAAAATTGAATGTATAATGTTTCTAAGTGAATCATAGGTAACTGCAGAGCATTTCCCCCTAAAGAGCTTATCTTCCTCTATCCACATTCCAAAAAAAAAAAAAAAAAAAAAAAGTATGTAATCTCTAAAATATCTGGACTTTTTTTTTTTCAGTGAGTCAGTTTCTGTAATTTCTACTGTAAAGTCCCTGAGTTTGGAATGGGTCCAGAGTGGAGACTTTGAAAGTCTTAAACACAGAAAAATGTTAAAAGGAAAATGAAGGAAGTTGGAGAATTTCCAAGTTTCAGAATTTGATTAGAAAGGTAGGGAGGTAAAGGTATTGCAACATCGTGGGATAGCTGTAATTTTTAGTCAGCTGTGAGTTTTATTCCAGTTCCAGAGCTATCACCTGGGAAATATCACTCAACTCTGAGCCTCGGGTTGCTCATGTGAAGAATTCAAATAACAAACAACAGCCATCATCACAAAAGTGTTGTGAAACTGGGTGGTTGGCGCATGTCTGAAATCCCAGGGACCCAGGAGGTTGAGGCAGGAGGACTGCAAATTTGAAGCCAGCCTCACCAGCTTAGGGAGACCCTGTCTCAAAATAATAATAATAATATTTTTTTTTAAAGAACTGGGGATGAAGCTCATTCGTTGAACACTGAGCGCCCTGGGTTCAATCCCCAACACCAACAACAGCAACAAAAAAATTGGAACTATCAAACAAGAAGATATATTAGACAACTTAAACTAAAAAAGGTTTCAGCAAAAGCTCTGTGTTTGTGTGTGCTATCTATCTTTCCACAAATAACTTTGACCTTGTTTTCCACTTCTGAACATTTTTCCTCCCCCCAGGGAATATAATGTGAAAGAGGAAAGTATGTACATTATGAAGGTGATTTTTGAAATAATATTAATAATGCCAAATAATTGAAAAGGCAGAAATGCTCTCTGGTGTGGAAAAAAAAAACTAAAGAAAATCTGTGTAAATGTATATCTAAAACTTAACAGTATCATAAAATGTATATACAATACTAGGCAAAAATGTGAATTAAAATTGAAAGTGTAATGTATATGTGGATATAAACTAAGATAGAATATGGATAAATCAAACTAACTTTGGTGAGGGCAGATGGGAAATATTTTTTACTAGAGGTATACATAGCGTTGGGCTCATCCTGACAAACTCAAACATGCATGGAATTTGATTTCAGTTCATGATCCTCCCTCCTTTTCCCTCCCCTCTCCCCTGTACCCTTCCTCTTCTAGACTTCTTTTCACTCATCTATTTATTTATATTTGACTGATTCTTTTAACTAATACATAAAGGTGAAATCCCCTTTGGTATATTTACATGTGCACATGATATGACTTTTTAAAAGAATTCTTTCTGCATTGCCTCCCATTTAGATTGGGGAAATTTTTTTTTAAAAAAAAACTTCTTTATATTTAATCAATGCTGACAGAATGTTGCTGACTATCACATTAGTGCTGATCATATACGTAGATGTAGATATACATATTACTAAATATAGTTATTAAATATTTCCCTGATTTTATAATACTTATATATATAAATGAATCAAAAGTGGTAAATGAGTAAATATGTATTTGAATTTCCAACACATATATACATATATGAATTTCAAAGGCATATGATAAAGGATAAATGACAAGATGCAATTGCAATAGGGTTATTATGACAAAGTACATAGCAATGCAAGACAAGAAAGCAAAACCAAGAAACCAAAAATAGTGACATGGTTAAGACATGTCGATTTAAAAGAATAATGATATTCTTTTAAATCGACATTAATCGATAATAATGAACAACAATGATATTTATAGTTGGGCTGTAAAAATTGTGACCAAAACATGAGGAGTTTTAAAAAAACATCTCTTGTCATCATGTTTGCAAATGGTAATAAGGAGCTGGGGATGCAGCTCAATGGTGGGGCACCTGCCCAGTATGAACAAGGCCCTGGGTTCATGCTCCAGCACTGCACAAAAAGAGGGGGGTGGGGAATAAAAGACAACAAGAGCAGATGAGGTCAGAAATAAGTACACCTGTGTCTGGAGCAAGCCCGTCTCGACTGAGACTTGCCTTCAGTGTGCGTTTTCTGTTTCCAACTCCTCTAAGATGTTTGCCTGTCCCTTGCAGTTTTCTGTTTCTTTCCACAACATTATTTTTACAAAGAGCCCGTGCACACATTTCATCCTCAGGATGTGTATAGTTTCAAAGAAGAAGTAGCTGGGTCTTCTGCAATTTTTTTTGCCATGATTTTTTTTTTCCTTCACTGACCTTCAGTGCTGGAAAGAATCCAAATGACAGACAAACAACTGGAAATTGCTCTTTTCAAATATAAAAGTATTTTTAAAAGAAATTTGCAGAGAAGTACTGGCTTTCTATACAAGATTCACTTTGAAGACTGCTGATAATTTTTTTTCATGTATATAAATTCTTTTACACAAATTCCTTTGAAAACTTACCTTTAAGTGGAGTTGATTTTAGTTCAGCCAGTTCTTTCAAGTCCCTGGGACCAACCAAACAAATAATCATAAATTAAGTGATCTCTAGAAACCAAAGGAAAAGTTGTATTTTGGGTTAGAACAGAATAACATTTCTAGGGGAGAAATATTCATTTTTCATTATATTCATTGTATTTGTTAAGTCTTATAATTATTTGCTGATTTTCTGCAGCTGTCAAATGTGAACTGGTTTGTGTGGGATGCCCCTGTAGGAAGGGCATGACCTGCTTTATATACTCAGAAATTTACTATATAAAGAAATCAAATTTCTTGCATGTATGATTTTGTCAAAATGAACCCAGACACTGCATATAATTATAATGCTCTAATTTAAACAAAAGAAAGCAGCAGCAGCAGCAGCAGCACCTGCATGAAATGTGGTCTTAATAGAGGGCTCCTTTCAAATCTCCTAAGAAAATCAACTGGAAATTTATTGATATAAATGTGAATGGAAAGGACATTTTCCTTGGGGGTAGTGAAACGCTGTGTTTTAACTGAAAACTAATTTGCTGCTGGTTTTGTTTTTTTACATGTGTCAATGATTAAATATAAGAATATGGATCTTAATTCTTCCCCTGTTTTATGATAAATTTTTATGCAAACATAAAAAGAAAACATAATGAAGAGATTTAATTTCATAAGAACTTTAAAACGTTTTTCTTTCTTAAAAAAAAAAAAAAAAACAGAAAAAAATCCAGAGACTAATTGTTGCAAACCCTCAACTAGAGGCATCTGTACCGTTTTGTCTTTTTTTTTTCATTCAATGTTATTTTCTTAGCTCAACCATGTCAAAACAGACTTAGTTCTACATTCTAACTGCTCACTGCTGTTTTACCCTTCCTTCCTTCCCTTTCTTTGCTGTTACTCATATTGGAAGTACCTAGCATGTCTCCAATAGATGGGAGAGATCCTCTGAGTTATATCCTAGAAATAGAATCCCTGCATCACAGGATTGTGGAATCTTAAGTCCTACTTCAAAAGGCTTACCTGAGACACTCCTGTATTTATACATACTCTGAAAAAAAATTGGTTTCAGGGTCACTACCAATGAACTAGTTAGCTGCCAATGAACTTGTTAGTTCTTTCCCCTCAAGCAAAAGGCACTGTCAAAATATTTATTCATAGCTCATGTGCCTTCCAGATGCCATGGTTCTAGTCAGGTCCTCAAAATACCTCCTGACACATTAATATCAGAACTTCAGCTCCCTCGATTATCATTGTCACCATTATCATTTTTATTAGGCTGCATTTATTAAGTGGCTGTTGTTTGCCCCATAGGGTTGTAGGCATTATGTATTTGTTATCTTACTTTCCATAATTCTGTAAGATGGATACCGTCTTCATTTGTAAGGTGAGACAGTTGAGTCTCAGAGGAAGTAACACATTACTCAGTGTCACAAATGCAACATGCTGGAGCAGCGATTCCTTCCCCCCCGCTTCCTGTGCTAAGGAGGGAGCAAGGCCTCATTCATGCTAGGCAGGTGCCTTATTCTGAACCACACTTGTCTCTAGAGAGGGCTCTGATCTAGATGCTCACTCCAAAGCCACAGTTTCTTAGGGTCCCCTCCTTCCCCCAAGCTCTGTCCTTCCAGTGCATGTCYTGACATTCTGTAGGCTCACGTCATGGTAAAACCTCTCATAGACGAGTTAACATTTCAGGGTTTTGAACTAATTTGTAGACTAGATATCAAAGGATGCCGCTCCATAATCATACTGCAGTTTTTGTTAATGTATTTTTAAAATATTCATTATGCTCACAGTTAAATTGTGAATAAGACGATACTTAGTTGTAGTCTCTGTATTTCTGTTTCAATTTATATTTTTAAGGCATAGCTAATGACCAAGGTGATCTTGCTCCAGTTTGTAAGTTCAGGCCTAGGACACACAATGTGACCTCTCTTGTTGCTTTTTTTTTTTGTACACATTGTAAACTTAGACTATTTATTCTTCTAATAGCGAAAAACCTGATGTGTTATCCCAGGAGTTGGGGATGGAAGGGGAGAAATCATCTGCGGAAGACCAGATGAGAATGAAATGGGAAAGCCTGCACCAAGAATTTAGTACCAAGCAGAAACTACTACAGAATGTTCTGGAACAGGAACAAGAGCAAGTGGTATCAAACGTTTTGCTTTTCTATATTAAGAAACATCAGAGATGTGTGCCTTATGCTAAGGGAATGTGTGCAATGATCTATATTTTCATTATCAATTCCAAACTAAGATATGATGCAAATTATTCATCCTATATTTTTCTTAACAAGCCTGCTTCACATTTCCCTTAATAATTGTATATTTCTATGTGAAAATTTATTTGATTTCCAGGTAATATTTTCCTTCAAGCATGATTAATATCTGACTCCTCACTAGCATAGGCCATTAAATTTTATTTTATTTTTTCCCACATGGAAAATTATGGATAAAAATTGAGGATATACACATCCAGGGCAAATGGAATTCCACAAATCTGGAACTAAGTTGTCAAGTCATCTTATTTTCCATGGCTACTTCCAGTATTTAATAATTTTAAAAGGTCTTAATGAAAAACATATTGGAACCTCAGAGGGTCTGAAGGAAGGGAAGCCAGTGGTCAGCTAGAATGGTTACTGACCCCTGTGTCAGGTTGGGTCCTGGGATGGGTACTGTGTGATATTGGGCTTGGTTCCACCGAGCATGCCAAGTTCAAGGGAATTGAATATGGCCACAGAAGGTCCCAGGTAAATAATCACTGTTAGTTCACTCTATGGAGAAGCCAGGGAATAACAGGAAGTCAGAGGAATTTGAGAGTTTGGAGAGTAACCAGGGAGCCAGGAACCCAGTCATGCCTGGGATTCTGCAATAGGAGCCTAGGCCCAGGTCTTGAGCCAGAGCATGTCCATCTAGGCTCATACCAAGACAGCGAATTTTTGTTAGGATGAATTCGAAGACCTTTACTGTTGGTCTTACCACTCTGGGCACAGCTGGCTCAGGGACTGGGGGAGACTGAACTGGAAAGAAAGGCGTCAGTACTGCATGACATCTGGGAGGGCGAAGCAGGAGCTGTCAAAGCAGGCACGAGGATATGGCTATAAGTGGCCAGGACCAACTAAGAAGAGGCATCTAACCTAAGGGCCACAGTGTGTCACCTTGTGTCTGGCGACCCTTGCATATGTGTCTCCAGAGCCATGCATTTCTATCCCACTGTCCAAAGCCACATGGCATGACATGCCTGCTCCCACCTCTCCCGGCTGCTCCAGCCAGGGGGTCTGCGTGAAGAGTCACCAGCTCTGGCCTGGGGAATTTAAAGCATTCGGTTCCTGAAGGCAGCATCTCCTCCAGTGAGCACTTAAATGAGAAAATGGGGACATAGTACCTATGCTCTTAAATAAGGTGTCCCTGTTGGCCTGCAGCTTTACAGCAGGTCAAATCGACTCCTGTCTGGCGTGCCACTGTACAGAGGGGATGGGCAGGCGCAAGACAAATCCGCAGTGACGTCTTTGCTGGATGGACTGAACCAGGCCTTCCAGGAGGTTTCGTCCCAGGTAGGCCTGTGCCCCTGTGTGCTTGTCTTGTCTTGGCTGGGCCTTGCCCTGCTCGCATGGGTCCCCTCTGCCTCTGCAGAGCTGTTCCACCCCTGCGCATGAGCACTGAGAGCCAACAGGAGGGATGAGCCCTGAACCAAAAGCCACTGGTCCCTGGAGTCCCTCCTAGTATTTTTGATTCCTCAAAACACTGTCATGGGTTCCTTATCCCGTACCTGCTGCTTCTCAGGGTGGAGGAGCCAAGAGGCAGAACGTGCACCTGGAGCAAAAGCTGTACGATGGAGTCTCAGCCACCTCCACCTGGCTAGATGAYGTTGAGGAGCGTTTGTTTGTCGCCACCGCACTTCTGCCCGAAGAAACAGAGACGTGTCTCTTCAACCAAGAGGTAAGGATGGCAGATTCTGTGTGAGATTTTAAAGCTCGATGAGTTTTGATAATGAGTAATTAATTTCCAATATGAAGGTATGAATAAAACAGATCTAATGAAGCACAAAGGTGTACTCCCAAGTAACACAGTGCAGGACAGAATTGTTTGAATACAGAAAAGCCTCATAGATATGTATGCCTTTTTTATCCCTTATATTGTGTAAAAAGGGGGAGGAAAAACGCAAAATGCTAGAAAATTATTGCATATCATCAATCTGCCATATAATGAAACACATGCTTTAAAAACAATACTGGATTCCTTCATTGTGCTTTACAAGACTCATTTTTTTTTTGTATCAGTTTGTACTATTATGAGCTAATGATGTAAAGTTGTTGAGAAAAAAAATCTCTTCAAAAGCAACTTTCCACTGGGCACAATGGCACATACCTGTAATCCCAGTGGCTAGGGAGGCTGAGGCAAGAGGATCAAGAGTTCAAAGCCAGCAAAAGTGAGGTCCTAAGCAACTCAGTGAGAACCTGTCTCTAAATAAAATACAAAATGGGGCTGGGGATGTGGCTCAGTGGTTGAGCGCCCCTGASTTCAATCCCTGGTACTCTGACCCCCCAAAAAACCCCAACTTTCCTATTATGCATAGAAGTCTGGGGAAAAAAAGATGAATTGGCCTTGATGTAGAGATTAATAAGCAGTAAGATTTAGTGGATTTTCTATGAGGAAATGACTTTTTTGCATACTGATTCAACGATCTAAACACAGAAACAAAGTTTCTCCTTTATCAACCCTAGGCCCTTGCCAAAGACATCAAGGAAATGTCTGAAGAAATGGATAAGAATAAGAACTTGTTTTCCCAAACTTTTCCTGAGAATGGCGATAACCGGGATGTCATTGAAGATACTTTGGGGTGTCTTTTGGGCAGATTGTCCTTACTAGACACAGTAGTGAATCAGCGATGTCATCASATGAAGGAAAGACTTCAGCAAATACTAAATTTCCAGGTAAAGAGGAGTTTTCTGTTTTTTCCATTTTTAGGATACAGTCAGTAATAATCAACAGGGTGTCTCATTGAGGTAAGAAAATCTTTTTTTCTTTCAAGTGTTCAATGAAGAGCAAGAGAATTACATGCAGATGGAACTATAGGATTAGAAAACAAAATGTTTCATGCTTCTAGAAATGGAAGGTTGAGAAAACGACTCTAAGTGCTGAGTAAAAAACTTAACTTCAACCAAAAAAGTCAAATTTTTTGCTTATTATAATCAAAGTTTCCAGGGGCAGTAGTGGAGTTCTGTATATATTACCCAAGAACATGCTGCAGCTGCTACGATGTGGAAGGTACCCCAGGCTTCAGTACCCGAGAGGTTTCTGATTGCTTCTACCTGTGTTGAAATGTATGGCACTGCCTTCCAACCCTCACCCTCAGACTCACTACCTTTTTGCTTCATTTTGGAATTCTACACAATTATTTCGATGTCAACTAAATAGTAGTATGGTCATGAAACTTTTCTTATATGAGGGTACAYTAAAACAAATGCAAGAGCTGCTGATAAACTTTTAATATTGATTTTTCATTCCTAGTAAAATGCACCATGTGGAAATATTTAATTTTAATTGGATGCTTTTTTTTTTTAGAAAACATTCTAGATATACAAAATAGATGCTTCTAATTAGTCTAGCTCACAGATTGATACAAAATTTTGATTTGCAAAAAAAGAAAATACTAATATCAAATGAATTCTGTATTTACTTAGACATGTGGAATTTTCTAGATAGCCATCTAGTGCGACAAATTACCACTACCTTCCAGAAGTCTACATTCTTAAAACTATCCATTAAAAGTGTTGCAATCGTGTGGGTTTTTTTTGGACTGGAGAGTGAACCCAGGGGTGCTTTACCACTGAGCTACATTCCCCCCACCACCACTTTTTTTTTTAAATCTATTTTTAGCACAGTCACATTAAGTTGCTGAGGTTGACTCAAACTTATGTTTTATTCATACACACAGATTTCAGATGTGTTATTGTATTTAATCAATTCAGTATCCCTATGTGTTAATTTTGCACTCTGGGTTCAAAATCTGGCTCTGTCCCTTACTGTAGTATAAGCTGCTTATCTTCTCTAAGCAGTTAATATCTTCAACTATTAAATCACACTCTTAGTAATTTTCTCCTAGTGCTGTAAGAACAAAATAAGTTAAAATATGTGAAGTGCTCTAAGCAGTGCCTGATACATGGGCACCCAGCCAATTTTTGTTGTTGTAGTTGTTCTTGCTAATAAGCGTAGTGGTAGAGGATCTAAAACCAAGAGAAAGGTTGAATTACTCCTTCATGGTTATCAAAGAGCACTTTTCTATTTTATATTATGGCAAGAGAGATGGAGACTAATAGTCCTCTGAAGATACATTCTGAAGGCAGAGCCAGATGGAAAGCGTTTGTTGATGGTTTGATGTAGAGAATGAGAGACAGGGGGAATGCCCAAGAGCTCYAGGGATTCTGACTTGCCCCTTTGGGGCCCTTGACCAGCAGAGAAGGCTGGTGGATAGCAGTGGGCACGCCCAGGTTACTTGTGGTACCATTGATTGCGATATGGGGCACAGAGTCACAGTAGACATTTGTGTATGCAGGTCTGTGGCATGGAGGAATAGTCTGGAAGGGACATTCACATCTGTGCCTTTAGGTTGTGTAGTACATAGCGAGGAAAAAAAATTCACTTCAAGTCAGAAAAGCAGGGATTATTGTTTAAGTGTTTTGTTTCAGATGCATATTTGATTGCATGTAAATATACTAAGTATGTCTTAAACAGACCATTATGTAATTTATGAAAATTTTTTTCATTTCTCTAAAATTCATCTTTCATGAACTAATATACTGAGTTTTAACAGCATGCTAGTCTATCAGCCGTGCATGAGGGGAGAGTAACTGTGAAAATGTATGTGTTTCTCAAAGGTGCATTTTGCTTTTTTGAATTGCATTTCTTATATTATTGTCCTGACATTTTAAAATTTTGTTGGTAATTATAACCAGTCACAGGAAAATATGAACTAAGCATGAGTACTTTGGAACTAGGAGAAGAACATGCAATCACAAAACTCTCTTTAAATCATGTTCTCTATTTTCCTTTTGCCAACAAGTTTCTACTTGTTGGTGGCCAGCTCACCAACAAAAACTGACAATTCAAATGTTTTTGTTCCAATTTAATTGAAAAAAGAGTTCCAATGGTAATATAATGAAGGATCAAGTCTCAAACCATTTGCTCTTACTTTGTACCAAGCACCTGGTGTGCTGTCAGTGCTCAAGAGTTGTTGAAATGGCATGTCCTCCTTTTCCAAGCCAGCTTTGAGCATCAACTTTTGCCAGACTCTTAACACAATTCTAAATCCAATGACAATGTGGAAGGGTCCCTAGATGCTATGTCTGTTATGTCTATTATGCTTGTGGAACCACAGGCAAGTCAAACTGTCAACTTCTGAATTTATTTTTTTGTCTCATAGACTTAATCCAAAATAACTTTCCTAAATAGGTAATTCAGTATTTGAAGTCATTTTTTAAAGTGAAAAAAAAGAATCATTAATGAAAGAGTGAGGCAGTATCACTAATTTTAAAGCTTGAAACTTTCCATGGACCCTGATCCTCAACAACCAGAACCCTGCCCCTTTATACCCTCCTAGTAGCTCCACTGACTACAAAAAAAAAAAAAAAATAGGACATATTATCTTACTATATAGATAACTTGATCATCTTGCTGTATCATTAGTAATAATAATTGGTTAAATCTTTTGGGGTTTTAATCATAATGAATTTTTAATCTTAAGAAAATACCAATGTTGGTAAGATTATTAGCACCTTTTAATATTTTTATTTAGTAAGTTTTAAATCAATCACATTATTATCTATCTTCTTGAGTAATCTCTCTCTCTCTCTCACAATAATTAGTGTGGCTTCCAGAAATGTAATCTTGGTTCCTATTATCTTCAGTAGAACATAGTTAAGAGAAAATGCACTATTAAAAATATAAAAATGACATATGAGAAGTAAACACGCATTCTTCATTTCTAACCTATGAAATGTATACTGTTACCCTTTAGATTAATTAAACTGACTTTATTATAAATATATGGATATAGTGGAGACTTTATTGCTTTTATATCTGTTCAAGTGAATGAGAAACATCTTTCACTGTGCTTACAAGATAAGTGTGTGATGATTCTAATGGCATGTATGACCTTACCTTGAACACATTGAGTAAATGCAAATGTTATCAGAATTCATGCAAATGATTCAGGTTTTCAATGCTGCTATAATAATTTATTTAGTTGGCCTCTGAGCTTGAACATGGGTTTGAATTCCTCTTCCTCCTCCTCTTCCTCCTTCTGCTTCTTCTTCTTCTTCTCCTTCTCTCTCTCTCTCTCTCTCTCTCTCTCTCTCTCTCTCTCTCTCTCTCTCTCCCTCCCTCTCCCTCCCTCCCTCCCTCCCTCTCCCTCTCCCTCTCCCTCTCTCTCTGTCCATTTTCTTGTTTCTTTTTTTCAATGTTAGGGATGGAACCCAGGACCTAGCATATACTAGGCAAGCTCTCTACCAGGAAGCTCCACCCCCAGCCCTCCATGTTCTCCCCTGCATAATCCACCCATTCCTTTGCCTTTTGGCCCTGCATTTGCAATATCACACCTCCACATGGCCTTAAAGTTGGTTTCTTTTCCTTGCTATGGTTATCCTTCCCTTAAGTCAGGATTCTTGCACATGGACTCTGTATTCTCATACTTGCCCCCAGTGAGGAGGACGTGAAGAGCTGAGCTTCATCCTCCGATGAGCAGCCAGTCCTGCATATGTGTTGGGTGACTAATACGATACAGAATTTTAATATTGCTGATGTTTCTGGGAAGTTTGGAAGTGTTTTAATGTAAATATTGTTACAACTCCTTATTTCCTTTGACATTGAGTACCGAAGTTCTGAGAGCTCTCTCCTTTTTTGTAAGAGTCTAACTGCATATAAGTATATTGAACATTTAAATGAATCTTTAGGAACAAATAACGTGACTAAGACCTTTTAGTGTTGTCTCTTAAAGTCTCTGGTCCTAATAGATAATATTTATTTTCTTAACTTCTGGATGGAATTTTATAAAAAGTTGCACAAATTCTTTGAAAAGAATTGAAGAAGACAGTAAGGAAAGGAGAAGAAAGAGAATGAAAAGAAAAATATATTATTCCTAAAAATCATATTATTTCCCAAACTGGGAAACACCTGTAGATTGTTTTCTTAGATAAAAATAATTCTATTACTACTGAAATATTCAAATGTGTTCATTTATTTCAGATTTAACAAAATTAAGAAGACCAGTATTATTTATTACTTATATATGTCAACTCCCTTTCATTATGTGGAAAATGCTTTGTGTAGTAAATTCTTCAAAAGTCAAGTTTTAGGGCTGAGCATATGGCTCAGTTGATAGAGTGTTTGCCTCACAGGGACAAGGCCCTGGTTCAATCCCCAGCACCACCAAAAAAAAAAAAAAAATCAATTTTAGCCCCAAGATAAACAGTTACTAGTCCCTTTTACCTTCCCATGAAACATTTTTGTTTCTCCTGAAAATTAAATCCTACACAACTACCATCAACCCTGAATATCTGTGGGTTATACACCCACTGATTCAATCAAGCACTGATTGAAAATATTTAGGGAAACAATTGTGTGCACTCGTGTGTGCTTTTCCCCTGCAATGGCATTTACCTGTGAGGTATTATAAGCAATCTGGTGTTTGGGAGGATGTGTACAGGTCGTATGCAAATTTTATATCAACTTCTATAAGACATTTGAACATCCCTGGATTTTTGTATTGGGGGGTGGGGGGTCCTGGAAACAATTCCTACAGATACCAAGGGATAACTTGGTATAATTTCTAGAAATCTATATTATATTTAGGATCATTTTGAATTCTCTGTTACACATGCTAAGTCTTCCTGTTGTTTTCCTCCTTAGAATGACCTGAAGGTGCTGTTTACATCATTGGCTGACAATAAATACATCATTCTGCAGAAACTGGCAAATGTGTTTGAACAGCCTGTAGCAGAACAAATAGAGGTATTTGCAGCTGCCTTCTACTAGAAAAGCAAATGCACAAATATCTGGTGTATTATGACGTTTCAAAGAGTCTATGAAAGATTAATGGCTTATTGTGGCATTTTTTTGTTTGTCATATATTTTCGTTTTGAATGCTGGATTTGAATATCATATCTGGTGACACTGACTCTTGTCACTTCTGTGTGGACCTAGAAAATGTAAGATAGGTAAAGGTGTCAGTGACAGATGCTGATCTGAAGAAGTTTGCTACCCAACAATGTGATTAAACATGTTCCCAAGGACAGAAGGTCAGGCTGTCCTTGGAATGGTAGAAAGAACTCTAGACATTCAGAAGGGGGTAAATTACCTCCAGCAGATAGAGAGTCTGGGAAGACTTCGTAGAAGGAAATTGGACATGCAGGAGATTTGGACACATAGTGACTTAGAAGGAAGGTACCAAAGTCCAACAAGAAAAAAGGCATAAATTCAGGAGACACAGGTAATCCAGTCAGTTGAATTTAGCACGGATGAAAACTATGGAAAAGAAATAAGATCGGATGAGTAAACTTGAAGTAGTCTGGAGGGCCTGCAGAATGTCATATAGTTTGATTATTCTGTAAACCAGGGGTCTCTACAATTCATTGATTATATACCCCATTATTTAAGAATAATAAATAGATATACACCACAACTACATGCGTATTTACTTATAAATTATAAGCAGGCACCATGCTATCTCAGAAAGCATATACAAAAATGAAAATTAAGAATGATTGTGGTCAAATGCATAGTGTTTCATCCTGGTTGATCAACTTGCAATCTTCCGGGTACTTTTACTCACCTTGGAGAGTCCTGGCAGAGGAAAGTCATGAGGATGTTGGAGAGGAAGAATGGATGTCCGTTCCAGGTCCCTTTTGTGGATGGCCATCATGGCAGCAGCAGGCTTAGGAAGCAGGAAGCTGCCCTGAGGAGAAAGTTTGAGAATGTGAACCAGGGTGTTGACAATGAAAACAGAGAGAGGTCAAGAAATGAGAAGGACACTACACATCAGCTACTAGGCATGATGGGAAGTGTGTGTTGAGTGGAATTTTTTACCTCATTTCTGTGGACCCCAAGGGATCTTTGGGTAAACCACAAAGAATAACCTGCAATAGAAATCTCCCACAATACATACGTGAGAGGGAGACCTGAAATCATTTGCAGAATAACATGTGAATCTGCATTTTTATCGACCCTAGTTTCATCTGATTTTAGAAGAGATTTCTCATTTACCCCCAATTAAAAATCATTGTTATATTATATCTTCCACATGAAAAGATCTTTTAATTTTTTTGTTTATAACACATGTGATTCCAAATGAGATTTGAACACCCGTGGTGATATCTTGTGTTAGACTTCTTATGTGAAAAAAAAGATAGATGTGATCACAAGTAACATTTTTTTTTACTAATTATTGACCAATATAACTAAATAAATGTCACTGAATAAACAATTTGATTATCTATTTGAGTAAATGGAAAGCAGCTCATGAGTGTGCTAATTCCACTCCTATCCTTCTTGGATTAAAAAGGTAAAAATAGCAGAAGGCATGCAATGCCACTCCTCAGGGTATTTGCTCCTCACCTGAGTCACAGGGCTCCCCCTAGAACACACCTGTTGCAGGTGAGCTTGGTGCATAGCTGTCTTCTTAGGCTGCCCCTACATTTCTCCCTCTACTGCACCTACTCTTTGCTGAGTCCTGAGCCTTTCTTTTTGTTAGATTGCTTTCTTGTTTTATTAGTGCATATGCTTCCTAAGAAAGTGTACATGATAGCTATATTTTCAAGCTCTTGCATGTTGACATATTCTTATCCTATGTTCACATTTGATTGTTTGGCACTTTATAGAATTCTTGCTTAGAAATTTCTTTTGGAGTTTGGAAGCTTTGACTACATTGTTTTTTTTAGATTCCAGTGTCAGATTGAGGAATCTAAAAATCATCCCGACTCCCTAAGATCCCCAGTGCTCTGAAATTTCTCAATCACATGCCTTGGGGGAGGGTCTATTTTTATCCATTGGGCTGGGAACTCAATGGGCTTTTTTAATTTTGCAAAATTCTCATCTTTCCATTCTGGAAACTTTTCTAGTCATTTATTTAATATTTTTTTTTATTTCTTCAGTTTGTATGTCTCCCTTTTCAATCATATATTGGATATTTTTGTCCAATCCTCTAATATTTTTAATCAAGAAATCTTTTTCTCTCTCTGTCCTTTTGCTCTATTTTCTGGGACTCTTCTTCAGTTTCAGCTCCATCCATTTCTTATTTTGTGGTTAATTTTCCCAAGCTTATTTTGATTCTCTGAATCATCCTTTTTTATAGTATCCTGTTCTTTTTTTAATGAGTGCATTATCTTTTGTAATCTCTCTGGGTACATTAATGATTTATTTGTTGGTTGAAAATTTTCTGTATAATCTGTTTTGCTCCGAGTTGTTTTTATTTGTTTACTTAGGTCATTCTCTGTCTTTCATGTTGGAGGTTTTTCTGAGGTATACAGGCATGTTTTATTGTCTGTTTACATTTAGGTTGAGGACAAAACAGCAGAATGGGAACTTTAAGTAAGGATGGAGCTTGACAAGTTTGAGATAGTGAAGGGTGATGTGTGGGGGCCATTTTGGAAAATCTTTRTGTCCAATTTTTAGGGCTTCTCTACTGGTCTTAAGAGATTTTTTTCCTTCAATCTATACTACTGTCCATGGCAGTTCTTGAAAGAGAAAAAGACTTGAGCATTGTATATGGCATTTTATCATTTTATTCCCCAGTTTTCAATCAAGCACTTACCTTCTCCCAGAAAATGAACTGTCAGTCTTTCACCAGGGAGGGGAAGGGGCAGTGTGGAGTGAGGAGGGGACCTGGGGATTTAACTGCTCTTCAGGTAGCTTCTTACCAGCCCTCTTTCTCAGCACCCTCCTCCTTGACTCAGAGTTCCTGAGATTCCCATGGTTCTAAATTTGATGGTGTGGATCTTCTGAATCTAGTGGTGTGGATCTGCTGTAAGATTAGGATTAAGCTCCCACACTTTCTAAGTCATGTTTCATGTGCTCTTCCCAACTTCAGCTTCCAGGATTTTGTTGGTATTATCTTCTTGTTCCCTTGCCGTTGTGGATTTATGGGGGTAACACTCCAAAAACTAGCAAGCAAAATGTTTGGTGTGATTGCAATGAAATTTTAGAAAAGAAAAAATACTGGACACACCACGCGTGCTTCATCTGCCATCTGGAGTTCAGGTTCTTTTCAGCCTTCAAGGACAACTGATACTGCACTTCTTCCAGGAGCCTCCTTAGCCCAGGATTTGCTGGTCTGTTATGTCTCTTCTCCAGACTCCTTTAGTGGAGAAGGGTTGCACCATAAAGTTTAGCACTTAATTGTGTTCAGCCTTGTTTGTTTTCCTCTGTCTTCCTGACCAGACCATCAGCTCCTTGAGGTCCAGGATGAGATCTTGTGCTTTTTCTACTAAAGACAAAGCTCTGCAATGGCAGCCACTTTGCTAGTTTCTGCTTGGTTTATTTTCCATTTTACAACAATGAGAGAGCCTCCTCACCACGCTGTCAGATATCTCCTGTTGCCTTCCTGCGTCTCTCTCCAAAGGTGCTTCCCGCTGCATTTCAGGAAACAAGACATGATACCCTAGAAAATGTTATGCAAATACTTTTGCCAACATATTCTACATCTTGCTTCCTGTTTAGGTATTTCTATTCACCCAGCCCTTCTCCCAATCCTCAACCCCACATCCTTCCTACCTCCTTATCTCTAAAAAGGTAGGGCTGTACTGTAATAAAGGGGTTTCTTCTCTTTTTAAAATATGACCATGCTCTTTATGTTTTGTTGATGTGACTCATTTTTGTTTGTTTGTTTGTTTTTGTTTGTTTGTAGAGGGAAGAAGAACAAATAGAGCCACAAAAATCAGACTTTGTGCAGGAGTGGGGGTGGGGGTGGAATTGTCCTTAGGAGTTTAATGAAATGACATAAATCTTACCTAGGCAATACAACAGGCGGAAGAGGGACTAAAGGAACTGGATGCAGGAATCACTGAATTAAAAAGGCGTGGTGACAAATTGCAGATGGAGCAGGCTTCCCTGCAAGAACTCTCCAAGCTCCAGGTACAGTCTTCAGTGGACTCTATCCAGGTGCAGAGGTACATTCTAACTCAGGGTTGATAAAATATTATTCTATTTCCTTGGCTTTCTTTTTTTTTTAGGTTTTTTATTTAGTTGTAGGTGGACACAATACCTTTATTTTATTTTTATGTGGTGCTGAGGATTGAACCCAGTGCCTCCCACATTCAGGGTGAGTACTCTATTGCTGAGCTACAACCCCAGCCCCTTTCCTTGGCTTTCTTTATAAAACCCCAAATTTAGGTCTCAACCTTTCTTCCATGTAAGTCTTAGAAACTTTTCTTAAGCTTTTCTCATATTTAGTGCAATAAAATGAATTACATTCACATACTTCTAAGATTCACATTTTTTTCTGATATTTGCATTATTATTCTGGTGGCTAAAAATATTATGATCTAGTTCAATAGTAACTTACTGTCTTCGACTCAGAAGATAAAAATTATGACCACTCCTACTTAGATAAGTTAAAACGGGAATAGGACTATATTTCATTATCTCCCCAAGTATTGAAGTAATACTTTTTAAAAAAAGGTTTTTTAATATTAAAAAACTGTAGCTTATTTTTCTATACATGCAGAATGGAGACATTGTTTCAATTCTAGAACAACAGCAAAAGAGAAAAATTGAAAAAGTAGAAAGTGGTTGAAATCTAATAGACTTCCTGGCATCCKTAGGAACAGAGAATAATATTTGGAGATAATTTGCTTTTCTAGATCAGATACAAGCAAAAGTCTGATATCAGGGTGGGAAGACAATTGTAAGATACTTGACCAGTGAAATTTAGCATCTGACAATGTAGTTATGTTATATTAAGAAAAAATTATGCACAGGCACGTACAGTCAGAGTCTCTCTCTCTCTCTCTCTCTCTCTCTCTCTCTCTCTCTCTCAACCACACACACAAACACAAAGACACACACACACACCTAAATACACACACACACACACACACACACACACACGGGTTTCTCTGAATGTCTATTGCAAAACAATTGAGGATTATAGTATGAGTCAAGTCCAAGGTCACAAGTTCCTTCTTTGGAGAACATGAAATAGCTCTTAGAAGCAAAAGGCCATTTCCATTTTAACTGCCCCATTCCTTTATCTAGCATTGCACAGTGTCATAATCCCAAAGCTTTGCCTTGCACTTTTTAGATGGTTTCCCACCAGAGCTTCAGTGTCAGGTGTAAGAGTCCAACATCACAGCTGCAAATCGGCATTAAGGCTGAACTTTTCCAGGCTGAATCTTCTGGCTGCTCATCCTTGAGATGATGCACTGAGCAGGTCCATGTGCCTCCAGTAAATTTTCTGTTTGGCACATCATCGTCTCCTGGAATGTCTTCCCAGATTAAATGGTTATTTACTCACCACATTTGGCGAAAACATGGTCCTTTTAAGTCTTCAAGTCTTTCTGCTCACATCAAACTCCTCTGTTTCTCTAGCTCTTTATTTCAAAGACAATCCCAAATCTGATATCGTTTAGCAGACAGAAATGTTAAGGATACTGTATTCAATTATTCTAAAATTATATAAATGCTGAGAACATTGTAAAAATTAAAATTGTATTTTCTATGACACCCCCTCAGCCACATGGACACTTTTTCACCATGTTCAGCCCACATCTCATTGCAGACTGTTGGCTTTCCTGAGAATAGAGTTGTCAAATCTGTCTCCTGCGCCATCTCTAGGAAACTCTTTTTTATGTCCTTTGGAATCTTAAAATATTGAGCTTATTTTTTTATAGGCATAATTTTTTTTTAGATTTTTAGCTTTTTTTCCCCTTATATCTTTATTTTCAAGTCYATCTAAATTGTATTCTGGTGTATAGCACCTGGTAAGGCTCTGATTTTACTTTTCTCCAAAATAGTTATTTCCACATTATTGCATATTTTATCCTTTGCTCCACTGACTCCATCCTTAAATTCTCGTGAATGCAGTTCTTTTTTCTTCAATTCCTCTTTTATGCTTTATTGCCTATCAATATAAAGCAAAGTTAAATTAAAACAAAAACTAAACAGAATACTGAGCAAAATTAATTTATTAAATTAATGAATTTAATTAAGCGAACTTGTATGAAGTCATTGTAAAGCCACAGGTCTGTAAACCACATATTGTAGGCATTGGAACAGAAGTCAAGAGCTTGCAGTTTTTGAAAGAAGTCTTCCAAACGAGGCTCATAAGAGAGATAGGCAGGTGATCTACATGCAGAGGAGACCTGTGGGTCATAGCAGAAGGAGCTTCCTTGGTTAGGTAGTGGACCTGGCAAGTAGCACACACTGAACAAGGTGCCAGACTGTCAACTGAGAGTGATTGTCACCATCTCTGTGTCTTAGGACATGTATGATGAGCTGATGATGACCATTGGCTCTCGGAAGAGTGGTCTGAACCAAAATCTTGCTCTCAAGAGCCAGTATGAAAGGGCCTTGCAAGATCTGGCTGACCTGCTAGAAACCGGACGAGAGAAGATGGCAGGTGACCAGAAAATCACTGTGTCTTCCAAAGAGGAAATCCAACAACTGCTCCACAAACATAAGGTAAGAGAAAGAGGGAAAGAAAATGTGGTTGTGAAAACATTCTCAAGTCCTGATATATATTTAGTAACACCTACTATCCTAAGTCTTTTATAAATTTCTATTTACATAATTTATTCTTTATAGTGATCACTAAAAATGTATCTTAAACCCACTAGCGTTTAGTAACACAGAGAAATTATGGTGTTTCTAAGATTTTGTAAATTAAATTAACTTAATTATATATTTCTATAATTCTGTAAATTAAAAGAATAACTACAAGTAGTTTTGCTTCTCGGTTACCCACTAGGATTTAAAGGCTTTCTTCTTACATTAACCATAACCAAGGAGAAACTCAAGGACTCCCTTCAGAGGATCCCAGCTTCATTTTTAACTCTACTTTTTCCTGTACGTCTCTTGTGGTCATTGGTTCATCTAGCCCTGGGGCTGTCTCTGCCCTCTCTTGCCCTGGCCTAGGACTCCCAGCTCTGCTCTGGGAATGCAGAGCTGCCCGCTCAGGCCTGGGTTGGGGTTTATATCCTCTCCATGCGTCATTCAGTTCTGCCTTTAAACACATGCTTCTTCAGTTGCTGTGAACCTTGGAGATTTTCCTGGGGACACTGAGTCCAATTACTTCATAATCAAACTTGGTAAGCCTGAGATTTCACCATCTGTGTGGGCCAAACTCAGGTTGGACAGTAGTGCTTAGTGAAAGAAGACCTCTTTAAYATACACACCACAACTAACGCTTGCATTCCTTAGCAATGACCATGGAAAGTTTCCAAGTCCAGAAACCTAGCTTCCCAGGCCACAGGAATTCCCTGTAAGGAAACAAACAAGCAAATACATCCCTGTGGGTTGTAGGTGGTTAACATATTCTACCATGATGTAGCTCTGGTGGTTTACATTGGTAGATGTTGGGAACTGGGGGAAGGGAATTGGGATTTCTTGCTATTTTTTTTTCCCAGAGGTTTTTATCCAAAGTTTTATGATTTATTAAGGCTTTATCATTTGGCTTTGAAAACATTGCTTTAAAGTTCACAGCTGGTTTTTCTCAAATCTGACCGTAGCCATAAAAAATCATTCTGAGTTATTCCAGAAGGAAAGCTAGGATCAATGAATAAAAATAACAAAGAAATAAAGCTCAGTAGAAGACAAACTCTGAAAGGAGTAGGCTGTCCCTGAGCAGAAGCCTCCATGGTCATGAGAAGTCCAGCCAAGGCTGTCGGGTGGGATGGGGGATTAGGGATGGGGGGTAGGGAGGGAGCTTGAGGGAGGAATCTCAGCTCTCTGCGCATCTTGGCTAAACAACCTCCAAGATCCCTTCCAACTTTAAGATTCTTTGATAAAATAATTSTCGGTTAAAAATAAAGATCTAGCTTCCACTAACAAGCCCATGTTCYGAGCAAGAGTTCTACAGTGTTGGCAGGGAGCATAGATATAGCGGTTGATATTTCACAGCTCTGCTGTGACTAGCTGGGCATCTGTGAGTGAGCTACCTGGAGGGGCAGGGTAGCTCGCTGTTCTCCTCTGTATATGGAAACAAAGCTACCCATCTCAGAGAGCCATGGGTTTAGCATGAGGATGACACGAGTCAGGTAAAGAGTTAATGGAGCACCCAGCAAGCAGTAAACACACAATTAATGGTGTATGTTCTTATCCGCTTTCATTCAACATCCAACATCCATTCTCAGCATTCCAGTTCTATAATTCTGTCCATGGTGCTGGGTATAGAAAATAGAATAAGGCCTATTTCCATCTTCTAGAATCTACTACACATGACAAGTAGTATTTCAAAGATGTTCATAATGTCACACAAGGCCTTCGATACTGTGGAGGTAAAATATGAAGAAAATTTTTAAATATTTAATTGGTGAACATCAAACTATGTTTGGAAGCAAAAAATAAGTACAGCAAATAGTTTGGAAGTTCAGAAAGTAGTGCTCAGACCCAGCCATGGATGGAGAGTCATTAACTGTGTTATGTGAGAACATCTTGAGAAGAACAGAGTTAAACAGGGGCTGGAAATAGGGTGTGAGGGACTGGAGATAGGGTATGGCCAAAGAATCCAGCAGGCCACTGGTGTGGTGGGGTTAGTGAGAGGCAGTGTCAGGGAAGTAAGGAAGGCCAGAGTGCAAGGGATGAGGTATTAGAGGGCAGAGGAGATTCTGTTAAGCAGCTGGTCATCTATGAAGAGTTTGGTTTGGAGGCCATTGTGGCTAATATACAGTAGTGTACAGGATGCACTTAGATGGGGAGAAGAGGCCAGGCAGGAGACCAGAACCCCTGTCTGGTCAGGAAGCCTCTTCAGGAAGTGATGCGTACCCGGGCCAAGAATGAGATGAGAACAGAACAGGTGGCATGGTACCACCCATCTATTAAATGAGCCTCATCAGCTTTCATCGTTGGAGCAATGTTTATCTGGAAGTAGTGTCTGAATGGATTGCTGACCTCTTTCTACCTGCAAAATTGCAGGAGTACTTTCAGGGCCTGGAATCTCACATGATCTTGACAGAAACACTCTTCAGAAAGATCATCAGCTTTGCAGTCCCAAAAGAAACCCAGTTCCACACAGAGCTGATGGCTCAGGCATCCGCTGTCCTGAAGGGGGCTCACAAGAGAGGCGTGGAGCTGGAGTACATTCTAGAGGTGAGACTGTGGCCAATGCAGYACCTTCCCCGCTGCAGGGCAGACCTTCAGGGAGAGATGAAGTTTATCTCCTGGAACCTTGGAGCTGGCTGGGCCATCTGGTCCAGTATTGTGGTTTTTTTATGGCTATGTGATGCCTTGATCCTCTTGTAGTTCCTATTTACATGTGGGTATGTGCTGTACCATGTTGTAAGTCAGCTGGATGAATACTGACCTCAGACTGCATGAAGAGATTTAGGGGTTTAATATTCAAACTGAAAGCCTAATTAAAAGCATGAAAAAAAATGTAAAAATATACCTCTGGCTCTGTCCCCAGTGCAATTGCTTTTGTGATAAGACCTGTCACTAGGATCCAGAAGCCAGAGCTCAGCCACCTGGGTCCACAAAAGACTGGGGGAGTGGGTGAGGAAGAGAGGGAAGGGGAGAGAGATTATAATCTCTCCCGCTCTCACAGGAAAGAAGAACGAGAAAGCTGGAACTTCTTGGGGCAATTGATCTCGTTAATGGAAAAAAGGAAGGGACCATGATATCCAAAAGCAGAAAATCAAGGATTCATTTAGTAGCAGCCAAAGAACACTGGTTTGAAATCAGAAAATCTGGGTTCAGATCAGAGAAGCCATTTGTAATATTCCCCTTAGTTGTAGGTCTGAATATGCTGACCTGCTAATCACAAAAGGATACTGTGAAATTTCATTTTTGCATTAACTTAGTCACCCTCATTCATCACCAATAAATGAATCAAGTATTTGTTCATTCAGCCTTTATCAAGCTGCTACCAGATTTCCAGGCACTAGGGACACTGCCCTCAGTGAGCTCATGGTCTAATGAGGCAACAGGCAAGCAATGGCCAAACATAGTACAAAATGGAAAGTTGTACAGAGAATCCATGCTATAGATTAGAAGAGGGATCTCAATTGTAACCAACGTTCAGACTTAGAACAGGGATTGGCCCGCGGGCCAAATATGATGTACTGCCTGTTTTTGTAAAATTTTATTGGAACATACAAAAAGTTTTCTCTGGTTATACTTTATCTGTGGCTGCCTTCACACCACAAGGACAGATGTGAGTAGTTGTAATAGGTACTGTACAGTCTCCAAAGCTAACATGTTTACTCTCTGGCCTTATATAGAAAAAGCTTCTAGAGCATTGCTCTAGAGTCACACAGATGTGCACCACAGGTGTGTGAACTTGAATACCAACAGATGCTCAGTAGAGCCTAACTGACCAGCCACTGTGAGAAATTATGGATATCATGGTCCCTTCCTTTTTTCCATTAACGAGATCAATTGCCCCAAGAAGTTCCAGCTTTCTCGTTCTTCTTTCCTGTGAGAGCGGGAGAGATTATAATCTCTCTCCCCTTCCCTCTCTTCCTCACCCACTCCCCCAGCCTTTTGTGGATTATCTACATCTCATGTTTACATTTTTCTAAATCTTGCCTTCTTCACTGGGCCAGCATCATCATGGATAGCTAACTCCAAAAATTCCAAACATGGATTTCCCCAAAGTGCTAAAATTTGGAAAGAAATTTATCAAATTTTTCAAAGTCAACATTTGAAATCTTGGATAACAGTCACAGTTAAGTGCTCTGTCAGTCTCCGAGATAGGCATTTCACATTTATAAGAACRCATCCAAGTTTGACACAACCCTCTAAGATATATCATGAACCACTACTTTAGGAGTGAGCCTGGGAGCAGTGTCTTGCCAAGACACGAGTTTCACTGGGAGCACAGTCAGCAGTCACACCATCTCTGCCTGGTTTCACTGACTGAAAAGAGTGTTTTCAATGAAACTGACCAGACTGTGCCATTGAACCACAGCATCCCGTGCTCACACCCAGACTCCCCCACCCTGCTCAACTCAGACTTATTCCTCCACAGCCCAAGAACTCTGTATGCCCTGAAATTTACTCTTTGTATTTTTTWAAGTTTATTTTTATTGTGGATTGCCTATCTCCCTTCTCTAGGATGTAGGTTCCAGAGAGCCAGGGATTTTGAGTTTGTTTTTTCTTTTTTTATTCACTCCTAGATCTGGCAATTGTTTAGTATTTGGGAAAAGTATGGACCTTTACTGTTATGCTCTGTTGCCACTCCAGCAGCACATCAGAGTGGAAATGCATATCGAAAAACTGCTGATCTGCACTATAAATTATGAGAAAAAACTTCAACTGACATTTATTTTAAAAGTCTTTTCCAGCTTCAAATAATAAAAAAAGTCTGAATTTAGGAATAAGTCATTTGATATTTTTCTTTAACAGAATATCTATAGTAGATATTTATATTTTTAAATGTATGCATTTTAAGTCTTATTTACAAATCTATTATGCTTAGTTCACTCAGTTCATGAAAAGCAAGCATGCCTATCCTTATGCTTAACTCCTTCCTGGGGTAAAGCATGAAACGAGGCACACCAGACACCAGTGACACTACATGCATTGCTCCATTTATAATTAATACCAGCGATGGAGAAGGTAGTGATTCCCATTTTAATATTCTGATGAAAGTCCAGAGATTTAGTATCATTCATGGTGATGGAGGTAATAGTGGCAGTCACCAGTATCCATTTACAATACTTTTGAGGGCCGCCATCTGATTACTGGCTTCAAAGCCATCTTTTGCTACCCAAAGCAAACCCTACGTAGCCTGAAAGAGAATCTGTCAAGCATATATTTTGTGCACAAGGAGGAATAATGTTCCCTAAGGAGGGTTCTTCTGCTCATAGACTGATGTTGCGTTTCTAGACATGGTCCCATCTGGACGAGGACCGCCAAGCACTCAGCAGGCAGCTGGAGGTGGTGGAAAACAGCATCCCGAGCGTGGGCCTGGTGGAGGAGAGCGAGGACAGGCTCACGGAACGCACAAGCCTCTACCAGGTTGGGTCCCCATGGCACATGTGGCCATGTTTCCTTTAGAATCTTCCCAGTCATTTTAGCAGAATCTAAACAAACTTGTGATCAAATAGTTATACTTTTCTTTTACATTATTGATATTGTTTTAAAAAGGTAGTTTTGTCTGTGTTACTTATAGCAGAATATTTTTAAAAGTCTTTTTGGCTGGGCACAGTGGTATAACCTGTAATMCTAGTGTCTCAGAAAGCTGAAGCAGGAGGATCTCAAGTTTGAGATCAGCCTGGGCAGTGTAGTAAGACACTGTCTCAACATAGAAATAAAATAAAATAAAATAAAATGAAGGCTGGGGTTGCAGCCCAGTGGTAGAGCATCCTTGGGTTGAAAATAAAGGGGGTGAGGGGTGGGGCATGGTGGCACACGCCTATAATCCCAGACTCCAGAGATTAAGGCAGGAGGATTACAAGTTTGTAGGCAGCCTCAGCAACATAGCAAGACCCTGTCTCAAAATTAAAAACTTTAAAGGGCTTGAGATGTAGCTCAGTAGTASAGTACCCCTCTACTTATTGAGATCCAATCCCCTTACATACATACACAAAAAATTATGATTTGGGGTCTGAGGGTACAGATAAATTGTAGAACATTTAGATTTGCAGAGGCCATAGGCTCTATACCCAGCATTAAAAAATACATCTTTCTTCCTTCCTTCCTTCCTTCCTTCCTTCCTTCCTTCCTTCCTTCCTTCCTTCTTTCTTTCTTTCTTTCTTTCTTTCTTTTTAAATGAGAATTCACTTTGAAAATTTGGCAAGCATTTTCACCAGAATTTTGTGTATTTTTTATCAGTGTCATACTATTCTTGAATTAATTAAGTGTGACAATTTTAAATGCACCTAAAATTAATTTAAAAAACGAAAAGAACATTTTTAGTTGGGATATTGATGAAACTTTCAAGTTTTCAATGTTAATTGGGTGCATATAGTTTATATTTGAATACAGATAACGGGAATGTTATGGATTCCAGAGAAATTGTAATTTTCAAAAAATATAGTATCCAAACTTTTAACAAAATATTGCCATTATTTTAGCACTTAAAATCCAGCCTTAATGAATACCAGCCTAAATTATATCAAGTATTAGATGATGGAAAACGACTTCTGATATCTATCAGCTGCTCTGATCTAGAAAGCCAACTAAATCAACTTGGAGAGCGCTGGCTCAATAATACCAACAAAGTGTCTAAAGAACTTCACAGATTGGAAACAATTTTGAAACACTGGACCAGGTAACAGGATATGTATTTTGCATATTTTGGGATAAGAGCTGCAGTGTATTAATAAGAKTGCTTGACTTGGAAAAGATACACAAGTTTGGAAAATTGCACAGTTTGGAAAGTAATAACAAACAGAAAGCCCCAGTTGGACTCTTTTGTAATTGTATAAACACATAATTCAAAGTGAGCAGGGAGGTATAGGTGCTTGGTGCAGCTTACCTCTAAGCTGTTGTCCTCCTTTGCCTAATGATTGTAACCTGGGTGTTCATAATAATGCCTTAGGAGAGAGAGAGAAGAAAAAATGTTGATTAAGCAAGCGTGCTTCTCAGGGCAAAGGAAGGTGCACAGGAAAGGGAGATGGCTAACTGTTTCATAATGAAATACTTTCTTCCTTTTTTTCAAAGAACTTTATATACCCATCGCCTAATATTTCTAAGAAGCAACAATGTGAAGGAAGAGAAAGTTGTTTTCTTTTCTTTTTCTTTCTTTTTCTGCTTAGGGATGGGAGGTTGAAATGCAGAGAGACAGACCTGATCAAGACATAAACATTAAGAGAAAAAAATTTCAGAGCAACAACCTAGTGCACTTTGGTTCTAAATCTATCAGGTCTCTTGTTTTCAAACTGCATTGGCAAATATCATGAGTGAGTAGAAGATGAGGGTTGAACGCTTACTTAACAGACTCATTAATATATTCCCAGGTATCAAAGTGAATCTGCAGATCTGATTCGCTGGTTACAATCTGCAAAAGACAGGCTAGCATTTTGGAATGAACAGTCTGTGACAGTCCCTCAAGAGCTGGAAATGGTCCGTGATCATCTGAATGCTTTCCTGGTAAGTTTGAGAGCTTAAAGCATTGATTTGATTTTGGTTTTCAGGCCTGACCCATACCCAGAACAAAGGAAATCAGCTATCACTGGGCATCCTTAAAAAACTAGGTGTAGGGGMTGGGGTTGTGTTCGGTGGTAGAGCGCTTGCCTCTCACGTGCAGCGCCCTGGGTTCGATCCTCAGCATCACATACAAATAATAAATAAATAAATAATAAAGTTATTGTGTCCAACTACCTCTGCAGAAAAGAAATATTAAAAATAAACTAAGCTGTAGAGAATKTATCAATGTTAAATATTCGTGTTCAGTACTTACCAAACTAATGGGACTCATCTCTATTTATACGCAGCATTCTTTTTTGCAAATAGTTCCAAGTAGCAATTMRCTTCATTTTCGGGCAAACATGCTTYTTTGCTTCYTTCTAGAAGGTTCTATATAACACTTCCCTCAAGATGTAGGGAAAAAAAATTGTTTTGTGCACTGAAATGACAGACCTAACTAATTAAACCTAATCCAAACTTTGTCACTTCTTTTAGGAGTTTTCTAAAGAAGTGGATGCCAAATCTTCCCTGAAATCATCTGTCCTAAGCACAGGAAATCAGCTCCTTCGGTTAAAGAAGGTGGACACAGCTGCCCTTCGTACTGAGCTGTCTCACATTGATGGCCAGTGGACTGAACTGCTGACCAATATTCCAGCTATACAAGAGAAGCTTCACCAGGTAGGGAAACAAAGATTGGTTTGTTTAGTAATAATTTAGGTAAGTCATAGTAAGTGGAGAACTACATTAATCTGTTTGGGCTCACAAATTTAAACCACCTGTTTCTTACAAYTTGTCTTTTCTCTCTCCTAGTGCATTACATTTTCAAAATTATTCTACAAATCTCCACTGAGATAATGTTTCTTCCCAAAACTTCTTTAATGTGTGTGTGTGTGTTAGAATCTTTGTCTTTATTTAAACTCTGTTTTCTTTTGGATACAATGAGGGCAGCTACATTAAATGAGTAGTTATGAAGATGTATAACATAATCTGGTAAAAGGTCTACATACAAGAACACAACTGGCACTTKATAAATGTCAGTACAAACATCCTTTAATGACAATGATGTGTCCTGAGAAACATGTCCTTGGGACATCTATCATTGTACAAATATCATAGAATGTATTTACACAAAACAAGATGACTGYGATGTCTTGAAGTGACCCAGTCTATGGTATAGTCTCATCCCATATGGGGTCTATTATGGGGAATAAGATTTGGTCCATGACTGCTCCCTTCTTATCTGCAAATGCACCAAACACCCCTGAAATCCCAAAACACTTTATCTTTTCCCCTTTGACCTTCACCATTGTGCATCGAGTGGGTTCAGTGTATATGCCCTAGTTCTCCCAAGTCAGCATTTCTCCATTCCTGGGGGGCAGGACAATCTCATGTTCATTTCCACCACACAGAAGTTGATCTATGAATATTTCAAAGTAGTTACCTTTGTCCTTTCAAAGCAATATAAGTGTATGCATAAAAATGTGATACATTAAGTAAAATTCAGAATTCTAAGTATATTTGAAAGACTCAGAAAATTGGCTATGCTCTTTGGAATAAATACTAGCGTGCCAAAAAATCTAGAAAATGATAGCTTGTAGTGTGGTGTTTTTCTTCCTTCTTTTGACATTCCTGAGTCATAATACACAGAGATTTTACAAGATAATTAATAAAATACATCTGTTAAATGTTTTATTGTTACACATTTTTAAAACTCATAAAACTAGCTTTAAAATAAGAACACTATTTTCTTCTTGATGGTGTTTTGATTAATTAGTTAATATTTATACACTGTTTATAGTATTAGATGTCAAGTGCACATAAAATGACTAGTATTATTCAATGCTTGCCTGATGTTTCAAGCTTCTAAGATCTAAAAATGACATGACAAGTGTTATTTCTATTGGTACGTGGGTAAGAACTAATGTATTCTATGTTAGGAAAAACTGGGTTGGATTTTAATTCTTGGACTTGTTTTCTCTCTAACATGGACAGCTCCAAATGGACAAGCTGCCTTCCCGCCATGCCATTTCTGAAGTCATGGGTTGGATTTCTCTGATGGAAAGTGTTATCCGAAAGGATGAAGAGGACATAAAAAATGCCATAGGTTACAAGGCAATTCATGAATATCTTCAAAAATATAAAGTAATTAATACTTTTTTTGTTTTCAACTTTTACATATTTATACCATTTTATTTGAAAGAACTCCAAAACTCAAATCATGAAATTAGATCTTGGAACATATATTTCATACATAGTGGCCTGATAGGCATGCAAAAACAAGAAAATTGCMTCCCTAGCAATTGGCACAGAAAGGTTGCCCAGTGTTAGGAATAACTTTTAGTAATTTTTTTATTTGAAAACATTTTAGGTATCATAAAATAAATATAATTGAGAAATATTTTTATAGGGAGGTTATATAATTTACCAAATTCTATATCTTCTGCTTAAATATGTATATCTGTGTGTGTATGTTTGAATAACATATACAAATATGTAATTCAACTTCTGAAAATAATGGATCAGTATTTTATACATTACATCACTTGTGCAAAGTGATAATATCAATACTACTGTCATTTAAGGYTTTCCTCCTTCCCATATGATAAGACATTTTAACGTGTACAAACTTGTTTTCCTRTTTCTTCCTTTTTTTAGGGTTTTAAGATAGACATAAACTGTAAACAGTTGACGGTYGATTTTGTGAACCAGTCTGTACTACAAATCAGCAGTCAGGATGTGGAGAGCAAGCGCAGTGACAAGACTGATTTTGCTGAGCAGCTGGGAGCAATGAATAAAAGCTGGCAAATCCTGCAAGGTCTGGTAACTGAGAAGGTACGCCAGGTGGCCTGCGGCTGCCACACTTCCACGAAGCTCCAGAGACAGGCTCACTCTGTCAGGAAAATTCATCTCACAAGTAGTAGGGCTACACGGGGCCCTAGCTACTCAGGACCATGGCAGTGAACCCGGCCTAGCTCTCACCTGCCTTTGGCCCTCTTATCTGCTCTTGGTACATTTTGTATGTTCTTTAAAGATGCATCTAAATTCCCCTTGCCTTTACTTCAAGCTGATTTTAGTTCTCTCTTGCTGACCAATATTGCACATTGATTTGCAGTTAATAAAATTAATCTTTTAAAATACAAGTACAACGGGTGGTATTTTAACAATTCTTGGTGCAGGAAATAGTGTCCAGACTAATTAGCCTTCTCACTATTTGATTTCAACATAAAAATCACAAGTTTCCTTTCACTGTGTTTGTTCAGATCCAGCTATTGGAAGGCTTGCTGGAATCTTGGTCAGAATATGAAAATAATGTGCAGTGTCTAAAAACTTGGTTCGAAACCCAGGAAAAGAAACTGAAACAGCAACATCAAATTGGAGATCAGGCTTCCGTTCAGAACACACTGAAAGATTGTCAGGTAAGTGGTCTGATTCTCATGCACCRTTTCATAACTTCACAGCATATGCCAAAGGAGTTTATAGGGTCTGAAATTACAAGTTAAATACTTTTAAAAATTGACATCTGGTAACAGATTTCTCTGATGATAGGAGCTGATAAGAGTTTATTGGGCTTTTTTCACCTGTTTAAAAAATTTGAAATTAAGAAACTATTCAAATATAGTCATAAGTAGAGAGAACTCAGTGAATTCCATTTACTGGGAATTAGCAAGATTTCAGGCATTTTGCCTGGATTATTTCTTTTTTCATCAAGATGTCATAGTCCCCTCCCCCAGATATCATGTCATTTTAATCCTCTATACTATAATACACATCTCTGAAATATATATATTTTCTTATGCAACCATAATATCACCACAAAATTTTAACAATAACTCCTTAATGTTATTTCATATTCAACCCTTTAATCATATTCCCTTAATTGCCATTAAAATATCTTTTTTATTCAAAGAATACAATATCTTTGTGGCACATTTGCTTGTTGGAGTTCTTAAGTCTCTATTATTATTATTATTATTATTATTATTATTATTRATACCATTCACTTGTTACAGAAACTGTAGACTAGCCCATGTTCAGGACTGGTCTGAGCATTTCTTAAAGGTATCATTTAACTTGACTTCTCACCTCTGTATTTCCTGCAATTGGAACTCTGCTCCAGAGGCCTGATTGCACTTCTGTCTCTCCTCCAAGGCACATGCTTGACAGAAGACCCTTTTCTTCCCTGTTTGTCRCCTAGGAAAGCTCACAGAGTCTACTCTGTTTTTGATGAGGGTGGAGGATGGAGCTGTCCCGTTCCAAATGTTTTCCTATAACTAACATTTCCTCAGGGATTCTTATGTATACAACAATTAGAATAAATAAATAATTTTTTWAAAAAAAATCTATGTACCTAACAATATCATTGCTAATAAAGAGTCCAAATCAAAACAAAGAAACAAAAGAAATGTGTTCAGATTACCTAGAACTATTCTTTTACAGTGTTCCCTATGAACCATGAAAAACTCAACTGAGTAATCATATGAAAAAAAACTCCTTCCCCAAATCTGTTTCTCCAATTTAGATTTAGAAAAGAAAGGACTTTGGTAATTATTTTMCTTCTCAGTAATGTGTTTTCTGTTGGGGACACATGTAATGAGAGCACTTATATATTTAAGCATTCAGTCAGAGCCTTGGGATTCAGAGAAGGAAGACCATGTGCTTCCAGGCTAATGGGCTGTAAGTTTGAAGGTGCACAAAGATGACAAGGAACTTCCAAAAGGAAAATACTTTTAAATACTCATTTTTAAAATGCCTCACATCTGAAGATGGGAATGTGGAAGACTGGAGATCAGAACTCTGCAGCACTTCCAGTTCCCTAGGGGCCAGACATACCTTCTAATTTAAGGCTACGAATTCAAAAACCTATAAGTAATTCAGAATTTTGAAAATTTTATTTTTAAAGATGGAAAGTCAGGTCTTTGGTTGAGTTTCTTACTCACCTTTTTTTCCCCTTTTTCTTTAATGTGCTTTTTTTTCTGCCATTTTCTATTTAGTTTCTTTTTCTATGYGTGTCTTCTGTTCAACAGAGAGACACACTGCTATCTGGAAAATCTTGCTCAATCTTGTCCAGGTTTTACTCCTTTTAGGACCAAAGTTTTTGTCTTCCAGAGGGTCAGTTCAGGCAATGTCAGGAGAGAAAGTTTACATTGGGGTTTTAAAAGCTCTATACCAATGCCAGTTTGTGATTTAAAATGAAAAGTCATCTCTTTGAAACCAAAAAAYCAGAAAGAAAGTAGCCCACACAGTTATTTTGGGACATTATACATAAATCACAATAGCGTAGCTGGAAGGTTCTATTTGGCGATGCTACAAACCTTGATAAAATTTATTGTCACTTTTGAGAAATTGTGCCTTTGGACTAAAGTGTGAAATTCAAGCCAGCGTACTTAAATCAGTGGCTGGATTCAAACTCTATTTTGCTTTAAAACTCTTGAATATTTTTCCAGTCTTTTAGAAGTGATTTATTAATTTAATGTAACATTAAAACTGATATTTATGATTTAATCCAAGCTGAGAATGATTTATTAGAACAAAAAATGTTAGGTTTGGTCTTTCTGATTAGCTTCATTGATCAGAAACAGAACCGTCTTTTAATTATTACTTAAAGGAAGGGAAAACACACCATTATTTTATTAAAAAAATATACTTCTGTTTTCTTTTATGCCAACGTACATGATCAGGGCATTTTTGAGATGTATTGCTTAATACCATTTACTGAAAAGCATTAACACCTGTGGATAAATGGAGATTAAACTTAATTTCTAATGAGTGAATTAAATATATAAGAATTATATATTATTAAGTATAACTTAGGATTCTTATGTGTGGTTAATTATTTCTTAAAGAAATAGAAAAGATTTTCAAATGTAAAGGTAATTATATTTTCTATACTGCATAAAAGACCTGTAATCTCAGTGGTCACAAGTTTCATTTTGCAGTTGCCAAAGCTGTCATGATATTGACAGAATTATAAAGTAGACATGATAGGACAGTATGAAAAACAAAAATGCTCTAAGCTGCTAAATGCATGAATTTCTAATTCATACACCAAATAAAAATTGCTTCATGCTAAAAAATAAATAGATTTAAATAGAAAAAAAAATAAATAGATTTACACTGAAGTGTGGCAGATGGCCAAATGGCTGAATACATTATCTTGCAATTGTCTAGTTTTTGATAGCTTAAAAGATATTTCATATACATTTATCTAATTTTATGCCTTTAGAAAAGTAAGCAGAAAAAGTATTATTATCCCTATTTTCCAAATGAAGTGGAAACAGTTGAAAAAAGTTGAATCACATCAGAAACAAAAACAAAAAAGGCAATAATAATAAGAGGCACAAAATCTGTAATTAATAATAAATGGTACTCATTAATACCTTATCCACAGCTACCCATTTTAATATCTGGGTCATGAGAAGAGGTGAAAATCTTTATTACATAATTATGACATTATCCAAACTTAAAGTATTTGGAGATTTTCTCCTTTCTCCCATCCAGGGCCTTCAAATCTATTTTTGACTCCCGAGGATAGGAATGTAAGCATGTGCCTGTCTTACCCTATCACCCTGACCTGGGGTTTGCACCCTGTGCAGTTTTAGGTTCAGTGGACCCTCCAGCAGGGGCTGAAAGGTTTGGGTTCTGCTTGCTGCTCCCACTTTTATCAGCTCTGTGAACCTGAGGGACATTGGATGGCTTCACCTTGCATTTATTTGTCCTTAAAGTGCTCATGGCCGTCTCTGTGACATTAAAATATAAGTTAGGACTCTGATATATGGTTACAATGAGCTTCAGAGCTCTTCCTCATTTTATTTTTCTCTCTTCARTGTTTCATTGTGAGAGTAGAAAATGCACGTCCTAAAGAAAATGAAAGTCTATAACTTTCAGAATTACACAAAATCAGAGTATTTTAGAGAGAAAGGATAACAGAAAAATTTTCCCTGTCTTCTGAGTTCCCAAAGGTAGAAACTGAGGCCCAATGGAAATTTCCCACTTACCCAAAATGATACAGCTTAATAGCAGAAATGAGTCTAAGTCTCAGACACCACTCTCTTRCATTTTTTCCTATGAGCTGGACTCATGTGAATAGCAACGTCTATGAATTTAAGAAGATAAATCATATTACCAATTCCAACATGTATTTTTCCCTGAAACTTTTTGAAATAATGACATGATACCATTTATTCATCTAGTAGGTAATCATATTTTTACATTTTTTTAGGTTATGCTGATATCCCCTAGACAAAAAGACTATTTTTTCACATTTAAGTGTAGGAAGATATTGCTGTGGAGACCCTCTTTTGGCAATGATAATCTTTTTGGATGTGTAACAGGTTTTTAGTACTTAAAATTGTAATGGCTCAATTTCTGTGCACCCCAGAGTTTCATAATAGAACAATTTAAAATGACTATTTTTTAAACCCTTCAGGATCTAGAAGATTTGATTAAAGCAAAAGAAAAAGAAGTAGAGAAAATTGAGCAGAATGGACTTACTTTGATTCAGAACAAAAAAGAAGAAGTCTCTGGCACTGTCATGAGCACCCTGCGGGAGCTCAACCAAGCCTGGGCGAATCTGGACCACATGGTAATACTACTTGAGGAGACTGGCTCCAAGACTGTGTTTTGGGTTTCTTAAAGTAATCGAGTAAATAATTATTGAATCTATCGTCTCTTTGTATTATTAAGCCCATTTCATTAACCTCCTTTAAAAAACAAGAGGCTAGTTTCTGTGGTTTCCCATAGTAACCATGATTATAAACATTTCCCATCCGTTGTCATAGCTATCGAAGCCGTCTAGGCACAAAAACTTTTCCAGTGTCTATCCCCAGCCTTAATCTCTSTCCTGAACTCAAGACAGAGACAGAGGTAGACATCCAATCAGTATATAACTCTCYTCTTGCATGATCAAGGGACATCTCAAACTTCCATGCTCAAACTTCTAATCACCCCCCACAAACCGACTCATTCTGCCATCTTGGTTATTGMCAATTCTGCCCTTCTCGTTGCCTGGGAAGAAGACCTCAGAGTCATTCTTCACAACTCTTTCTCTCATCACCAATACCTAGTWCATCAGAAAAGCTTGTCATCTGTGCTTGCAGAACACATTAGAATCCAAACCCCATCCCCACCTCTGCAGCTAGCAAACAGGTCTAACTTACTGTCATCTCTTGATTATTTTTAGTGGCCTCCTAACCAGTCTCCAAGGCAGAGGTGCTGATTAACAAGGCAGTCAGATTATACCATTCTTCTGTTCAACTCTCATAGTAGCTTCTTGTCTTGTTCAGAATGAGACCAAAGCCTGCCTAGTAATGATCTGGCCTTACACTCTCTCTGCTGCTGCTTGCACGTGCCTCTCTCTCTCTCTCTCTCTCTCTCTCTCTCTCTCTCTCCCCTCATTTCTTGATGATATCCTGGAGGTTCTTTTGCTTCTGCTATACTGACCTCCCAATATCCTTGAATTCAGCAGGCATGTCCCCTACTCAAGGACTTTGCTCTTGCTGTTCCTTCTGCCTGAAACACCTTCTTCCAAGTATCGCATGGTTCCTTCCCTGTCCTCAAAGCCTTTGCAGGTTCCCATCTCATGAAGGGCTTTCCTGACCACCTGTTTTATATGACAGCCTTCTTCTCCTTACCTTTCACCCCCAACTCTGATCTGCTTTGCTTTTACCCATTGAATATATCGATTTCTAGCATTCCACGTCATTCCCTTGTGTGTTTAAAGTTCTTTCACCAAGACGTAAGCTCAGTGAAGACATTTGATAAATATGTACCAGATGAAGTTTAGAATCYTCCAATAGTAAGAAAAAGTGCATCAACAAACAGTAGTCCTTGCACTATGAGCCCCAGTGCCCTTCAGCATGTACTTGTACAGATAGTTTCTATCCACACAGTACAGAGATGGRATCTGAGCTACAGAGGTTAAGGGACAGGGACTGATGGCAAAGGACTCCTGCAGCCYATGCACCCTGCCCAGACTCCCTTTCTCCTCTAGCCTTTCCTCATCTTCAGSCTGACTTGAAATGTATTTTATTGTAAAAAATTTATATATCACAGAAATGTCTAGAGATAATCTGTCACCTAAGTATAAATTAAGTAGCTCTTTCATGGAAATATTGCCTCATGAAAAACAAACACAAGACAAAGAAGAAATAGGCTATTTAAAAACCCTCMTGGCGCTCCTTTCCTTATTGTGTGTGCCTTGAGACTTCCTTAGGACAGGCCTGGCCCCTGTCTGTAGACGTGGGCCTTTCCTTTTCTCTGAGGCAGCACTTTTTAACAATGCCTGAAACCTGGCCGAGGTTTTTAGATGTTTTCCATCAAGTGGGACATATATGCCATCATTTTTACTATTATTTAATGATAACAAATGCTCATCTTTTTCCTAAGGTTGGGCAGTTAAAGATACTGTTGAAGTCAGTTCTTGACCAATGGAGCAATCACAAAATGGCCTTTGATGAGATAAACAGTTACCTTATGGAAGCCAGATATTCTCTGTCCCGATTCCGCCTGCTGACCGGCTCCTTAGAAGCTGTGCGAGTGCAGGTGGACAACCTTCAGGTAAGGAATGAATACAAAGCATCCATACATTCTTCTCAATTGGAGAAAAATGGAAAGATCAGAAAACAGCCACATCACCGGAAATATTGCTGTATCTTTACATTTAATGTTTTGAAAAATCTTTAAAATTAATTTTAGCCCATTTCTTGTGACTTAATCAAATTTGCTCTTGGATACCAAATTCTGGATTAGCTGGTATTTAACCAAGTGATGATTAACATCCTATTATACAGATATTCCTGTAATTGTGTTTTRTAAGATGATTTTTATATCCAAATCAGCTTACTGGAACAGTTGGCACTGCCTTTGWTGTCTTCCCTTTCTCTTTTTGTCCTGCCTCTCCAAGCATATTTTAAGGGATTAAAGAAAGAAATAGTAAGAAAGGTAAACACTTAAACCATTAAGTGGTTTCCTTCCCTTCAGTACCATGCCAGGGGCCTAGCCCATGTGTCCACACAGTCCTCTTTTTCAGCCCTTACAGCTTGGTCTCCTGTCTCTCCATTACCATTTTGTTCAGTCTACAATTCAGGGGGTGGCTATTGTTCTTAAACACGGCACTGTCTCCTATCTCAGGTAGCTGCCCTCTGATTCACTCCCGTGCTCCCTGGGCACTGGGCCATGCTCACTGTTGCTACTCTTTCTTCTTGACTAAATAATGTGGATGGTGGGCTGGTCAGGGCAGGCCCATGAGGGATAAGATGCCAGCAGGAGCCCACCTGTGCCCTTTATAATTCTACTCCATGTCCCTGTCCCTGGCTTGGCTATCAAAGTTGTTATGCTCAGACCTCATCTGCAGATTTTCTTAAGGGAATACTTTTATTGGGTAAGATGAGAGGGAGGAAAGATGAAATATATGAATGTAATTCCTTTAAACTTTAGTTACTGAACATACTAAGAATCATGAAAACTCATTTGAGTATAGTAAATTTATAAATTACATCATGACTTTGAGAAAGTTAGAAGTACTTTTTAACTTAACATATTCTGTGTTTTGTATCTACCAGATTTGTCTTAAGATATGAAAGAATTAAGGTTCTTTTCCTTGAATATTTTGATTTAAGGGCAATCAGATGTTGGTGTTAAAAAGTGCTAAATTTTTGCAGCCTACTTCACCAGTGGAATTTTATTAAGATGTGAGTCTGTCACTACAGTGATTTTTCTCAGGAAAAAAATCTACTAGTTTCCTCCCATCCTCAGTGGAAGACTCCACTATGATAGTTGCTCTGAGCATTTTTGAAATATATGATGCATTATTATTAATTATAGCCACGGTTCTGTGCACTAGGTCTCTGTGGCTTATTCCCTCTGTTTATCTGAAGCTCTGTAAACTTTGATTAGCATCTTACCTGGTGACTGCCATTCTGCTCCAGCTTCTGTGAGTTCTGTTAGACAAACACTGATATGTGAGGCAATGATATATCAATCACTCAACTGAGTCATCCCACAATGTAAAATATATCAAATATATCACATGGTACCCTATAAATCTATGCAATCATTATTTGTCAATTAAAAAATACAATTAAATATTTAAAATTCTTCTCAAGGGAAAGACATCCAGTGACAGAACCCAGAGTTGGTTCTCAGAAAAGTTTTGACTTGGAATCTCAGTTGTCAAGTGTTTGTGGGAGAATTACTCTAAGCATGTAATAGAGACCTGGGTTTTGGCTTTGGGGATCAAGGGGAACCAGAATGTGACAGATGTACACGCACCTCCCCCACAGCTTCCTGCTGGCTCCTGACAGTGACACCCTGAGTGAGCTTCTCCAGATTAATCCCCAGGGTCAGTAGAAGGTTCAGTTACTAAGCCTACCTTTTCACAGCCATAAGAACAAAGTCATTAGAAAGAGAAGAAATGACTACCAAAGAAAGCTTATCAAGCATTGGAGCAAAGCCATATATGTACATAAATCTGTTAATTATTTTAAACTTGCTTATCACTCTCCTTGGGCAGAGTCTTCATGATGATCTAGAAAAGCAGGAAAAGAGCTTACAAAAATTTGGCTCTGTCACCAACCAACTGTTAAAAGAATGTCACCCACCTGTGACAGAAACTCTCACCAATACGTTGAAAGAAGTCAATATGAGGTATGGCATATGCTTACTACATACTATTTATATCCCAACCTTATTATATGGTTGAATTTGGCATTTTGTATTGGAATTCTGTGGATTCTGTTCTATTAATGTTTTGATTTTCACTAAATGAATTTAAGGGTACATAGATTGACACCATTTAGGAAGAACTAGAACTGCCACATCCATAAAGATTATCCTCATCTCCATTATCAACCCCTGAAATCTGAGTGTGACAAGTTACTTTTTATGATGTTAAAGAGAATGAGTCATCCCAGCATTATTTTCATATTCACATGAACCAGGATCATGAAAAATAAAATAGTAAATAACTGCATTTGGTGAGAGATGATAATCTGCCCATGAGTGTTGGCTATTATTTCCAGATGGAATAACTTGTTGGAAGAGATTGCTGAGCAGCTGCTCTCCAGCAAGGCCCTCCTTCAGCTCTGGCAGAGATACAAGGACTACTCCAAACAGTGTGCCTCTACAGTCCAGCAGCAGGAGGACAGAACCAATGAGTTATTGAAGGCCGCCACCAACAAGGACATCGCAGACGAGGAAGTGGCTACATGGATCCAGGATTGTAATGTATGTTTGGCAACTACTGTGTTGACCCAGCAGGTCATTCTTGGCCGCCCTAAGTTTAGCAGGGTTGGGGCGTATGTGTGTAGCCTTCGGATATGTCTCAATATGTGAGATGATCATCCAAAAATTATTGTCTTGTGTATTAAATAGCCTGCTGGATTTTCAGAACACAATTGCATGTGTATAAGATTTATGGGGTCCCCTCCTATTATTCCATTTTTAAAAAAAGAATTGTTTTCCCATATTTCCCAATGGAATACAATTCATGTGAAAAATGGGTTATATGTTTTTGCTGAGATGCTCACGATAAAACTGACTACATGGAGAAAAATATCCTATTGAATAATGTTTTTAAAAATCTACTGTTAAAGATATCATCCACACACATTTATAAGTTAGTTATTTACTGTGAAAGCATCTACCTAATAGCTTCCTCCAAGAAATAATGGGAGAAAGAAGTCTTTCTCTCTTGATTTACTTACATACTTCTTCTTTATAGCTTGTAGATAATTCTCTTTTCACTATAGCTGCCAACAGCCTACTTAAGATTTTCAAGAAAGGCTCTTCTCTTATTTCATCCATTACATGGCTCTTACCATCCGTCCTCATTTGTCTTTATTTTAGTGGGCTCCTCATAGAAGTCTTCTTTTAAACATTTCCAAATTAGTTTATTAGAATTAGGCAAGTTATGAAAACTATAGAAATAAAAGTTTAATACATTCTGAGTAATCAGTCTGAATAATCATTTTAAAGCTGAAGAGATTAAAATGTATAATGAAGATAAAATGGTGTTTTTTTTTCCACATAGTTTACCCCTCCCTACAAGATTTGTTCAATTCTCTTGAGTCATCTGCTATCACTGTCAAGGTTAACAGAGCCCTTCATTTTTCCTCCTCTTGCAGTGGTCCCTGTGCAGGTCTGGCAGGTTCTGTACTCTCTGCCGCATCTGAGTGGGGACCAGCAGAAATCGAAGTAGCTACTTGTTGTCTCTTAGCAGGGGTAGAAACCAGAACCAGGGAATTTCCTCTGACATGTATTTTTTTAATAGTTTGTTTCATTTTAATTACTTAATTTTTGGTTCTCATAACATGCTTAATATATTAGCAAAGTGAAACATTTATTAATTTATTCTCTGACATGTATTTTTGAGCATTAATGGGCTGCACAAATTGTGGAGGTGAGAGATGCCATAGAAAGAATAGAGGTGTAGACCATCYTACCCTGTTCACCTGAGTCACTACTGGGTGCTACACCCTGCTGAAGTGGTGGTGGTTGTAACCATAAAAGATACATATACAAGATACCATGGCTGCACTAATCCTTGGTGTATGTGATAAAAATAAGTAGGATAACCTAAAACATAGCACTGTGTCTTTAATTTGATACCAAGCACATAAAGATACAGGAACAAATTATCAAAATGTTTCTAGTTATTGCTTCTACTAGGGTTCTTTTCCTTTTTTATGTATGCTTTTCTACATTTTTCCCCAATAAAGAACCTATGCAGCTTTTATTACCAAAAGAGTACTTGTGTATGTGCATGAGTGTGTGTGTGTGTGTGTGTGTGGGTGTTACATATGTAAACACACGTATTTAGAATGTTCGTACACATAATTGATATTTTTAAAAACTGAGTTTGCTTCCTAGTCATTTTTTTTTTCTGTTGAAAGTTATTTAGTGTAATATTTTCACAATTAAGAATTGTCTATGTCTTGGGCTGGGGTTGTAGCTCAGTGGTAGAGCACTTGCCTAGCATGCATGTGGCACCAGTTTTGRTCCTCAGCACCACATAAAAATAAATAAATAAAAAATTAAGGTRTTGTGCCCATCCACAACTAAGGGCCACGCATCTAGATAGACATCTGTGTCTATATCTACCTAGATGGGTGGCCCTTTGTTGACTGCTGTTTATAAYGGCATGATGTTTCCTGGTGGGCATAATGATTTCGTCTTCTACAGGACCTTCTCAAAGGACTGGGGACAGTGAAGGATTCCCTTTTTGTTCTCCATGAGCTGGGAGAGCAGCTCAAGCAGCAAGTGGGTGCTTCAGCAGCCTCAGCCGTCCAGTCCGATCAGCTCTCTTTGACTCAACACCTAGGTGCCCTGGAGCAGGCTCTTTGCAAACAGCAGACCGTGCTACAGGTACAGAGCTCATGCTCAGTGTGTGTTATGAACTGGGTGGCCTACAGTGTCTGGGAATAGACACAGGAAATGGAATTTTCCACATTGATGCAGTGCCTCCCCCAGGACCAAACAGTTAAAAGAAAGCAAACTTGGAAGTTCCAATGGGGGCAGAGGAAGGTAAGGGGTTTGGTCTTGTTGCCTTCAATGTAATTTTAAAATTAGTCTAGGTAACAAACCCCTAAACCATGCTTGCCTCCATAGTATGTCCAATTAATAAATAGTAAGTGGCTTCAGTATTAATATTCATATTTAACTAAGGTTTTTGCAAGAATTGGAATTTTCTCAAATGTCTCATAATTTATTTAGAGAATAACTTCAGTTATTGGTTAATGGTATCTAGAAATAATTCTTTTTGTTAGAAAAATGACATAAATAAAGAAAAGAAAACTTAAATCATTATAACCTTGCTTTTTCAGAAATAGCATCTCATAAAAGTCAATTTGATATAACAATGTGAAAAATAATTTCCAAATCCACTTACCCTTTCATGAGATTTCACTAAAAAACGAATATATTTCACTAAAATACCAATTTCTTTTGTGGAAAAAAGGCTGGAGTAGTTGACTATGAAACCTTTGCCAAGAGCTTAGACGCTCTGGAGGGCTGGATGGTGGAAGCCCAGGAAATACTGCAAGAGCAAGACCCCACCCACTCCTCTGACCTCTCCACCATCCAGGAGAGGATGGAAGAACTGAAGGTGCGTGCATCTGAGTCTTCCTCCCATATCTTCTAGTGTCTTTCCTCAGAAGCTTCAGGAAAACTCAGAACTGGTGTAGACCTATTTCCTTTCAGGGACCTAAGAGTGACGCTTTTGAAGCAGCACGTGTCATTTCAAAGCTCAGGTGAAATTGCATTCTATCCAGAAAGAGCCCAGGCAACTTTTGGGTCTCTTACTGCCTGGATGGTTTTGAGCAATTTATTTAGGTTTTTGTCTCTTTCTTTACTCGTTTGTAAAGAGGGAATAGCAAGGGTACTTAGCTCCTGGGTTTGTTTTGAGTTTAAAATGTGTGATTTCTTATAAAGCTATTACAATAATGTTTGATTCATGGTAAGAATTYAATACATGTTAACTATGCTGTTATAACCATCATTATTATTAAATAATGAAGCAATAAACATAAATAAATTAAATATAGAAGAGTAGGAATAAACCTTTTCAGTGTGATTTTCATCCTTTGTCACTTCTACTGAGAATTGCATATGAGTTAAATAAATCATGTGAATAATAAACCAACCTATTAACACCCAAAAAAGGGTAATGAGTAGTTAGGTAGCATAACAGCCATAGTGGTGTAAGCTGATGAGATTCAGCTTTTCCTTATTTGTACCTCTGGAGATTGCAGGCAAGTAAGTGATCTAGAAGGCCAAAGACCAGCTTCTTCCTGAAATCAGAAATTCACTTTGTGCCTTAAAAACACTGGTGCCTTTTCTGACACTGGTGCTGAAGTTGCCTYTCAATCTTGTTTGCAGGGACAAATGTTAAAATTCAGCAGCATGGCTCCAGATTTAGACCGTCTAAATGAACTGGGATATAGGCTACCGCTGAATGATAAGGAAATCAAAAGGATGCAAAATCTGAACCGCCACTGGTCTCAGAACTCCTCTCAGACTACAGAAAGATTCAGGTAAACGAGGTATTTTGGTCTCCCCAGTTGGCTTAATGCGTTTTGTTAAAGGAAGAAGCTTATGTTGCTGTAACAAAATAACTATAGACAGGGTAACTTAGAAAGAAAAGAAATGTATTCTTTCACAGTTCTGGAGTCTGGGAAGTTCCAGATCAAGGTGCCAGTAGGTTTGGTTTTCTAGTGAGCTACTTTCTTTAAGATGGTACCTTCTTGCTGCATCCTCCAGAGAGGCAGGATGCTGCATCCTCAAATGGGGGAAAGGCCAAGAGAGCCAAAGGCAGCCTGGAGACTCCTTTTAAGGGTTTTACCATCACTCACAAAGGGGAAGTCCTCATGGCCTAAATTTTGGAGGGGACACATCGAAACCAAAGCCCTAATCTGTCAGCCCAATAAAAGTTTATGATTTGTGTGTATTTACAAATTTCAGGTTATTCTATTAGTTTTGAAAAACTTGAATACTAAATGTGGGAAACTCAGATTGTAAAGTGGTTTTTCATAAACAGGAAAAAAAACTTCTAAAGTAAAAATATATTTGAGGGACATGCAAAATTTTCATTATTTTTAAAATGTAATATTTTAAACTGTTACTTTTTTCAATCTTTCTTTTTTTTTAAATTTTGCTACACAGCATGAAAGCTATGCACTGATTCAGTTAGAATTGGAGACAGGGAATATTTAATCTAGTTTTATATGTTAGAGGTATAAGAATAAAGAGCAAAATAACTRTTCTTACATATCCTTCATTCTGTCAGTAAGTTGCAGTCATTTTTACTACAACATCAGACTTTCTTGGAAAAATGTGAAACATGGATGGAATTCTTGGTCCAAACGGAACAAAAGTTAGCAGTAGAGATTTCAGGCAACTATCAGCATCTATTGGAACAGCAGAGAGCACATGAGGTGGGTAATGCCAGTAGTTTGGTGGGTACCAAGATGTTTTTGGCTTTTGGAAGATGCTACTAACTTCCACCTGGGGAAAATGAGTTTTTTCTGTCACATGCATCATTTTTGCAAGCTTGAATTTTAATATCTTTTTTTAATTGGATAATTGTTTCATTTTTTAATGTTATTAAGATTTTTTTATTGTTTCTTTTTAGTTATACATGTCAGTAGGATCCATTTTGATATAATTGTACAAGCATGGAATATGTCTTACTCTAATTAGAACCCTTGTTGTTGTGGGATTCTCTGTGGTGTTTTCATATATATATGAAAAGTATGTCAGATTCCTTCCACTGCCTTTTCTTTTTCTATCCTTTCTCTATTTCCTCTATTCCCCATGTCTAATCTATTGAACCTTTATTCTTCCCCTCCCTGCTCCTTATTGTGGGTTAGCTTCCACATAACAGAGAAAACATTTGACCTTTGGTTTCTTAGGACTGGCTTATTTCATTGGACATGATAGTTTCCAGACCCATTCATTTGCTGGCAAAGTCATAAAGTCATTCTTCTTAATGGTTGAATAATAGTCCATTGTGTATATATACCACATTTTCTTTATCCATTCATCTGTTGATGGGCATCTAGGTTGATTCCRTAGCTTACCTATTGTGAATTGGGCTGCCATACACTTTGATATGGCTGTGTCACTGTAGTATGCTGATTTTAACACCTTTGGATATATACCAAGTAGTGGGCCAGCTGGGTCAAGTGGTGTTCCATTCCCAGSTTTCTGATGACTCCATAATGCTTTCCAGATTGGTTGTACCAATATGCAATCCAACCAACAATGTTTGACTATTCCCTTTCCCCCATATCCTTGCCAACATTTGTTGTTACTTGTAATCTTGATAATTGCCATTCTGGTTAGAGTGAGGTGTAGTTTTAATTTGAATTTCTCTAATTGCTGTTGACAAAAAAAAAAAAAAAAAAAAAGTGATCCGGTTCTCTGCTCCAAAGCTGTTTGTAGATATATGTCAAGCATCAATACTTTGTAATGCATAGTGCTAGAGTTGTGCTTAAGGCTACATATTGGAGATAGAGCTGGAGAGGAAAAGGAGTGCAGAAAGCCACACAGTTTTCCAACTGCATTGTAGACTGCATACCATTGCCAAGGCTAACTGCTTAAGAGAATATGCTTGAGCAAAAAGTTTGGGGCAGATGAAAATCTTATGTTCTTTAAAAAACATATTAATTTTATAGCAAGACACCAATCTGTCAAATATCTCCAAGCATATCTCTTAATCGAACTGTATTATAATTATTTCTCAAGAAATAAGGAGAAAGAACTACATACAAATAGTATATTAATTAATTTGCCAACTCTAACCCTATTTTGATATGTATTGGTGTTTGTCCAATACATGCTCATAGAAGGATGGGACATACCTAAGAACTGAGAGAAACTTGTTTTTAAAAAGAATAAAATGAATTTTAAAATGTTTTGCTGGAATTCTAAAAATAGAAAATTTAAAGGTAGATATTTTCAAATCCAGTTTTACTGAGCTGACAGATGAGGACATAAAAGTCATGGATCAAAACTACAGTGAGACACCATTTTTCACCCACTAGGATGGCTAAAATGAAAATCATGACAAATATTGGTGAAGTTGCAGAGACATTGCAGTCCATGTGCATTGTTGATGGGACTGTAATGTGGTGAAACTGTTTTGGAAAACAGAGGATCATTTCTCAAAATGCTAAACACAGAATTGCCTTATAACCCAGTAATGCCATCCCTAAGTATATCCCGCACAAAACCTGGACAAGTGTATGTTCATAGCAGTACCTTCATAATAGACAAAGTAGAAAAAAACCCAAAGTCCATCAACAGATGAGTGTGTAAATAAAATGTAAGCACTCTTCAGCGATATTGCAACGTGGATGAACCGAGAAAACGTCACGTGCAAGAAGCCAGTCACAAAAGGCAACATGTTACTTGGCTCAATTTATATGAATTATCCAGAGTAAGCAACTGATAGAGATGTGAAGTAGATTAGTGGTTGCTCAGAGCTGGGAATTGGGAGGAAATGGGGTCTGATTTCTAATGAGGACAGAATTTCTTTGGGGATGATAAAAACATTCTAAAATTGATCATGGAGATGGTGGCACAAGTCTAGAATATAATAAAAGTTATTAAACTGGACATTTTAAATGTGCAGATTTTATGACATGTGAATAATATCTCAACCAAACTATTTAAAAACAGTGGAAATAATTTGAAAGACCTTTCTATTGATTTAATAATGAAATAGTTTTATTAAACTAATTAATTTGAAAAACATTTCAGAAAGACCAGAACACAAATTATTCATCAACTTACCTTATTGAGGGATTTAAAGAGAAAGAAGGGAAACCTAAMTCTACTTTTAGTCATTAAGTTTATTCCAAAAACCAAACTTTAAGCCTACTTTAATTAATGGTCTAAAAATAAATATTCCTACATGTCAGGATTTCACACTCATCGTGATTCAGCTGGAGATATTTTCCATAGTCTTGCTATACCCAGTGCATTTGAAAGGTTATCAGAAAACCGGTCACTAAAATTAGGAACTCTAAAAGTATGCTCTTCTTTTTTAAAATTATAGTTGTTTCAAGCCGAGATGTTCAGCCGTCAGCAGATTTTACACTCAATCATTATTGATGGGCAACGTCTTCTAGAACAAGGTCAAGTTGATGACAGGTAGGATCTTTGATAACTTATTATGAAGAAAGCTTCCAGTAAATTAGTCATTTTCCTTTTAATGAGCAGATTAGAGGGCACATAGCCAATCTTCTCAAGGCAATTGTACTATCGTGGAGTCTCAGTAATTGGAGGAAGGCTTGTCTGAATCTCTGAAATGAGTGAGTATTGAATCCTTTTAGAGAACAGCTATTATATGATATGAAGGACATAGAGTAATTGGAAATCACCTAGCCAACCTTCGCTAGTCATCTGTAGAGACTGGAATTAATGAATAGATCAGAATGAATTGTATCAATGGTTCATAAACAGATGCTTCTAATATTCTCATGCAATTATCGAAATTGTATTCCTAAAAGGAGGATAGATATCACTAGTCCATCTTTCTTACTCGGAGATGAAAAACCTGAGACCCACAAATGTGGACTGATTTGACCAAGGTCACAAAACCAAGGAGCAGCAGACTCTGGCTTTRTGCTCCTGGGTCTAGTTTGTAGTCTGCACAGCCAGCCTTCCCAGGCCACAAAACTTCCTCCATGTTTGAAAATGATTTGTCACCATAAATCTGATTACATTCTACCTGAAATACTTCTTCCTCTTCATTTACATGACAAATTATCTCTTTAATAAAAATTCAGAGGTAAAAACATAGCTTCTCTTCCAATTTACAGCATGTGAATTGGCAATTCTGTGCAGTATTTACGTTTCCTAGGAACGATATTTTATTTATCTTATCGACTTTCCATGGTGATATTTGGAGAATTAAACTCATTTGTTTTATTATATGCATACATCTTTCCCATAGTTAGGACCAGTAGTTGTGATTATACTTAACTTTGTGTATTTAAAAAAAAAAAAAAACAGAAAATGAATCATTTTATTGTGAAAGGTTTTTTTTTTTTTAATGTTTTGGAAGTAATTTCGGTTTTTAAGTGGTTATTTCTTTGGATGTACATAAAAGATTTTCATAGTTAAGGTTGGAACAACAAAACATGATACCATATTATTCTTTCCTAAGCAGGCCAAACTTAAATGCAAGGTTTACTGAGAATTTAAGACCTTCAAAATAAAACAAACTCAAATGCAATTAACTTTTAGCTTTTGCTTTATCATATTTTAGCCAACTTTTTAACARTATTATAAACATTCAAGTCATTATGTTAAATACAATTTGCAATTCCCCTATAAGCCAACATCTATTAAATTTTAAATGCTAACATTTAGGGGAAAAACAACAACAGAGAGAAGAAAATTGGAAGATAAGAATTTTGATAGTTGCAATTAAAAAAAGAACCATCAGATTAGAACCTGCTGACAATAGGAAGGTTCCAGATGACAAATGTACGTGACTCTCAAAGTTCATTTATGGTCTCTGTTGTTTAGAGCTTAAGCAGTGGGGAGATGTGCTCTAAGTGGTTTCTTGTGMTGACAGGTAGCTTAGGGCCACTGGGCTACACAGGGAGGATAGAGCCCCATAGAGATCCTGGGTGGTTACCTGGCACAAAGCAACACACACATGAACCATTCCACATTCCATGATGTTCTCATTCTGATTTGACAGATGTTATAAATGTTAAGGAAGTATCATGAAGTTAATTTGCACATTTGGATTTGACTGTGCTTGATTTGACAGATGACTTCTGTTTTTGAAAGGAAATTCATATATATAATCTATACATAATACACACACACACACACACACACACACACACACACATATATATAATATCCCCCGCTTTGCTCTATTCCTCTCCACTCACACACTCAGGAAGAGAGTGACAATGCCTTGTCATAGATTTTTCGACCTGTACTGAGACATGGAAACACCATTTACCTACACCAATAGTCTAATTTTGAAAATTATTTTCAGTAGACCCCATAGCAGATCTTGGCATAATATTTTAAAATTGATTTGTTTGTTTGTTTTTATGATACTGGGGATTGGTCTAGGTGTTTTGCACATGCTAATCAAACACTACCACTGAGCTACATTTGTGCTCTACCTCAGCACTTTTTTAAGTTACCCTGGCTGGCCTTGAACTTTTGATTCTCCTGTATCAGCCTTCTGAATAGCTAGGACTAATGGCATGTACTACTGCACCCGGCCATAGCATCTATTTTAAATCCTTTGCCTTAGATCACTTCTCAGGGCTTGCAGTCATTGAGAAGGTATGCTCCCTCTGTTATGTGGCTACATCCAATAGAACAGTCTTTTCACCGTGTAATCACCTCTTCTCCAGGGATGAGTTCAACCTGAAGTTGACCCTCCTCAGTAATCAGTGGCAGGGAGTGATTCGCAGAGCCCAGCAGAGGCGGGGGATCATCGACAGCCAGATTCGCCAGTGGCAACGCTACAGGGAGATGGCAGAGAAGCTCCGTAAATGGTTGGTGGAGGTGTCCTATCTGCCCGTGAGTGGCCTTGGAAGCATCCCCGTGCCACTGCAACAAGTCAGGACCCTCTTTGATGAAGTGCAGGTAGGATGCAGAACAYACTATTCTCCAGCCTCTTCTGCATTTCCAACTTGACCTTAGCCTCAGGGCTTCAGAGGTACCCTGGAGTGACAGGGGAATTAGAGTCAATATTATTCTCAAATGTGAACTGAAAATGCAAAGTGATTGCCCTGCAGACGTCTGAATGGTAGGGTCAGAGTAAACCTCAGCCTCTCCCAGAGCCTCTTCTACTCCACACACCAAAGCTCACAGCAGCTCCCTGCAGCCCAGCTAGAATGTGTTGATTATGTCTRTTTTACTCGTGAGCAATTTAAACATGTAATGCAAGCACTCCAGAGAAGGCTGTGTCCTGAGTTCTTTGTCCCTGCCCAACCAGCTCCTTACTTTCACTAGCCTGAGATCTGGGGCTATGGCATCTGAGACAGATACCTCCCARCACTCTCACCCATCCTTCCCCCTTGATTCATGGGCTCTCTTCCTTTCAAGGTCACTGTTCTGTGGTTCTCCTTTTCCAAATGTCTTTGAAAGAACTCATCTACAGATAGGGCTTCAACTACTCACTACCAGCAAAAAGGAGCAAATTGGTATCTTCTGGTCACATTTCACCTGCTATGGTTTCAACTCCTGTATCTGGCCACATTTTAGATTGATATCTGTGCATTTCAGCKGTAACAACTCTGTGTCCCTCAACAGAGTTTGTGATCTCTGAAACAACATTCTTTGTTTCCCATGTCCAGTGTAGGAAAATGTTGTCACCAGCGATCTGGTCTATCAGACCAGGACCCCTAGTGTCATTGTAGAGCTGTACCCCTCCTTGTCTGTTGCTCCCCATATAAATCTGCTGCAMGTCTTCATCCTCATGGCCACTGCCTTGAATAAGGCATTCATGACTTCTCACCTGAATGGACAGTAGCTTTCTTACCTGTCTCAGCATATCCAATACACACCCCTCTTCCATCCCACTTTCCACCCTGCTTCTGAATGCTTTTATTAAAACCTTAATTCAAACACATTACTYACCTCCTTAATATTCTTCTGTGGCCACAGTTCTTTTTACTCTAAAAGAACAAATTTCTGTGCTGCAAGATGTAGTCTTGCCTCATCTTTGACCATTCTGTTAACATGCACCCCATACTCCAGCCACTGAAAAACTACATCCTGTTTTCCTGGACAGTGGACATGCRCATCCTCAGTTCCCTGAGGGAAGGTGTTCTCTCCTCTGCTTCTGCTTYGACTCATCACTTAATAAGATTGCYTTCACGTGTCTTCCAAGAAGTCCCAAGCCACTTCACCACTTGGGGGAAGCTATGCTGTRCCTGCCATGCTCTATGTTCTTGGCACACCAGTTTGATAAAGCAAATCTCATATTATATCCTGACTGTATTTGACTTCAGGGTAGAAAGGAAGCCTTTCCCTGTTGTGTTCTCATTCATTATACRTGGTTCATTCCTGCACAAAGTACCATCTCAACAAATGCTTGCTGGATGAAAGAGGGCAGGCTGCATATGCTAACATGCGGGGCCACTAAGAATACTGATAGTAGGAAAAGGATGAAGAAGAGTCSAAAAAGTAAAAAGTGACCCTTCCTTTCAGTTCAAAGAAAAGGTGTTYCTGCGACAACAAGGGAGCTACATCCTGACGGTGGAGGCTGGCAAGCAGCTCCTGCTGACTGCAGACAGCGCAGCCGAGGCCGCCTTGCAAGCTGAACTCACTGAAATCCAAGAGAAATGGAGATTGGCCAGCATGCACCTGGAGGAGCAGAAGAAAAAACTGGCTTTCTTGCTGAAAGTAGGTTCAATTTAAAAGGGCCTTTTAATAGTTGTACTGTTTTCTCTAATTTTTTTCCTTGCAAATCAAGTATTCAAAGATCATTGAGCAATACCTGCAGGATTTTGAGCCTGTGCGTTTTATTTAAGACTTTGCCCTATCTTGCAGGAACTGGACAAGTTTCTCCATTTTCAGCATTTCATTTTTCAGGACAATCCCCCAACAACGTAATTAAAACTGGAAAAGGTCTGTCCATGCTATGAATTCTGATTAATGGCCATTGCTAAGGCTTAGCCATGAGATGACTTTATAAAATTAGACAGAAATTCAAAGCATTGGTTCCACTCCCTAACCTCAAACTCCAAAATGGTTCTCAAGATTGATATCTCTTATTTTATAGCAGGGGAAAACCAACCCAAAATGATACTCTSAAGTTGGCTTAGTTTACCAAAGAAGGTTGCTGGGCAATAAAATCTCCAGGAGGAATATGAAGCCCTTAGTTGGATACACACTGCATACTATCACTTAGGAAGTTGAAGGGAGCTTGGATTGGGCTAYACCTGCCCCAAGAAATTTTCACCCTTATTTTCAAATTCCAGGTATAAAACATAATTAAATCAGGAGCTTAAAAAGGGCATGTGCCCTAAACCTGGGTAAAACCAAGTTAAAACCATAGTAAACCAAGTAATCTGGTTACTGGAATCTTTCCAATCCCCGGACAAGTGGTATATTACCTGGTACATATTGAGCACTAAATATRTAACAGTAATTAGCATTGTTTATGTCATAATTTAAAAAAGTAAACACAGTAAATGCTAAATTATATAGGTTGATAATCACCAATAATTCAATGAGATTATCTATTAAAGTGACTTGTCACTTTTTTGGATCAAAGGTAATAACTAAAGTTAATGGAGCAGATTTTGCTCTTTTATTGTTTAAAGTCCACACACCCATTTGATTTGTTCTACTGAATTTTAGTTAATGATATATTACCTTCTGAGTGGGAAATAAGCAATCAAAAATACCCCTAGGCATCTATAAGTCACTATTATTTGCATACAGTGCAATTCATCGGTAATATAATATGCCAAATTCATCTTGCTTTCAGGAAAGGATTTAAAACATTGTAACTCGCTCTGTAAGAGAACATGTTAATCATATATTWTTCTTTATTTGTGATGTGATTTTTGGAGACATTCCTGAGATTTAATGAGGCATGGTATCTGAGTCACTGCCTTTGCCGAAGACAAGTCTGTCTGCTGGTTGGTGTATAAAACATCCGAATTAATAGATGCTTACAGACCACAGCATTAAGCTATTACCTTAGAATTCATAGAGCAAACAGACTTGATTATAGCTTCACAGTCTAAGTCATTCTTGGAAAGGGARRAATCCCTGTTCTTCTCTTGTTAAAGCTTGTTATATTTTGAATCATTTACTTCCTTCTATCTGTTTAAGAAAGTATTATAAAACTAAATTTTAATGTTTTTGGAGCTTCATTTCAGGATATCTTTGCACCACAGCTATAATACTTAYCTATTTTTAGTTCTCAATCTAATGCTCCAAGTATGTATGTCAAAAATAGTCATTATAATTCCATATTCTACATAGTCACCTGCTTCACCGATGCCTCAAAGTATTTTCACAAGAATGAGTTGTCCTTGTTTCTGTGAGATCAATGAATAATTACTGACTGCATTCTTATAGATTTTGGGGTGTGTGCTGATTTAAATAAGGATGTTTTATTCATTTTAAGCAGGAAGAGGACCTGTCTACCCTCACTATGCTGGTTATAGGGATGAGAGAATATGATTATACACTCTAGGAAGTTTAAAGAGAAATGAGAATGTGGGACCAAACCTTTGGTTCGGTTAAAAGCAAAAGACACTTTGGGTAGGAATTACTTTGGTCCTTACTTTTTGTGTCAGTAAAACAAAACAAAAGACAKTTGTAGTGATAGACGGTTGTGGTTGTAGTCACAGTTATACCTGTGGGTTGTCATTGCAAARGWTAAATAAATCAGGTGTCAGGAGAGAAGACAGGAAGAATKCTAGGAAGGAAAGACTGGGCTGTGTTGGACAACATAGAGGAGACTTGTTTAGTTGGACTTACTTTTCCATGGCATTGAGATACCAAATAAGAGTTAACTTGTAGATATGGTGCTATAAATATCCGTCTCCATTGTGGAGATTTCATTTTTTTCTTAGTTTTTAATTACTCCTTCCACTCTTTTCCTTAGTTTTTAAATTACAAAAGAAATACATGTGTCATAAAATTTCACATAATAATTGAGGTATATAGAGTACAAAATGAAATTCCCCTTGAACACCATTCAAATTGTCTATCTCTGCCAAGAGGGAGCCATTGCCACCAGTTTGTTGTGTAACATTTGAAAACAAAGCCACACAATGCCTGTTTTCTTTTGTCAGCCCGTGGAGACCCCCAGGTTCTATGCTGCCATGCTCTACCACTCAGGGAGCACTTACCACTACGTGGCATGCTGGATACATATTTCTTAAAGTGTGCCTTAGCTCTCTTCCCCCACTTCTTGTTTGTGTGGACTTTTACGTTCTATACAACCCTTTGCTACCTKCTTTATCAGTAACAAGATAAAGCCAGTCAAAGACTCTGCCCATCACTGTTGTATTTCCACTTCTTTGACAGCTCATACCCATGTGGCTCATACCATTRATGAATTTAATCAGACTCAGGGTTACATTGTTTTTACATTCGCTCTSTCTCCTCTTACTCCTATGTGTTTTTATAGCCTCTTTTTTTTTTTTTTTTATCCCCTGTAATGTATTGGGAAGAGCATGGGCGTTGAATGCAGTTATGGATGAAGTTAGCTGAAAGGCACATTGCCACATCATACCCCTGCCTCTGCAGACAGATTTGGATTCAGATAACATTGCTGAGTATTCATGATTCTCTGGGTGTTGTGTTTGTTAACACCCATTGCTTATTTTAATTCTCTGACAATTATAGTTTGTATTATTTCCATTTTCATTGGGAAACATGAGACACAGGCTTATCAGCTTACTAAAGTCATGCAGTTAAAAGGTAACAGAGTCAGAGTTGGACTCAACTCTCAGGATGACCGCATGCTGCCCGTGGTGGCAAAGGGTGTGGACTCCCCTTCTCACTGTTCATCAATGTGACTTTAATTCTTTCTCTGTAATTAAAAAGTGTTTCTTTCTTGTTTTCTCATTTATTTCCAAAACAAAACAAAAAACATACCAGGCACAGTGGTGCATGCCTGTAATCCYAGCAGCTTGGGAGGCTGAGACAGGAGGATCGTGAGTTCAAAGACAGCCTCAGCAATGGCGAGGCACTAAACAACTCAATGAGACCTTGTCTCTAAATAAAATACAAAAAATAGGGCTGGGGCTAGGGCTCAGTGGTTGAATGCCCCAGCTCAATCCCCAGTACCCCTTCCCACCAAAATAAACTGACATGCAATTTCTTTTGCTTCCATTATAGGACTGGGAAAAATGTGAAAAAGGAATTGCTGATTCCTTGGAGAAACTRCGAACATTCAAAAAGAAGCTTTCCCAGCCTCTACCGGATCATCATGAGGAGCTTCATGCAGAGCAAATGCGGTGCAAGGTGAATTACTGGATGGAGATAATCCCTGTCACCCATCTTCTGCCTGTGCAGGGATAACGCCTGCAGAAGAATAATCCCATCAATCTTCTCTGGCTGTCTGCATGCAKATGCAAAATCCCAGGGGACTGCAATAAGACAAATAGCTCCTAAGTGATACTTGCTTAGCTCACTTATTGCAGTGAGTGAAAGTTTATGAATTAACCTGCTGAAGCAAATGAAAATTAAACACAAACATTAAAGATATTTAAAAGCCAGRTCAAGAGCAATAAAAGCAATCTTTCTACAGCATCCACACTGAGGGATCATTTTAGCCAGAGTCTACTTTACAGAAAGCATTGGCAGCCTGGACAATCTGTTGTCTATGGCTTGCAGAAGAACAYGCYCTCCCCTCCAGACTCTTCTGCAAARAAAGCAGGAAAAATTGCTAAYCTCAGTTGACCAGGAGTCACCCAATCCTTATTACTCAGGGCTCTAACTACTTAAAGATTATGATCAATGCTTTAAATCATGCTTGAAAGCAAATTGGTAGCTAATACAGACCACTCCCTGCATGATGAAGTCATGAATACGTACAKGATTTAGTGGCTGTAGGATTCATCCCATTTACACCTTCTTAGCCCAGTAAAGCTCGAGACTGGTCCTCWGCTGAGCAATGTACCCATCAGATCAAAAGTACTAATACTTTTTTTTTTTCAAATTATACATGTCCTCATGTTCTCTAATTATTTGTAAATTATGGCTGTAGTGTAATTCTAGTAAAATTTTACATATACGGAAGTGATATGGATTTTAATTGGAAGTTCTCTGCCTCACTTTGATTAAGAAATAGAAATGTTGCATTTTTAATTTACCGGAACAGTTTGATCCTTCAAGCCAAGAGATTATTAAGTYTAGAAATCTTGATAAGTGTGGATGTAAGAATTTTTCCTTCAGTACTAAAATTCCAAAGATATTCTTTGAGACATGAAAAGGCAGTTAGGAAAAAATTGAAGGTGGTACGCTTCACATCTCAAATGGCAAGTGAATGAAATATTATTTTGAGGTGTGATGTTCAGAAGTTTGTGAAGATGACAAAGGTAAACAGTTATTTTTAAGCCTGTGATTATAAATTTACCAAAAAACTATTAAATACAGATTCTGTTAAGTAAGAATGGACACTGATTAGGCTCCTCTGTGTGCCAGTGACCTCATGAGTGATGTTTCAGTTGGTCTGAACACAAGTCAGGAGGACATTCTGTTATTGCCTTTTTGCAGATGAGAAAACAGAGGCTTCTAGGAACTAAGTAAGWCTCCGAGTTGATGCATTTAAAGGCTGTACTTTTCCCACACTGACTTGCCTCGTGGAGAATGTTCAAAGCAGTGGGTCCTGATGTTAGTGTTGTTTGTTTTTTCAATCTCTTCACCAAATCTGCTSTTTGGATTGAGGACCAGGAACTGGCATAAAATGAGCAAAATCTTTACATTGGTATAACAATTTAACATCTCCAAAGGTGTAAATGTTGCATTTTTAAATGTTGCATTTTTAATTTACCGGAACAGTTTGATCCTTCAGCCAGATGCTGTTTCTAAGGAGTCTCATTTTTTCATCTCCCCAAATACTGGACACATACTCTGCTTTTGAGTKTGTAGATTCAAAGGATGCCTTTCAATCTGGCTCTCTGCTCCTCTTCCCCAAACAACCTTAGCAGCAAAACAAAGCAATTACTTGGAAAATCAGGCTAAAACCTTGTTTGCCTAAATTGCCTGGAAAGTCAGCCTCAGACAGTATTGTTAATTACTTTTGCCTTTGRAAACTTGTCTCCTGTGTGAAGAGACAAAAAGGAGAAGGAACCAACCATGTGAAATTTTCTATTCATACGCTAAATTAGCTGGATTCTAAAGGCAACAACTGGCAGGGAACAAGAGTTATACAAATTGCAAAATCAGCCATCCATCAAAGTATTGCAAAAGTTAATGTCAACTCTTACAAATATTGTTATAAGATTTTTTTCTCCTTAAATCATTTCCCAAAAGAACAGGGTACATAATCTTTTTCAGTGACTTAAATAAATTTCTGATCCTACAGAAAATGTATTCAGGGAATTATTTTTAATTTAGTAATAATAGTTCTCCACCGTTATCTTGTAAGTATACATCACAGAACATAGCAACTCATAGTGTATGAAAATGAAAATATTTCATTAGTGTGATCAGTAACTTAGGACAAAAAGAAAGTATGGGTTATGTGTTTATGACGTCAGTTTAAAGTTCAATGCAGTGCTGAAACATCAGTTAGGAGAAGCCATCAAAGAAAAAACAAGATCGTTGAGGTGGTAAATAGATGTTAGAAAGATTCTGYAAGCAAGTCTGGTATCAGAAGAACTTGGCAATTGATCAGATTATGTAGGAAGAAAATGAAACAGATCCSACGTTAGAGAATGGAAATGGAATTTTATCTGGAAGGATTTCAAATGATGTGAGAAATTGTTGACAGTAGATGACAAGATAACTATTAGAGAAAAATTCTAATAAGTAAGAATGGGCATTTATTAGGCCCATTTTTTCAAGAATCCTTTTCAAGAACTTCTTTTTTAATCTAGGAATTAGAAAGTGCCGTTGGGAGCTGGACGGATGACTTGGCAGAACTGACATTGCTGAGGGGCTCCCTGTCTGCCTACATCAGTGCTGACGACATCTCCATTCTTAATGAGCGCATAGAGCTCCTGCAGAGGCAGTGGGAAGAACTGTGCCACCAGGTAAGACCAGTGCCATACGTGGAAAGTGACCATTGTGATGGAAAGCAGGGTGGTGATTCAGTGGCAGGTGGCTTGACCAGGTTTGGACCCACCCATAGCTTATGGTACCAGCTAAAGAAGAACCCTGTGGTTATTGCCAGAACATTCCAGACCAAGACAACTATGTCTTACCATTGTATCTTTGATGCATCTAAACTGGATTCTCTCCACTCCTTTCATTGGCTGGTGTAGTATTTTTAAGAGGAAGTGCAAAGCTGTGGTTGACAGATGTGATTATTTTGCTAGGTAGATACTAGTGGCATCTTATATGTTTTAAGCACATGAAAAAGTATTGTTTTATTTGCAATTGCAGCTAACACTCCAGAGCTAGTTCTGTTATGGAATATTTATTGTTRCTCTCATCCTAGTTGTTTCCTGGTAATTAAAGGGTGTGTGGCATGGTTAGTCATACTTTATTCATGTTTTGAGTACCTTTCTTTGTGTGTAATACTTTAGAAGAGATCCCAGGTTGGTCTTTGAGTTGGAAATGAAAGGGAAAAGTTGGTGGAAAGGCAGTAAGAGGACACCCTGGACCAAGAGAGTATCAAATTGCAGGCTTGCAAATGAGCAGACAGCTGCCCAAGAGGCTTATGGACCTACCCTCCAAGAGGCAGGGCCCAAGTCTGTCTCTCCCCATCTGTAACTATGCCCCATGCCTAGCACATTATAGGCTATGCCACTTAATTATTCAGTTGAATTGTTCATTGCCATTATTGTGAATTTGACCAGCCGTAATAGATGTTCCCACCATCAAGCTTACAAACTTGATTTACACAAACTTTTACAAAGAAAACCATGTATAACCGGGTTAAACACAATATGTGAAAATATATAAAGATATAAATGAGCTAAGGATGAYAGGGATTGAAGAGAATGAAGGAGGTGCTTCTTGGAATGGGTAAATCTTCAAGGGAGGCCTGAGATGGAGAGCGTGGAGTGAGATTGGTGTGCAGGGGACAATGGATGCAGGAGTAAGCTTGCAGCTGCAGTAGAGGCCAGAGACGCAGGCCTTAGTGGGGCATATGTAGGTGTCATCTGGTAGAGGAAAGGCTGTGGAAGGGTGGCCTCTTGGTGTCTATGCCAGCTACACTGCTCTACCATCTCTTTTCTCTCCCATCCTTCTACCTCCTCCAACTTTAGGGATGCTTATTATCCTTGTGCTCCAGGAACTACTAAACAGAGGCTCAGAGCCTCTTGGTTTATTTGACATCAAGAAGAAATATGTTCTTACAGAAACTTCTTTCTGAATGTTTAAATGAAAACCCAGAATTTTCTCATCTTGTGAACCAAAGGGGGACTCTAGGCATACATGGTAGATGTGTGAACCCTTTTCTGGTGAATATATTCTTGCAAAAAGCAGGACACAGGAGAGAGGCTTTCATCAGCCTGTCAGTGATTCACGTTCCACATGAATGTAGCTACTTTTCACAGAGCTCTGTATTCTCAGCAACCATGAGAAACCTCCATCAAGTTCCTCATAGGAAGTGGCACTATTAATCACCACACTTTATTCTTTTCTGATTTCTTCAACCCAGAAGGAATACATTTCCATAGTCACTCATCCTRTCATTTCCTGATGTAACGACCTTACCACGATGTATAAATGGAAGCTATTTTGTGGTGACAGATGATGGCAAATTTTTACAGCATGATTCCTTTACCCTTATTGAGCCTGTTCATCTATTTTTAATTTTGAGAAAAGTTTAGTACTRCTTGCTGTCTTCATGTTTTTCAACATTAGACCAGATCCATTTCTGTAGCTAATGGAATCCTACAGAGTTCTTCAGAAAGGTGACACCTCAGAGTTTGGYCGTTTCCTTGGCAAACACACATGAACATCCCTCCCTAAAAGTCTGATCATGCCACTCCTCCTGCCTAAGCTGATGATTTCTTCCCTTCTGATTTCTAGCCTGTGGTCTTTCATATTCCACAACCCTGTGGCATTGTGACATTATGCTCTGTCATTGAGATTTTCTTAGTCCTGTGAACTACCCTTTCCCTTTTGTCTGTGCTGTTCCATAGCATGGCATTTTACTTTTTTGTTTGTGATCTGAATCCAAAAGCTAAGGTGCAAAGACCTTTTCTCTGTATGGCTAATGCCCACCACAGCTGAGTGTTCACTGTGTCTGTGTGTGTCTGTGCAATATAGCAGTAGAGGGGATGGAACCCAGGACCTCGCGCTAGTGAGGCTACTGCTCTGCCAGTGGACTATGTCCCCAACCCTATACATTCTTTTTTTTTTAATTTTATTTTAGTTGTAAGATGGATGCTATCACTGAGCCACACCCCAGCCCCCTGWGTATTAAAAAGATATAGACTCTATGTCTTTATGCTTCTGCTCCTCCAATGATAAAACAATGACACAAGTTTTAATGTTTTGGAGGTTAAGATTATGGTCATGCAATATTCTTTGATTTGGGAAAACTTGTTTAACAGTGCCATGAAAGTATTACTATTATTACTGATTCTTATACATGTAGATGTTGCAAAAATGACCACTAGATACCTAGGCAACAGTCTGTTTGAAAACACATTTTGAAAGTTGCTTTTGGTCACAGAATATGCTGTGAAGAGATTAATGCTTTGCACCCATGCATACATCAAGGTGTAAAGGAGAGGAAGCTATGGAATACATAGTGTTTCYAGAAATTTCTATGTCCAAGTGTCCTGAGGACCTTGCTGTACTTCATGGTACATCAAGTTGTTTGCCAGCAGGACTCTAGTCATGGGTTTGGTCAAGGTGCCTACATGTCAGTCTTAAGGAAGGAGGTGGATGCGCTGCTAGTTCTTGAGTTGTTTCTGGTGAACTTTTGTCGAGCRCGGAAACCACAACAGGAAGTGAGCCTGTGCCTGTTGCATTGTACAAGTCAGAAACTAAGTTYGAACACAGCATTGTCCCTGCTAAGGAGCAGGTATCCTGTTCCTGTTCTTCTAAAGTAGCTGATAGGAGTCAAGAGTACCTGACAGCAGGTAAGAATGAGGAAGCCGGACTGTGAGTAAACATTGCAGCCCAGAAAAAAAAAATGTATAAAAGAAATCTGTTTTTAAATAGACTCCCCAGGGGGTAGTCAAGCCTATGTACAGCCATGGGTGATACTTGCTTTTACTTCTGTTTCAGTTTGAAGAACGGTGTGTGTGGAAATTCTAGTTGAAATATAAATTTATAACATCACTGTAATTGCTCATTTCTTTTCCCTGCAAAATGTCATCGTCAAAGTATGTGAAGCAGAAAAGGATGTACTTCCTGTTCAGCCGTCTCCTGTTCTGCAGGCAGTACAGTGTGTCTGTGCCTGTAAGAAAATGTAAATGTGTGCTGAGCTGATAACATAATTTGAGAGATTTGACTGTAACCAAGCAAAGAGATGGTAATGTTCATTTATATATGGCCTAATATTGGACTTATAAACAACAAAAACAAAAAAAAACCCACTTCATTCTTCTAATRAATTTACATTTTTAACAAAATCTTTTGGCCCCCATTGGCAGCCACTGCTTATAGCCTACCTGCTGCTTCTTAAGTCTCAAGTCCATGATAAGCAGGGCAGAGGTGCTTTCATAGTGCATGAATATACACAGACACTGAAGACACCAGTGCCTAGGAGGAAGCCAGCTAACAGCTCCGSATGCCCTGAGTCATGCACAACAGTATAGACAGAGTGAAGCAGCAGCGTGGCCAGGGCCGCCCTGTCGGCCTTCAGAATGTGCCAGTCTCTTCTGTCCGCCTGCTATTTCCTGGTWCATGGGAATGGTGCTTGGCACAGTGAAGACACATGCTTACCATAAACAATAAACATGTGATGAATCTGGGGAAGAATTAGGATTAATTTGTAAGTGAAGAGTGTAAGGCTTAGAGAAGATGAGTAACCTTTCCCACGTTATCCAGAATCGATGGAGATGGGTTCTCAGGTGCCTCTGGATGTTTGATCATAATGTTATATTGCAACCTGTAACAAAGACTCAAGCATGGCTGGACCTCTTTTACTCACTATAAACAGACTATAAACAGATGCCTCAGAGGTGTTCAGTGTCACTCTTCTGATCCCTGTAATGGGGATAAGACCACCTACCTCTCACAGTAATGGAGAATAGATTTTTCTATCATAGGATCACCCTCCCTGAAGACGTGGGTGAGGGTAGCCCCAGCTTGCTTCCTGGATGGTGGCCAACATTGGGGTGAAGCTACTCAAAGCAAGACAAGTTCACCATATGGTCAGGGGTTTCGAACCTCTTTTTTAGAAAGCAGTTACCAATTATGAAAACACAGTTTCAATTTACAACATCAGCTGAACCAGAATCTTAACTACAGCCAGGGCCCTGACTCGGGTGCTGTGTGACCCACTGGARACCCACTGAAGAATTAGTCTGAACATCCCAGCAGATCAGAGCCACTSTCTCTCAGAGTTGGAGAGGAAAGGGGTACTGAAGGAGCATGCTCCCCAGCACCGTCCCCAGTGGGGCTTAAAGTAGGTGACATCTGCCCAAAAATTTTAACATTTTAACCTGTGGGTTTTTTTTTGTTTGTTTGTTTGTTTTTTTTAGCTTTTTCTACTCCCCACCCCAAGTGAGCTCATTGCCCTCTAAGCATTTCTGTATTAAACTACCTCAATGAAAACTAAATGTTCAGCTAATTATATTGATGGGGAATCCTTGATGGCTTCATCAGTGACACCCAACCCAGAGAAATATTTATTTTAAAACATCCCAAATAGCTCAAAAGATTGAATTTCTAATRTTGAAATTTCAAAAACTATGGTGAGTTACAAACTCACTGTTTAGACGGGCCCTGAGAAAGGGGTCTTTGGCTTATGTCTTAACTCCCTACTCTTTTCTCAGATATAGAAACACAGACATTTGGGTTGTATGGGAGCTAAATTATCTGCCTCATCATTAACAGATTCATTTCTAGACAGGAAGCATATGGCACCTTCAAAATAGTTTTCATTTTCATCTWAGAGATTCCTTTGATGTATGTATACTATATCAAAACACACTCTACTATCATACATATCTAAAAATTAACAAAAAAATAAATTAAAAAGAAAGGAGATTCCTTTAAAGCTCATAAAAAAGCAATTGAATTGATAAGCTAAAGCCAAATTTTAACAATTTTAGAGTCTAGGGTGTATGTCATTGGTGCTTAGCATACACTTTGTATTTGTTTGAAAATTTCCATATTGAAATGTTGCAAAGAGAGAGAGAGAGAGAGAGAGAATGAATGAATCAATAGTTATGTATTTGATGCAGTAGACTCAATAATGGAATGGCTAGTATTACCGACAGGTCTTCAAACCTTACCACTCAAATCATATTTTTTTTTGGCTAATGTATAGTTTAGTTCCACTAGAAAAATTCCTTAGTAGYTCAACCTCCCCTGAGAGAACAAAAGGAGCATAAAGTGAGAGAACTTAAGAATTCTAGAATCATTCTAGACTTAGAAATGAAAACAAGTATCTATAATGTTCAAGGAACTTTTCAAACTCAATAATACACGACTTTATTTTAAAATGGGCAAAGGAATTCACGAGATAGTTCTGCAGAGAAGATATACCAGGCCAGGAATCATATGAGAAAGCTCTTACCTTCATTATCATTAGGGAASGGCACATSRAAACCACAGTGAGGTAGCACCTACCACCTGCTGGCATGGCTGTCATCAAAAGATAGATGATAACAAACTCTGGTGAGGAGATAGAAAAAGTGAACCCTTACTGCTATGGGAATGTGAAGTGGCGTAGTTACCTTTGAAAACAATCCTGGCTGTTACCATGTGACCCAGCAATTGTATTCTTGGGTGCATACCCAAGAGAAATGAAAATGTGTCCACGTGAAGGCTTTAGCATGAAGGCTTAAAACAGCATTATCCATAGTAGACTTAGGGTGGAATCAACCCAAATGTCCTGAATCAATGAATGAACAAATAAAATGTGTTATATCCGTGCAATGGAATTTATTTAGCAATATAAAAGAATGAGGTATTGATAGCTCTGAACATGGATGAAGCTTTAAAATACAAGCAAAAAAGCCAGTTATAAATATCCACTTACTGTATGATTTGACTTACAAGAAATGTCCCCAATAGGCAAATCCCCAGAGGCAAAAAGTAGATTYGAGTTGGAAGGTGCATGGGGAGAAAAAGGGGAGTGACTGTGATGACTACAGGGTTTGGGGGGCTGTGCATTGATTTGGGATGATGCTTSTGCAACTCCGTTAGTAAACACCACTCGGTGTGTACCTGAAGCAGATGGATTGTATGATGTGTGAATTCTACCTCAGTCAAGCTGTTATGCTGAGGGGGAAAAAAAAGACAAAAACAAAAAACTAAAAATGTTGAAAAGAGTAGAGAAATASAGGAACTTGCCCCAAGTGGAGTTGCCAGGGTGAAGCTGAACAGAGACAYGTGTTCCTCTTCAGGCTCCTCCCAGGTCCCCTCAGCTCCTCTCACCTGATACCTGAGGCTCTTCTAACTTCTTTCTTTCCTTCCATTTTCCCCTTCCTTCCCTACTTACACTTTTTCTTTTCTTTCTTTTTTTCTTCCTTCTTTCTCCCATCTTTTCTCTTCCCTTCTTTCCCTCTTCTTTTTGGTCCTTCTGCTTTAGTTCTCTGTACCTACTGGTCATCTGTCAGACCTAAGCTGAGCCAGCTGTGCAAAGTTGAACCTTTAACAGGTCAGTGTGCAGGGCACCTTCAGAAAAGAAACCCAGGGCTCAGCGTCTCCCACCTATAGTGGACCACCAATCCTGAATTTCAGGAACAGTGGCCTACGGGGCGCACAGCCGTGGGCTGAACCCAGGCACCTGGTCAATGCTGCTCCCTGGGGTGTGACTCCCCGCTCCTTATCCTTTGGCGTCTTGTCCTGTTTTAACCTTCCCAGGTCTCCTTGAGGCGGCAGCAGGTAAACGAGAGACTGAATGAATGGGCGGTCTTCAGCGAAAAGAACAAGGAGCTCTGCGAGTGGCTGACTCAGATGGAGAGCAAGGTWTCTCAGAACGGAGACATCCTCATCGAGGAAATGATCGAGAAGCTCAAGAAGGTATGGGGCAGGCAGGGCTGCCTGTGCTTCCGCTCTGCCTAATGCTCAGGCGTTTCCAACCCGTGCAGAGTGGCCTTCCTGGGGATTACTTGCTATCAAGGGAACACTRGGTTTTAAACATCTTATCTTCTTGACACAAACAGACCTGCATGAAAGGCCAGCTTCATATATGAAATACACAGAATACTTTCAGTTTGTGGTAACACAGATTGTCTACTATGGATTATTATTAGTTTTATCTCACTTTGGTTTTCTGTCTTGAATTTTAATCACTAGATTAGAACTAAAAGAAAAAATTCCTAGGGTAAATTAAACTGAAATTCCTATAAAACCCCGTCTATAGATCAATAGGAATGAAGATTTTCCTGGGAATTTTGGCTTCCTGTTATTTTCAAGTATTTGTGTATTATTATTTTCTATATTCATTTGAATCCAGAATATTTCTCTTGTCTGTKGAAAAGTGGGGCTGATCAAATTGGCCAACATTTGAAAATGTTTTTTGATGATTTCAGTATTGCTTCTACATTGTTTTTKTACAAATAATCATTTCAGAGTTATTTTAGTTTATGTTTCTCTTTAGCACATATCATCATCTAAAGTATGATGTATTTTTCATTTTTACCTGTTCATGGTCTATCTAGGATATAGGCCCCCCTGGACTGTCAGTCTCACTGGAACATGGACTTTGTCTTGTCTATTATTATCTCCCCTGCACCCAGAGCAGTATCTGACTTCTTATAATCACTTAATTCATATTTTGGAATGAATGAATTATGACTTCATTCATTTAGAAAAGAAATATAAATGATTATTAGAAAAATTTATCTCCATTCATTCATGCACATAGAAAAAAATACCCTCAGAGGCAACATGCAATATTAATAACTTTAGAGTAGTTTCAGTATAACACTGCAAATTCTGAGTAAGCATTTGTTTATTTGACATTGCAAAGCTTTAATACCTGGGTTGAGATGAAACAGATTTCATTTTAACATCTGCTAATGGTGGCACCTTGCTAGTTTCTGTGTATCTGGGAATGCTATACTAGACGTGATGAAATGCACTAGCTACTATAGTGAAATTTGCTAAAGAATAAGTTTTGTTTAAATGTACCTATATATGCCCATTGCTTTTTAACATAAAATTCAGAATGTATATTTTTGGAGTGTGGGAGAAAAAAAATCTCTTGAACAAAATAAAACCATAATTAAAATTTAGAAAAACTTTAGCAATTCACATAGGTAATTTTGTTACATTATTTGGAATAATATTAGAAATACTCTTTAAAATTAAATTTTTATTTTTATTTTAACTAGGATAGTTAATACTATCCTAGTTTATATATAGAATAAGTCATGGGATTTAGACAAAAAGTCTTTAAGAGCTTGCCACTCCATGGTGTCTCTTTTGTAAAGGAAGAGAATTACTAAGAAAAGACTTGTCAATTTTGACAATATAGAAAAAAAGTGGTAACTAAATGGAGCCAAAAATATTGATGTCCACTGGCATTGACATTAACAAAATAGTTCAAATTAAATGATAATCCAAGAGGATTGTAGTAATTTCTTTGAAGTAAACATTTCTCAATAAAATCATCTCAAATTGGTGATGAAATATTAAAACAACTAATAAGTGTATATAAAGTTTTGGTCTTTGAATCCCATTGTGTGAAATAACACAAAAAGGCCAGTAGGCGGGGCACTGGGCATGAAGAGGGCCCTGAGCCCTGGGAGGGAATAAAATTTCCTTGGCCCTCCCATTCCTTTGAGGCCTTTTGCTTAGGTAAATGACCTGGCAGGTAAATGGCCTGTTATGACACCTGCTTTAGAGCAGAGAAGGTTGAAATATCTTTGCTCATGAGGAACCTGTCTTCATTTATTGTTTTGCTGAGGTACTATTTACTTCAACCAAAAATGAAAAAAAAAATTTATTCTAATGATTGGATACTATTACTCACTGTGACGAGAGAATAACAGGGTTACTGGGGGTTGGGAAAGGGTTTCATTATAATTTAAGTTATACCTTTTAGTGCCTATCTCTTGCAAATAGACCACATAAAATCTGCTCTACCTATTGAACCAAAACAATCTTTAATAGAGGCTGGGTCAGAAACTGGATAAATCAAGAAGGTTGTAGACCTATTGACTTGTTAAAATTAATGACTATTATTCATAAGACGTTGTCATTGATTTATGTGTTACAAAATAGTGGCTTTATGTAGAGATTACCTTTTTAAAATGAAGGAATTCTTAAAATATTTTGCACAAATAACATGCCTGACATACAAATGCACATACACAATTCCCTGTGTGTGTGTGTATGTGTGTATGTGTGTGTGTATTTACCTTATAAATGTCTTGTCATCTCTTTGTATAAGAATTAATTCTAAATATAACATCAGGTTAGGGATTAGAGCAATAAGGTATAATTTCAGTGTTAAATCTTCCAAATTTTGTCATTTTGTAGTTATCTATATATTTTGTTTTTAGTGCCCATTTTAAGTAAACAAACAGCACCTCCCATTCTGTTCAACAACACCTGTATACAAATTTAATCCATACATGCTGAAAATAATAGGTACTACTAATTCTTGTGCACGGATGTTCACATGGTGTTCCTCATGCCCAAACTATTTCTCAGCAGTAGAAAACCATAATTATCATGTTTCTAGAAGAGCTGGATGAATGCATTAAGCATATGCTTTCTGACCTCTGTGATTGCTATTTATTATGCAGGATTATCAAGAGGAAATTGCTGTTGCCCAAGAGAACAAAATACAGCTCCAGCAAATGGGAGAACGACTTGCCAAAGCCAGCCATGAAAGCAAAGCTTCAGAGATTGAATACAAGCTTGGAAAGGTCAACGACCGGTGGCAGCATCTCCTGGATCTCATTGCAGCCAGGTAAAAAGGACCTGATTCAATAGCACATGTGTCTGCAGAATTTTAAAGCCTTTTATTTCAGCTAAAAGATAAACCAACAAATCACTCTCTTTCTTTCTCCTGATGTTATTCTGCCATTTTGACGTTCGTTCTATTCTCATAAATGCCACTTTCATTAACTTTAAAATTCTCCTTATTTCACAAATCTAGTGTTGTTTCATGTAGCTGAGAAGGAAGGGAGAGAGTCACATCCAAACAGCAACCATTCCCAAGAAAAGATATTTATTTCAGGAGCATCATAGGTAGCCTACAGCCTATGGGGAAGAAAAAGAAATCGCTGACCAGTATTTGCAGAGGATATTTTTGTTTTAAATATATATTTTAAAAAGTTTATAACATTCCTATTATATTTTTGGTTAGCAGGATGTGGGAATAAAGCTGATTGTTGCTATTTTTTGCTTAGTTGCAAAACTAAGCTGCTTCATTATTTGTAATTTTGTGCTTAGTTTTAATGATAACTCTGAGCACCTTTCTCCTAAGAGGCAGATTATGTTCAGTTTCTACTGGGGAAGGTCAGCATGAATAAAGGGGATAATAATCAAAAAGAAAAACATGTGAGGGTCTTTACCAGCAGTATTAATTCTGATCTGATTGAATAATGTACTGTGCTGTTTGATATTAAAGAGGGAATGATTAAGTAGAGGCTTTGTTTTAGGTGAACTTGGCTTCATGTGGGAATCCATGAGGCCAAGAAGCTTTATCCATTCTACTCGCTGTATATCACAAGCACCAATAATACTGCCTGGGGCTGAGGATGCAGCTCAGTGGAAGAGCCCTTCCTTGCCTAGCATGTGTGAGGCCCTGGATTCAGTCCCCAGCAGTACAAAAAAGAAAGAAGGGGAAGGAGGAGGAATATGAATAAACATAATTTGGGCTCAATAAATATCTCAATGAATCTATTCTTGTATATTTGAGCAGTTAGGAGGGTTTGGGGCTACTCCAAACTTTTTAAAATCTGGATTCCTTTCCTTAGCCTTGCTGAATACACATAAAGCACCACAATTCTGTATGCTGATTATGAAAACATTAGTGTACTTTTTTTTTCTATAAGGAAGACATCAAAGAGAGTCTAACTCAAGAAGTTGAGATTATTATTTGTTTTAGGGGTAATGAAATAAAAGTGCAAAAAGTGCTTATCAATTTTTTCAATGTTTAACAATTGCACACTTAGTAGCTAGCTAACACTTATCAATCTGGGTTTGTATGAGGACTGTGCTATAGGCTTCCTATGCATCTTCTCACCTGTCATTCACAATACCCTTTGAGGTGGTCCTTATCATTGTGCCCATTTTACAGAGGTAGAGACTGAGGCTCAACCTTGCCCTGGTCATACTCACATTGCATGGCAGAGCCTGTGCTACCTGACTCCAACATCCTATGGCGCTATGGGGCACGATTCTCTGCTGCCTGGCTAGTTTGTGACTTCTTTTTCCTTACTAGAGAGACAAAGCAGTTCAGTGCAGGTTAAGTTCTGGTAATCATTCCCACAATCTCATTTTTCAAGCCTTTGTAAAGCATTTGCAATGTGAGGACCATTAAACTCTGAGCGTGCAACTATAGAGCCCTCTCTCCTCAAGAGGTCATGGTGGGCAAAAGAATTCACAAAGGATGGAGTAAAACCATGTGCTCAGAGCTCACTGTGCCTAGACTGAATGGCGCATCTTAGCTGAAGTTATCCCCYGGTATCGACACACAGAGGTTCAGGATCCCAGTGCTACTTATAGCCTCACATCTCAGTCACTACAAAGATAACAATCTCTTAATTTAGAAGGAGAAATCGGAGACGGTTTTGCTATAAATACCCTTCTTAGGGAGATCTACTTGGTAAACTCTTCCCCCACCTAGGTTTTCTGTCAGATTCTGACTCACAGATTGATCTTGCATGTTCATGTAACCCAGTTAAACTAGTTAAACTTCTCTTATAATTTCTGATGGCCATTTGGTATGGAGGATGGGGAGGTACTGTGGCAAAGGTATTTGACCTTAGACTTACTGTACTGTGGTTGCCAACCGCTACTTAGCGTATGCCCAACCCAGGGATGAGCCAGCATCACACAGGTGTGCCATGCTTTCTCCCCAGTCACGCCTGCTTGTGTTATTTTTGTGTAGCTATTCAGGTGAGAATTTTATAGATGTATTTAGTTCACTTTGTGAATGACTATTGATAAACTTGACTGGATGATCTATACGTAAGGTACACAAGCTTTGTTCCAAAGTCACTAAGATGCTCGTGTGTACTTTCACTTATACAGTCTCATCCTACTCAGGTATATTTCCTATGGGAATGTTTTGTGGATATATTATCTATTTCTAGTTGTTTCCTTCAAAAATGGACCAGATGATGAGCTGATCATTAATTTGCCCCAGAGTTTTAATGCCACATGGGATTCACAGTCTCCCTTTTGGCTTTCCCAAAAGACACCCGACCATCCCCCCTGCTTTCTGTTTCCTGGGTCACTGGTGCAGAGACCATGTGAACATATCCCACACCTGTCTCCAACTGTGAACGGCCAGCRGAAATACTCAGTTCTGTGATTCAGTCCCAGTCGGGGACTCTTCCAATTTTTTTTCCACGCTGATTCATGAGACCAAAATATGACCCACTGGGTGATTTTTTTCAAAAATGTTTTTTATATTTCTTATATACTCATTACAGGACATTTGCAAACTTAAAACTCACAAAAAGTAAAAAGTTAACAGAAATCTCACCATGCAAATGAATAGATATCTTTTAAATAATCTTTTGAAATGAACAAATTAATTTTTTTAGCCTTACCAGGGGACTAATATTTCCTCATTATATTTTCTCACCAGTAGTTGAGGTAAAGAACAAGCTCTTTCCCACAGAATCTCTTCCCTCCCACCTTCCCTGTCCACCCCTCAAACTCCTACTTACACCCCTGTGAGCTGCAGATTGGACAGAAGGGAAACAGAAGTTGCCCCGGGTGGCTGGCACAGCTGGCTGTAGCTGCGGAGGCTGGGTCTGTCCTTTTGCATGTGGGCGTCTGTCTTTTCCGCGTAGCCCTCTAACCTGACAGCCCGCAAGCCCAGTCATCTGCCCTCACAGAAGGGGCAGAACATCTGGAGCCGCTTTCATTTCGCTCTCTCCTTTCTTCAGACCTTAGCCTCCTCCTCCTTGCGGATTACGCTGAGCTGTTTCCCCTTCTTACACTCGTGGCCTACATTCCAGGAGATCAGGCCTGGCACATGTTAATGAATGTGGGTTTTATTTAGAAACATGACCACTTGTCACTRCCCAGTGTCATGTTATCAGGCAGACAGTACCACCATTTGTCCAGCGGGTGCATTTTCATACTTCTGGGCCCAGAGAGGGGGAAACGTTCAGCCCCACGCAGGATCTAGCTCTTGGCTCTGCAGAGCCTCACTTTGGCAAGTGGAAACTTCATGGTRGTGGCCGAGGACTTGCGTGCCCTGAGGATGGCAGAGGACGGCTGCGCAGACGCGGATCTCCCAGACTGTAACTGCGATGTCACCAGGCAGGCATCTCCTTGAGTTTCTTCCATTGTGCATAGCTCTCGTGTGACGTGGGTTTATAGGGTAGATGCTGGGAGCTTTAATTCAGTATGGYTTTTGCCAGCCTCACCTGAAGGTGGTTGGTGTCCGGAGACTATAGGCTGTGGACTCCGCAGAGCTATGTGTTRGCTTGTTTTAATGTTCTTCTGATAGACGTGTGCAGCTGGACGAAAAGGTTAATGGACTTCATTATGACTTGGCATTCCAGTCGTCTCTGGACTGTGTGTGTCACACAAGAAGTGTGGCTACAGTAGAGAGGACGAGACTCAGGAAAGAGATTTAGAAAAAGACCCAGTTAGTCCCTCATCTGCTATGGAAAAGATGGGTGTCTGATGAGACTGAAATTCAGCTTTCACCAGTTCCCAGCTTTGTAGCACAGCTTTCCTTTTAATAAATAAGAATCAGATATTTATCTGTTAAATAAAGAAAGTTGCTTTTGTGTTTGTCAGTCAAAGCCTTATAAAATGTTGAAATTAATGTCTGAAATAGTAATGAATGCATTGTTTAAAGACTTAGTTCATGATTTTTTTCAATTAGAATAACAATATGACAGGTATTTTTATTTTGTTGTTTAAAAATTGTTTTTCTTTTGTCTCATTAATCCCCTAAATAAATTCCTATAGATTCATAGGATTTACCAATGGCACTTTTCATTTTATTGTATTTAGAATTTGGACTTTGTTTTGGGGGGGGGGGGTTATAGGCATACTAAATTAGTTTAAGGAAAGTGGTGCTACATAAGTGTATATATATATTAGATAYATAGATATGTGTGTATAAATGCATATATGTGGGAGTGTTCATGTAACAGCATTCATATGCTGGACAATTGGATTTAATAGCAGAATAAAGGTCAAGTTCCTGAGATGCACACTGGACTGTGAAAAGAGAATGATAAGTTGTAAGAACTGTAGATCTTTCTTGCTAAACCCACCCAGACATGGGACACACACAAGCATCTATTTTGAATTATAATCCTKGATGCTACCAAAAGGAATGTTGCTCAAACTTCTTACAATGAAGGATAAATAAAAATATTGTGACACTGTAGCCAAGGATTTCCTCTAAAGAAATAATGGAAAAAAACATGAGACATTTCTCCTATTAAAGAATGAACCCTGCCCTGCAAATATCAAGTTTAATAAGCCATGGAAAATATATAGGGGCCTTATCACCCATGTCCTCCTCACATCCACCCCCTTCAACACACACAATGTGATTTGCTATTTATAGTAAAATATGCTTCTTAAAAAATGATAGAGGAGGACCACATAAGTGTTCACCCCYATTGACTTCACTAAATTTACACCTTAGTTTGAAAGAGGAACTTGTCCCTAATGGACTATATGAACAAGCATTTCCATGTCACGATGCCCTTGACATATTGCTGACTAACCACTCTGCCTTGGAATTCATTCAACATTATACAGGATTAAGAATTCTGTGATTTATTTTGCCAGTATAGACAGCTCAATGGAATAGTGTTTACTCATATCCCTTTGTGCTTTGGATCTTTTGATCATATTTATGAGTTTGGAACCAAGAAAATGAATGAACTTTAGGTTTTGAAAAATAGACCATTTGCAAATGTTGTACTTAGTACAACATTAATATTAAATATTTTTTTAAATATTTTTTTAAATATTTAATAAAAATATTAAATATTTTTTTAAATATTTTTTTAAATATTAATTGAATAAAAATATTGTAGTTAGAATACTAATTATTGATCGTTAACAGGTATTTAAATCATGTTCAACTTTCTGCCAAACACTGAGCTTAGCTATGGCAGAGAGAAGGAAAATCCAAATGTGAGAATTCAGTTTTGCCTTTCCAAAGAGGTTGCCATGGAGGAAATCAACTGGTGCATAAATAATCCCAGGGAGTTAAAATAAGGTTAGAGAGAAAACTAGCACTCCCGCCACTAATAAACCCTAATGGGATTATGAGGTTGCAATTAAACCCCGTTCTTAATGCATAGTCAGCATCAGGACCTTACCTTGTCTGAAGACAGGAAGCTCGTCAAACAGGAGAGATTATGGGGAGGATATTCCTACAGGGGTAACATCAGGACAGACATCTCCATTTTATGTGCCAGTCCTGTCCCATCAGAACCGTAGATGGCAGACCATACTTTCAGTCTGGAGCACTATGGCCAGTACCAGCTTAAAGTCCCTTATTCACACCACAATCATTATCAGAATGTACTGCCTTACATTTGCACCCAGTTGCTTTCTAAAACTGTCACTCATTGGCTGCTACCCAAGTGAATTTAGCCTTATGTATGAGAGAGATGAGTGTGGATTGTCTTGGGAATACAAGGCCGATGCCATGAAGTGCCCAAGGGGAGTTGTATGTAATTAATGCTTATAAAGCTAATTAKAATTCTTATCTTGAGTGAAATTAATTTGGGGATTCTTATTTTGAGTGAAATTATGAGTCATGTTAAACATGGCAATGCATTTTAATTCCCTAGCAATAAAATATATTGTGGAATATGAACATCATTTTTTTAAATGTACATTTTCCCCAAATAATATATGATATTATATAGAAGAATGCTTTTACAAATGAAAAGTGTTATTCATATATAGGCATTACTATTAATTCTAATTAACCAAATATAGATGTTATTACTATTATTGATAGCTGACCATAATGAAAACCTTTTAAAAGCATTTGAAGGAGGAAATGTGATTACATTATCATGTGGTTACATTTTCATTTGAGAGAGAAATATTGATTTATTGAAACTGTAATAGCRGTGAAGATATCAATTTTTAGGAACTAAAAATAAATAACAATATCAAAATATTTTGATAGGAGACTCTTTCTTAAGGGTACTGACTCTTGGAAGAGTAGTATATCAGAATCACCTGGGTGGAGCGAGAGCACTGGTAGTTGGCACGTAGGGACTGAAAGCACACTCAGGTGATTGTGTACTCCAGCTTGAGAAGCAGGAAATATCCGATGACAGTGAGTGGAAGTTGTCAGTCTCTGAGAACATTTTCTTGCAAATCCCTGACTTTAAACATACCATATCCCTACAATCTTAAAAATCACAGTTCTTGACTTTTTTTCAAAAAGATGTCTCTTCATTTGGGTCAAGTTGATACCCTAGGACATTGAAATATTTTGCTTATCTGCTATTCACCTATACTATGAGCAGTGCCAATGGGGTAACCATATTTCTTGAACTGAAAATAGGGCTCATGGTCTAAAGGTAGAAGGGAATCTTAAATAGGCCAGACCAGAAGTCTTTGATCTTATGCTTATTATCACTATGATCCTCCTTTTTGGACCAATCTACTCTCCAACCATGAAAAGTCAATTATGCCTTGAAGACAGATCATTCCAGAAGTTCCATACTGTAGTTATGCAGTTTCATTGCCTACTTTCTTAAACTTAACTACATTTTCTTACTGTAACTTTCTTACTTGATTTAAATGCATTCTAATTTCTATTTCCACAGTCTTTGATGAACAATTCTTTGATGAACTCATTGCCAGGTGCTAGATCCTCACCTTAGGCCTCATCATACTGCATTGCTGTGCTGTGTGGGAGACCAGTAGTTTCTAAATTTTAGCATGCATATGAATCACTTTAAAAGTATGTTAGTCAGTTTTTCATTGCTTTTATTAAAATACCTGACAAAAACAACTTAGAGGAGGAAAGGTTTATTTGGGCTCTTGGTTTTAGAGAATTTAGTCTATGGGCAACTAGTTCTGTGGCCAGCAGYGTCCATTGCTTTGGGCCTAGGGTGAAGGAGAACGTAACTAAGAAGAGCTGCTCAGATCAGAGTAGGTGGAAGCAGAGAGAGAGGAAGGACCAGAGAGAAAATAAACCCATCCATGGCACACCCTACTGACCTAATTCCTCCCACTAGGTCCCTCCTCCCAGTAGTCCATCCAGTGATTGGTGGATTAATCCATTAATCAGTAACCCACTGGTGAGGTCAGAGCCGTCATGATCCAGTCATTTCCTAAGAACCCCTTCTCTGAACCTTGTTGCAACTCTCCTGTGCTTCTTTTCCCCATCCTCTAACTTCAGCCTCCCCAGCACTACGCTATTTCTCTTCTGTTTCCTAGGCCAGGAGTGTTCTGCTTGGCTTTCTCAAGCAGATACAGCTTCAACATCATCTCCTTACTTGTCAAATCCAGCTCCTCAATGGGAAGAATGAAACTTCAGCCACCACCGTTTTTCTAYCACCTGGCTTCGCATTGTCCTAACACCACATGTGTTTGTAGAAGCAATGAAGGGAGGAAAATATTCATTATTTATTCATGCATGAATAAATAAATGAAGGATTACCTGAACATGGCAAGACAGAATTGATCATTTCTGATTGATTAACCAGAGACTTGGTTCATTTCTTTAGTTCTCACACATTGTGTCATATTTCATTGTTGGTCCAGGTTTCCTTTCAGATTGTACATTTCAGAAGAGAAAGAATAGTCTTATTTATCTTGATCTTCCCAGCATCTCACGCATGAGATGTTCTCCCGATTGTTAGATAAATGACAAGCATAGAAAAAGCACTTTTTCCTGCGTCTCTGGAAATAATTGGGAAAGGCTTTCCTTGAAGCATTGAAGCACTAATCTGGGTGCTGAGGTGGAAGATTGGATAGTTACAAACTTCATACCTTGGACCTGCGCTCTGTTGCTTATAATCCACCAGGTCCTCAGTTACCTTTATTGCAGTCTATCCCCAGCAAAACTTGAATTTCTTGAGTGAATATCTCATCTCTCTGAAATTATCTCTAGTGTGCTTTCCTCTTTTAACTGAATTTCCACCCAAAAGATGCTGAAAATGCAACCCATGGGGGCTGCATGTGGGAGCAGTGTGTTCAGGGCCTCTCAACAATGCTCCATGTKTCACCTTCTCTGCCCACAGGGTGAAGAAGCTGAAGGAGACTCTGGTGGCCGTACAGCAGCTTGATAAGAACATGAGCAGCCTGAGGACTTGGCTCGCTCACATCGAGTCAGAGCTGGCCAAGCCCATCGTCTATGATTCCTGTAACTCTGAAGAAATACAGAGAAAACTTAATGAGCAGCAGGTAAAACTGAATGCACTTGAGATGAAATCAAATAAGCCATGGAACACCTGTCCTCCTGGCTGGGCTACTGYGATTGAGATGGTGACTCAGGGTGGGAGGCCAGGAGGAACGTAGGCAGGACTGGGGAGGAAGGAAGGCTTTGCATAGGAAAGTGTAGGGGGCAGACAGTTCCAGTCACTGCAGAGCTGACTCTTATAAAGATGCTTGGGCCATTGTACTGATGGTCCTCCAAGGGTGCTAATCCCTTCAAGGATTCTAAGATGGTAGCCGGTAAGGTTGAGTTGCAGTGATATTCATTTATTTATGGGTCACTAGCCCACTACCATAGACTTAGCAAAGAGCCTTGTCTTTCAGTGTGCAGCATCTGGAGAGAGATTACAATGCATGMTTAGAATTTTAAAAGTTTTGTTCTGCAAGGATTGATTGCACAGCCTTTAGACCACACACTGGTGATAGATCACATTAAAGGTAATTTCACCTTTGTGTAAACAGCGAAGAGCACATCTCATTCGCAAACAATGTATGATCCAACAAAGCAGACTAGATGACCCTTCAAATGCACAAAGGAGAATTTTTTTTACTTCTCACTCCTCTTGCTTATTCATGCTGGTGTTTTAGACTCTACTTGCTAGTAATGAGCACCATGAATTCCTCATCAGAAGTCTTCAGATTGCTTTTGAAAATTTTACCCAGACTCTGTTTCCTTTGTTACATTTAGGCCATTATAGACACGTTGCTAAATTTAAAAACATCATAAAATGTAAACAGTACATAATTTTATTAAAATCCTATGAGGTAGGTAATATACTTACTGTATTTTTTACATGCAACCTAAGCCAATGAGAAATAGGTGCTAAAGTATAGTGATATATGTTGACTTTTTTAAAATATAAAATTAACATTGCATCTAAAAACTTTTTGTTAGCAGGATATTTTTCAATTTTTATAAGATTAAAAATATCCAGGTGTGGCAGTGCGGACCTGTGATCCCAGCAACCCAGAAGGCTGATGCAGGAGGATTGCAAATTTCAGGATAGTCTCAGAACTTAACAAGACCCTGACTCAAAAACCAAAGCAAACACACACACACACACAAAAAAAAAAAAAAAAAAAAAAAATCTTGGGAATGAGAGTAGCCAAGGAAAGGCAAGACTAAGATTAAAACCGTCTGAAGGACGCTAATGTTTGAGATTTTGATGATTGATGTGTGGCTTATAGTTTGCTTTAAATTCCCTAAATTCTTTTGGATAATATGATAATGATGTGTTTGAGTAATGAGGATTAAAATGCTAATGACCAGTATTGTCATTTAGCCAATGTATGAAAATCAAAACAGTATCTAGTTGAATATGACAAATTGTTCATATGCATTTATAGCTCAACCTACTATTAAGTCTCCAATAAAATGATGGTCAAAGGGGAAAAAAGGTCAAAACCCACAATGGTAAATAGAACAGGAGAGAACATGATAGAGATGACAGGCAGCCAATAGAATTTTGAAAGACAGAAAATGAATAGATGAATACTGATGGCGCTGGCAGAGTGGAGGATGGAGAAGATTGATTTATGCCACCGAGTCCAAGTCAGGCACAGAATGGTGATCAAGTAAAGCTGAGCCGGTTGTCTATGGAGCTTCAAGGGGGAACATTGCATAAAAGTATGATTCAGGAGTGATGAGACAGGCAGAGCCCCCTTAGCCCAGAAAGCCAGACAGCCCTATTTCACTTTGGCAAAAGACCAGAGGATAACCCTCAGGAGAAGGCAAACCAGAGGGACTTGGGAGTGGGGATCAGAACACCATCAGGCTGGTATTCAAAGTAAGGAGATGAAGTTGGCAGCCAGCCCTTCTTTCCCAGCTGGGCTCCAACAGTGTCAGAGCCAGGCTTACACCCCAGCCAGGAGACTGGAGCAGTCACTATAGAGAAACAGAGAAACAGACCCCCACAAGGGAAAACACCTTCAGATGTGGTACTAACAGGCACCCGGAAAGGCMACACCCCACCTGGCTCGCTGGCTGGCATGGCCTAGACATGTCTTCCTGTAGCCGATTCCTTCTCAGGGACGTGTGGATGGTCAAGAACCTCTGTGGTTTAAGAAAGCTTCTACCCCCTACATTGGAAAYAAAGGCCAAAATAAATGGGTAACGGGGTAAAGAAAGGAAGAATCAAAAGGAATACATTATAGAAAGAGGAAAAAATTTTATTTATAAAATGTTCTTATAGAAACTACAGATTTACATTCTAAAAAGAAGAGGATGCCATTGTTATTTTTTAAAAAAGGAATTTTCAGAAATGACAGAATCTCCTACAGAGTAAAACAAAAAGATTCATACTTAAAAATATGAGAAAAGTATAAAAAAATTAATGCAAGAATTTCAAAATTCAATTATTGCATAAAATTTCCAAAAAGAATTTTTTTTAATGGAGGAAGAAATTATCAAAGTGCTAATGTTAAAAAAAAATGTAAAACAGACATTCACAGATCATAAGGGCCTGATAAGTGTCCAGGAAAATTTAGAACAAAGCAAAACCATCCCAGGACACTACATTATAAAATTGCCAAACATGAACAATAAAGAGAACTCTAACCTCCAGGATATATAAAGAATTAAAGAAACTTAACACCAAAAAAGCAAACAATCCAATCAATAAATGGGCTAAGGAGCTGAACAGACACTTCTTAGAAGAAGATATGCATTTGATCAACAGATATATGAAAAAATGTTCAACATTTCTAATAATTGGAGAAATGCAAATAAAAACTAAGATTTCATCTCACGCCTGTCAGAATGGCAGTTATCAAGAATACAGACAACAATAGATGTTGACAAGGATGTAGGGGAAAAGGCACACTCATACTTTGTTGGTGGAACTGCAAATTGGTGCAACCAATCAGGAAAGCAGTATGGAGATTCCTTAGAAAACTTGGAATGGAACCACCCTTTGGCCTAGCTATCCCACCTCTTGGCCTATACCCAAAGGCCTATACTTAAAATCAGCATACTGTAGTAATGCAGCCACATCGGTGTTCATAGCAGCTCAATTCATAGTAGCTAAACTGTGGAAGCAACCTAGATGCCCTTCAATAGATGAATGGATAAAGAGAAGACCTTTAATGTTTCCAGGGTGAAAAAACTCTGACTTCTCCCAAACTACACTGGAATCTTGGAGACCCTGGCACACTTCCTTTRAAAGCTGAAAAAGAGCTTAGCGTGKTAGCACAGGCCTGTAATCCCAGTGACTCAAGAGGCTGAGGCAGGAGGATCATGAGGTCAAAGTCCGCCTCAGCAACATAGTGAGACCCTGCCTTAAAATAAAAAATAAAAAGAGCTGGGGATGTGGCTCAGTGGTAAAGCACCCGTGGGTTCAACCTTAGGTTCAGTCCCTAGCACTGGGGTGGCAGGAYGGGGGATTTGAAGGAATGATTAGTTGCCGCAGGCTGGCTGGGCACAAAATCACGAGCCACCACACACCTTGTAGATTCAAACAGCAACTCTTTATTCTCAAACTCTCACGGGCACTCTACACACAGGTTCTAGGGAAATCCATGTTCTGGGCAAAATTCAYRTACTCCACCAGGCTCTGAATCCCAAATACTTTCTGAATCCTGTGAGAACTCAACAGGAACTCAAGGAGCAGAGGGGCCTGAGGCAGTAGGATATGCCCTATTCCCAGCAGGGTACACTTTAAACCTGGAACCGCCCTAAACCCAAGGAGCAGAATACTCCCTAAAACCTGATCCGCCCTAAACCCGGATCCGCCCTGGTCCTTGAGCAAGGTCACCTTACTCAAGCATACATGCAATGTCACTGCAAATGACCTGGGTCTAAAGGCAAGCCCATTTCCACAATGGAGAGTCCTTCCTCTAAGCAACATGGAGTAGGCTGACAAAGAAATTGCCATGCGTCATTCCTACTTGGCAATGGCTCTCAGCAATTAGTAATTTAGAATTGTATATCTTTCCATTTAATGAACAAAAATTTACCTCCTATGAACCCATTTACAGGAAACTAATGAAAAGTATTCTGCATACACTAATGGCACTAAGTGATAAGAAACATAAAGCTTGAGAGAAAGAAAAATGGAATGATATTCATCCATAAAGGAGAATGAAATTGTGTCATTTGTAGTAAAATAGATAGAACTGAAGGACATTATATCAACATTATGTCAAGTGAAATGAGACAGAAACAGAAAGACAAACACTGCATGTTTTCTCTTAATATCTGGAGTTTAAAAAAAAAAAAAAAAGTCAACCTGAATGTAGAATAGTGATTGCTAGAAGTCAGGAAGTAGAAGAGGAGGGTATATGAAAGGCTGTGAGATTTGATCATTGTGCACTTGTGTATGATAGCATTTCATTGAACTCCATTTATATATATAATTAATACATGCTAATCAAAAATTTTAAAAAATTTTAAAAGGGAATTTCCAGGATAAAGGTGAAGGGAGTCCCTGAGGACAGCTGACCTATAGGCCAGTGAGCTGTGGCCAGTTCGGAGCAGGGGTGAGGGTACTTGAGGAAGAAAACAATACTACATCACCTGCTGGACTAGGACATTTATTATTCCCATAGGAGAGAGACTAGAAACAAGCAATATATGTTTGAGACAGAGGATTGCTCATTCTAGAAAAACAGAATTTTTAATGCAAGAAAAGAAAACCCCTCCATTTTTGTGTTTCTTTTTCCAATGTACTGAATTCTTACAGAATTATTTGGATGGAATTACAGACTTGAGATATATCCTTGAAATGGCTTTAGGTAAAATTTGTCAAATTTCTCTTTGTTAAAAGAAAAATTAATTCAGAGATTTTATGTGATGATTATTTTTTTCTTTTCTTTTCTTTCTTTCTTTTTTTTTTTTTTTTTGTACTTGCAGTTGAACCCAGGGACATTATACCATTGAGCCACATCCACAGTCCTTTTTTAACTTTTATTTTGAGACAGTGTCTTGCTAAGTAGCTTTGGACCTTGCTAAGTTGCTGAGGCTGGCCTAAAACTTGTGATCCTCCGGTGTCAGCCTCCCAAATTCCTGGGATTACAGGCATGTGCCACCACATTGATTCATATGCGTTAAGTTGAGACCATATTGCCAATGGAGGTTAAAGCTGAGATTAAAATATTATTTTATATTAGGGTTCATATATATCACTATAAAATCACTATTATTTCATATGTTAAATGATTTTATAGTGATATATATGTTGATTTCAATAAAAACTTTTGAGTCCTTGGGAATTTTTGTCAAAATGTTATGCTTTAAGTGTGTAGGCTTTATTCAGATGCCTAACACTTTTTCCTAAAGTTTATTCTTGCTCTCATATAAGTCTCTATATTTTTTAAGCACTCATTGAGTTTAATTTGTGTAGTTATTTTATATTTTTGAGATCAGCAATCCTTTGATGTCCTCTTCCATATAAGTGTAAGAGGCTATGCTAGAGATTTGGAAAGAATATTTACTAAATTAGGAATTTTTTAAGATAATTTATTTTCTAACATCTAGTTTATAAGATCTTCAAAAATCAACCAAAGTTACTGTTTTACATTCAAGATGTTAGCCTTTTTTGCAGACATTATAACATGGTGTTAAGGACAAAAATAAGAGAAAGAACATCACAGGAATATAAGTTCTAGGTATCTAAGTTAAACAATTATTAGAAGAAGAGACAACCTTGGCAAATCCAAGAGCTGCAAAAGAAACTTGCTAAGGACGATAATAAAGAGGACAAGCAGAAACCTGGACCTGCAGTGGAACTCTTACCACAAGTAAAGAGATTTTGATAGTCAGCTTTCCATTACTGAGAAGAAATGCCTGTGATAAGATGCTTATAAAGAGGAAAGGTTATTTGGGCACGTGGTGTCAGAGGTGTCTATCCATGGGCACTTGGCTCTGTTACTTTGGGCCTGTGATGACCCTGCACATTATGGTGTTCACCTGTGGTGGGCAGAGGAGGCATAAGAGAAAAAAGAAGAGACTAGACTCCCCAAATCCCCTTTATGCACACACCCCCAGTGACCTCACTTCCTTTTCCCCACCTCCGAAGGTTCCACCACCTCCCCATAATATCACTGGTGGCTGACCACACCTTTAAGATAAGACCTTTGGGAGACATTCCAAATCTGAATTATAGCAAAACTCATGGAGAAAATAAGAAACACATTGTATTTACATTATATGCAGTTAACATGAAAGTTTACATGTAGGAATTAGGGGAAATTTAACTTCTAGTTTTTGTTCCACATTTAAAATCACACTCTGAGAAAGCTGCTGATGCTAATGGTGTCATATATCCTACAGAACCTAGGTCCCTTAAACCACGACACCTTTTAACAATGTGTGGTATTAACTGTTTAGAACAGTTTGCAGATCTTTGAGGTTTAAATTGCAGTTCTTGAGTACCAACTATAATAGGTGCACATAAATTTCATTGAGTGATCCATCCATTAGAATGGAAGCAGAGTTTCTAGAGTTGAGATGAGCATCACATTCATTTTCCAATCATGAAAGAAGGGTAATCCATTCCATTAGTGTAGTCCATTCCATTTGTTCAGTTTCCATTTTGGCACTGTTCATGTAGCCAAAATATTTCTAGATCCATCTTCTCACACTGTACCCTAGAACTTGCCGGACTTCATAAATGTGACTCCAGAAACTTCATTCCATCAAAGAAGTGAAATGCTAGTCACTGGTTAGCCTACCGTTTATCAGGCAATGAACAATGTGGCAGCTTCTCCTTTCCATCTATGTGGTATTTGGGAATAAAGCATGCTGCATTTCCCTGCAGGAGCTTCAGAGAGACATAGAGAAGCACAGTACTGGTGTTGCCTCCGTCCTTAACCTGTGTGAAGTCCTGTTGCATGACTGTGATGCTTGTGCCACCGATGCCGAGTGTGACTCCATCCAGCAGGCTACTCGAAACCTGGACCGGCGGTGGAGAAACATCTGTGCTATGTCCATGGAAAGGAGGCTCAAGTGAGCTGGGGTGTTCAGTTAGGGAAGAGCAAAGACCAAAAAGGAAAAAAAAAATTTAAAAAAAGACCCAGAGTATCCATGGCTCACTGTTTCCTTTTGGTTACAGTGTCCAAAAATAGCCTTGGCTTCCCCAACTTACTGCCATCTACATTTAGTTGGGAAAATAAGTAGGTGTAAAGGTAATATATAAATATAACATGCCGAGTTGTGTCTGACCTTACCAATTAAATGTCATACAGAATAATAAAACAGCCTTGCCATGAAGGAATAACTTTGCAGAATTTGCAGTTGTAAAAAAAAAAAAAAAAGTGTCATTCTTTTACTAAAAATTACATAATGAAGAGACACATTCTTCATCTTTAAGCCCTTTGAAATTTAGGGTGGCAGAAACCTGTGATGTGTTATTACAACATTATCGTAATGACTTAAAACACAGAATCATCATGCTCTCTGGTGACTTTTAAAAGCTTGATATTTATCTTGCTGTCATAGGTTGACGTCGGGTGAGTGTGAAGTTGAATTTAGTGGGTTTTCAAACCTGGTATATTTTAATGGATCATCAGCACTCAATATGTTGCATTTCAAAATTTCCTTACAAACATCCAAAGCAGCTCACATTATGTGCTCATGATATTCAATTTGACTAATTCCACTGCAGGGCATGCTTAAAAAAAAAAAAAAAAAACAGCTGTTTTATTTTAGCTCAAACAGTTGTTTCGCTCTCTCTGGTCAGTTTGGCTCAAGGCAAGGTTATTGTTTGGCATAGCAGTTGCTTATTTGGGCACTCTTAATCCTGTTGCAGGCATCAGACAGGGTTCTGGTGCATAAACAGTCTTAAATAATGGGAGTCTGTTCCTTCATTTTCTGTCTCAGAATCGAAGAGACCTGGAGATTGTGGCAGAAGTTTCTGGATGACTATTCTCGATTTGAAGATTGGCTGAAGATTTCAGAAAGGACTGCAGCTTTCCCCAGCTCTTCTGGGGTGCTCTATACAGTTGCTAAGGAAGAACTAAAGAAATTTGAGGTGAATTAGAATTCCAAATATTTAATGCGTTATTTTGCTTTTGAAGTAGCCAGCTAGGAGTTGGTGTCCAAGACATAAACTAACTCTCCACCCCCATGCTGTTTGTTCAAATAGCTGGGTGATGACTTTGTGGCCACTTTGATATTGCCCCATAAGAAGGGGTAAAGGAAGTGGGTAAAGGAAGACTTTATTTCCATTTCAGATTATGGAGAATTACAAAGTAATAATAAAAAGAAATTGTATTACAAAACAAGACTTGTATTTTGTAATAATCTTGGCATTATTTTTATTTCAAAATTCTTCTCAGTCACTCATCTTTTCTGAAATTACAATGTGGTAGTGTTCTATATTATAAAAATCTATCTTCTACATGTTCTTTCYCAATTTTTTTCTTTTACTGAATTGGAATGCATGTGCATACATATGAGTAACTTTAATCATTGATAAGATAGGGTTGGATCCAGAATTGAATAGGACATTTTTATTATAATTCATGTCTTTTTAAAAATGTATTTTTAATAATTTGTTCTTTGGGGGCTGGGTTGTGGTTCAGTTGTAGAATGCTTGCCTGGCATGCATGAGGCACTGGGTTTGATTCTCAGAACTACATATAAAAAAAATTAAAAAATAAAGGTCCATCAACAATTAAAAATTATTTTTTTAAAATTGTTTTTTTTTAGATATACATGAATATATTTTGACATATTTAAACAAACATGGAATACATCTTATTCTAATTAAGATCCCAGTTTTGTGGTTGTACATGACATGGAGATTCACTGYCGTGTATTTATATATGTGTATAGAAAAGTTAAGTCAGATTCATTGCACAATCTTTCCTATTTCCTGTCCCCCCACCCATTCCTTTCATTATAACTCTTTTCTAATCGAACAACAAAGACCAGTGTCCTCTTGACTCACCAAGACTTTTTAACTCCATGGAGATAAAAATAGCAGTAGTGTAATAATATTCATAAAGAAAAAAATCATTCAGTAGTTGATTCCATCTCCTCGCTGGTTTGCACAATCTTGAGTCTACTCCATCACTGCAGTACCACAAAACTCCAACTTCTCRGCAGCCTCTGATCTTCACAGAGCCTTGACATAACCTAAATTGGACCTTTTTTTTTTTTTTAATTTAGAGTTTCTTTTCTCTTTCGTTCCCACTGATAAGCAGATGTATACTCATATATGCTGAGAATGGACAGTTCTGATGCTTTCTTATCATTGCTAATTCTGCCCCAACCTTTTCAAAATGTTTAGAAATAAGATTTTAAAAATCCAACCAAGTCCAGGAGGGTTCATTTTTACCTTCCAACATCAGTTAACCAGGCATTTACTGAGGCCTATGACGGGAAATACAAAGTTTGCTTTTTGTGCTTGTGGGGTTACAATCTAAGAGTCAGATGAACAGCTATGTGAATCTATAAAAATGTTCAATTACTGTGTGAAATAAATGAGTYGCTCTGCCTAGATTTATACAAAACTATCCCACTAAATTCCAGGGGAAAAAATGTTCCATATAAAAAAGTTTTTCATTAGAAAACTTCTAGTAAAAAGCCACAGTAAATGGCAGTAGGTTTCAGGTCAGCCTGATGCAGACCCGTGCTACTGGAAGTGCTACTGTCCTGAGTCTTATTGCACTCAGCTTCAATAAGGTCAAAACCCATATAATTGGCTTATACTACAAAGAAGATTATATTTAAGATCCTTCTTGATGCTATTTTAAACTCTGAATTTACAKCGAAAGTTACCCATATAGTCAGTTCCTCTAATGATTGATGCCATCGTTTATCACCAATTGTGTAGTAAATTTTTTGAAGAGATGAAAATAAGTCACAAAAAGAAAATTTTGCTTAAGGGCAATCCTTAGCCTATTCCATTGCATAAATATTGGGAGAGACCTGAATGTGCTGGGGTGMCTCCCCTGGGTACTTTACCACCAACCTAGTGGCCAAGCAGTACCTTGACTTCTAGTAACATCAAAAGYCAAACCTGCCTTGCCACTTTCTTCACTGGGGAAATAACTTAAAAATTTTATAGAAGTGCCSATTGGACTCACTGGGTTGGAGGCTCTTAAGACAACTCTCAGAAAGAAAACATTTATGAGGCAGAAACGTGATACCATGCAAACAATATGAAGAGCCAAGGAAAATAGAATTTCAGAATTTAGATGAGTACAGTCTGATTCAATAATTATAAAGTTTTTAGTCTAGTGCTAAGATAAAAATCAGTCATAAATCATACAAATAAATTCTGAAAAAGAAGCTTCATTTTATTTTGGCCAAATGATTCCTGGCCTATTGTATATTGTAGCAACAGAGCAGCCAGGTATTTAACTGCAGAATCTATAAAAGGCATGTAGCATGACTTAAATAGTAACCAGCACTAACATGTTTTATAAAAACTGTGAATAATTACTGGGAACAACAGATGTTCCAAAATTTTTTTAAAATGGAAAGTTACTTGTGTTTTACTATAGTGCTTTTCTGAAAAGTTGGTAAAAGCTTGCATTTAGAGGTCCTTCCACAAAAGGTGGTTTTAATTTCATTCATAATGGACACCAGAATTGAATCCATTTCTGAGAATTTAGAAAACTACATAATTCACAAATAAGTAGTTCTGTTATAGATATCTTTTCTCAGTATTGATGCTAGAATTATTGAACACTGCCAACTCACATTTCCCCATATATATACTTTTATACTTGGTTTGTTTGATAAGAAAATTTGTTTTCAGACTGTTAATTATTTTAAAAGCCATATTATATGCATATGTGTTTATATATATGCATATATCTACATATACATATATATAGTGTATGTATATACACATATGAATATATGTGCATAAATTTATATGTATATTTATTTACAGATACATTGATTTATTAGTATTTCCCATTTTCTTACAGATTCTTGATTGATTCATGCCTTTCCTTAAGCTAGGCTGATCAATGACTCTGCTTTCATCAGGGGACATGCACCTCCAATACAACCCATCCTTTCCCTCTATCTGTGGTAGCGTCCCTTCCATCCTCTCTGACCCTGCTGTGGGAAAGCCAGGAGCCGTGGCTGAAGGTCCTTCACTGATCTCCCACACTGACTTTGATCTTCTCTGTGGTCTTAGGCTTTCCAGCGACAGGTCCATGAGAGCCTGACCCAGCTGGAGCTGATCAACAAGCAGTACCGTCGCCTGGCCAGGGAGAATCGCACCGATTCCGCATGTAGCCTCAAACAGATGGTGCACGAAGGCAACCAGAGATGGGACAACCTGCAGAAGCGTGTCACCTCCATCCTGCGCAGACTCAAGGTTTCCCTTATGCCTCCTCTGAGACTAAGAGGCCCAGGGGACGGGGCTGGGCCCTCTGAGCACAACCCTGAACCAGGATCTCAGTGGTGGGGGAAGGTTGGGATGGCAAGAGGGTAGTAGGGGCAGCGATCCAGTGAAGGTTCCCAGGGTTCTCTTTCCTTGTTGAGAAAATGACTCTCCAGAAGGACATTGGAACCGGCTGTGCCACCTCAGCATGTTGGCATGGACTTTTTAATTGCTATGTTCTTCCTTTCTCATCCAGCATTTCATTAGCCAGCGCGAGGAGTTTGAGACTGCAAGGGACAGCATTCTGGTCTGGCTAACAGAGATGGATCTACAACTCACTAATATTGAACATTTTTCTGAGTGTGATGTTCAAGCTAAAATAAAGCAGCTCAAGGTAATATATACATTATTTTCAAATGACTTACCTCACGTGATACAAGTCAGAATGTGCAGATGGGGTCATTGGTCAAGTTAATATCAGAGCTATTAACTTGATGATGGATGCAAATATTGTCCCCCTCTTTTCYACCCACACTGTCTGTGTTGGTAAATTTAAATATCAAAGGATCTTTTCTAATATTTCCATTTCTGCCTCCTAATCTGACTTGAAATCTTACGTTTAAATTTAGAGGGGTATAGCCTCTTGGCCTGTCATCATATACAGTAATTCTAACATCCCCTACATAAAAAATGTTTTTCTAATGTAATGAGAAATGTGTAGTTATTGTTTTATATCAGTGAGAGCAACAACAACAACAAAAAATCACATGGGATTTGTGCTCCYTAGGCCTTCCAGCAGGAAATTTCACTAAACCACAACAAGATTGAGCAGATAATTGCCCAAGGGGAGCAGCTGATAGAAAAGAGCGAGCCCCTCGATGCAGCAGTCATCGAAGAGGAACTGGACGAACTCCGTCGCTACTGCCAGGAGGTCTTTGGGCGAGTGGAAAGATACCACAAGAAGCTGATCCGCCTGCCTGTAGGTGACATTACCCTTTTCTTCCATGGCCATTAGATCTRAAGAGAACTAATTACGTGGGATATGGTAGAATAGTGAGGAGGATACGAGCCCAGACTCTGGAACTAGACGCCTGGGCTCAGTCCTAGCTTTGACACAGGCTGGTTCTGTAAACTTAGAGCCAGTATTTACCTTTCTTGCTTCAGTTTCCTCAACTGTGAAATGCATTTCCTTGCAGTAACTACCTYGTAAAAGGATGTATTTGATGGTTAGGTAAGTTAATATAAAGATTTGAAAAAAGTTCTGAGTGCATATCTTCTATGCAAGACCAAGAAGCTTCTAGAAGAAATAGGGAGATGAAGTGAGACATGTCAGTAGTGGCTCAGCTGATGAGGTTGTGTTTAGGTGAATTTGTTCTTCTGCTTTCCTACTTGCAACCATAAACACATCTCATCTGCAGAGGCAGTGTTATTAGGATGTTGGGAATCTTCTCTGAGGTCATGTATTTTGGATCTGCCACATAAGGCCAAAAGGGAAGCTAAAGTTGTATTAGTGATTTCCTTCTGTTACCAATATATGGCATTATGTACCCATGGTATAGTAGGTGCAGTGCTAGGTTACCTTGGTTTACATCATCTTATTTAATTTTCTCATAATTGAAACTGACTTTAATATTATTCTCATGTTGCTGGCAATAAAATGGAGGCTTRTATAGACTGATTTATGAGGCCTTTTCTAAGTGACCGGAAGAGTCTTATCTTCTTGCTCCCGGGAAGTTTGTTCTTGCTGCGTGGTAGCCGTGTGGCCCTCTGGGCTCCAGTGCTGAGGTTTGCTGAGCGGTGGAGCCTGAGAGGTGAGGGCAGTAACAGAGTTGGCTTCACTTCCCTTCTAGCTGCCAGACGATGAGCATGACCTCTCTGACCGCGAGCTGGAGCTCGATGACTCTGCTGCYCTCTCGGACCTGCGCTGGCAGGACCCCTCTGCGGACGCACTCTCCCCGCAGCCTTCCTCCAACCCCTCCCTCTCCCTTCCCCAGCCCCTCCGGAGCGAGCGGTCGGGAAGGGACACCCCGGCCAGCGTGGACTCCATCCCCCTGGAGTGGGATCATGACTATGACCTCAGTCGTGACCTGGAGTCTGCCGTGTCCAGGACTCTGCCCTCTGAGGATGAAGAGGGTCAGGAAGACAAGGAATTCTACCTCAGGGGAGCTGTTGGCTTATCAGGTAGGAAAGCCATCCTGKGTGCCAGCTGGAGGGGAACAGAAGAGAATTGATACTAGGCTGTGAGCCATCTGAGGCTGGGGGCGATGTCCCTGTGGTGGCTTAGGAAGTGCAGTCATGGGCAACTGGCCTGGAGTTCAGAGGACAGGCTTCAGGGAAGAGACTTGTAAGCTGAGACCAGAAGGATGAGGAGCGGTCAGTAAGGTGGACATGGCAAAGTTCAGAGGAGAAGGGAGGAGCTCTGCCCCTTGCCCTGGGACATCTGAAGTTTTTCCAGAGTGGCAAGACTGTAGGTTAGGTGACATGGAGTCGACAAAGTGACCCTGGAAAGACAAACGCCTAGTCATGAAGTGGTCTGTTCACCATGTAAGGAGTTTGGTTCTTGCCCTGAAGGCAGTGGGGATCCCCAACGGGGTCTAAGGAGAGAGGTCATCAGATGCATAGTTTCATATTGGATCACTAGATTCTATAGGAGGAAAGCATATTGGGCAGAAGAGAGTCCAGGTGGAAATGTTTTATAATCCAGATCAGAGACAGTATGGTGGTCTGAACTAAGGAAGAAGCATTGGGTCTAGGAAGACTAAAGGAGGTGAGAAACCAGGAGGAGAAGACTCCTCCATCCACCAGATGGAGACAGTTTTCTGACTGGGGCTTGATGTAAACATTGTGGRTGATCCTACCCTTTGAGTATCACAAAAGGGAGAAAATGTTTTGGAACAACTGGGCAAGGGAGGCACAGCAGTGAGATGGGATGTGCTGTGTGGGTGGTGTGTGGCCTGATTTAGAGATGYTTGAAGAATCCCTGATGCCGTGATCCAGGAGTTGATGCTTGGGTCTGAGGTTCAGGACCCTTCCGGAAAGTCAGATGAGCTAGTTATCCACTTGCAAATGGTAATTGTCCCTGAGTGAATACAGGGAATCACACAAGAAATCTGTCTAGAGGAAAACAAGAAGGACCAAAACTCAAGGAGGAAATAGAGTGGGGGGGGGGGGGGTTAGATAGAGAAGGAGGTTCATGGTATGGAAGATGAGTAAAGACAGAATAAATCATTGGAGGTTGATTAACAGCACATGAAAGTGCATCTCATAATCCCCTAAAAAGTTTGTTTATTGCTGATGGTTCACATCTGAATTCCCAATGCATGTGACTTTGTTCTAAGAACAAAAATGAGTTCTCACATTCCCATTTTCTTGACACCAGAGCCCCTTAGCTAGCTAGGCATATGTCATCAGAATCAGCACCATCTAAAATGTTGCCACCTACATGACTTGTAGAGCACTGAAATGTGACTGTGCAAATTGAGATGGGTTGTAAATGGAAAATGCACTCCTTACACACCAATTTCTAAAGCTTACTACAAAGAAAGGTTGTAAAATATCATCAAYATTTATTTTGATTACATCATAATTTGGATATGTTGATTCAGTAAAATATAGCATTAAAGTCAATTTCATCTGCTTACTACTCTCTACCATGGCTATTAAACCTCTAGAATTACATATGTGGTTTACATAGAGAAAATAAAGGTCAGTTCTGTTCTAGAATCTGGGTTGAAATTCCTGTTCTGCCTCTAAAAAACCTGTTTAAACTTTGATATGTAATTTCATTAAACTGGATGTCAGTTTTCTTATCTATAAATTGGAAATAATACTACCAGTCATGCCGTAGGGTTTCTGGGAGGAAAAATGAGTGCTTAAAACAGTGCCCAGCTCAAAAAACACCGTCCTTCAACGTGAGTTCTTAGTAGGATTCATTTCTGGAAGTGTCTGGTGAATGTGCACACTCTCCTCTGTGCACACAGGAGCCATCTGTCTGGAATAACTAACTACCTCTTTTTCCCCAGGAAAGTTATTTTYCTGCCACAGGGAATCACGTTTCCAGTGTAGCTGTCAACTTAGACTGTGYTCTTTTTGCAGATGTAGTGATCCCTGAAAGCCCTGAGGCCTATGTAAAACTCACAGAAAATGCAATCAGAGATACCTCTGGTAGGCATGAAAAGCCAGAGCAAGCCTCCTCTCTCCTGCTGTAACCAGCCACCTCTCTTAGCACAGCTTCTCCATCTCTCACAGCTTCCGGGCTCAAGCATGCTAAGGCACAACCTCCCTCAATCCCCACTGCGCTAGAAAAAAGCAGCCAGTTGACCAACACCGAGAATACAATTTCAGTAATCAAGTGCAATGAAATAACTTCTCGGCTTGTCAAATGATAATCAGTCTCATTAAGTGCAGACCTCAGATGCCCATTAACAGCAGGAAACATGAGAGGGAAAGCCAGTCCTCAGCACTGAGCCCTGGCACTCCACTTGATGGTGGCAGCGTCAGCTTCTGGGGGTTGTGACCTACCTCTAGCTGGGTGAGTGACCCAGCACACCCTCCATGCAACCTGCTCATCTCAGAGGTCCCATATAAGACAAGGGTGAAATAAGACTTYAGCTCTAAAAATCCATCATTTTCATCTAAGGAGTCTTGTAAAATAATATGAAATGAAAAATGTGTTCCACAATCTCTTGAGCCTTTGATTTCTTAAAGGATAATCTCTTCTTGAAACAAGAAGAATTAAAGAAAAAAATGGAACTGGTTTTGCTCAGTATTGCGTTAGACAAATGGTAGTTCAGTATCAGTAACTGGGAACAGTTGGGATAACAGTGACATGATCATGGAGTTACTAATTTGCACATCAGTTTCTAAAGACAAGCAAAAGAACAGGAAGTGAGGTGACATTGCTGAATGRGTTATTTTCTCAGCAATTGTCAGTGAGAGACCTCTCCCAGGTGTACTTAGAGGGCTTCTTTTGCAAAAATAAATAAATTTAATAGCGCTTACTAATATTTTTTCTGCTTTCACCCTGTGCCAGCTCCATTCTGATGATCAGTATTATTGTTCAGTTTGAAAGACTGTAATACACACACACTCACACACACACACACACACACACACACACACACAAATTCATTAGTGCAAACACAGGCAAATGCATACACGCATAGTATGTCACAACTCTAAGAGAAGAATCAGCCAACACCTAGGCAATAAGTAAGACCTTGCCTAGATGAATGTGCTTAAATCTTAACTTTCTCTTCATTTTGTTCAGGTTTTAGATCAAAGTTAATCACTGTCCAGCATAGTGGCACACACCTTTCTTTAATCCCAGGGGCCAGGAGGCTGAGATAGAAGGATCACAAGTTCAAAGCCAGCCTCAGCAATGGCGAGGCACTAAGCAACTCAGTGAGACCCTGTTTCTAAATAAAATACAAAATAGGGCTGGGGATGTGGCTCAGTGGTCAAGTACCCCTGAGTTCGATACCCCCCCCCAAAAAAAAAAGCAAATCACTGCTAGTTTGATGTCTCCATGTCTATTCTGAGCTAGTCTTTTCCTGGTTAACTTGAATTTGTTCCTTAAATGATGCAGTGTCCCAACAACCTGGGCCTTTAGTGGCACTGTGGTCTCCTGTGGTACAGAAAGGCAGGATAGAGAGTGCAATACCCTCTACTTAGTAAATGACCACAGAAAAAGTCAGGGAAGTTACTGCCTCCTGCTTCCGGAGGAGTGCCAGGCACCATTTCAGACTTTCAGAAAGGCCTTCCACTATCTACAGCATTCAGGTGACAGGGGTTCAGCTGGGARAGGAAGTGGACACTCAAGGTTATTCAGAATCAACTGCAGAACCCTTTTCAATGTCCAGGCTGCTGGCATTCGAGGGGAGCACACTCATTGGTTTAGCCCCTTAAACATCTAACCCACCAGCACTGTAATACTAAATTTGCTTTATAATTACTCCCAGACACACCCCTTCTATGCTGCCATAGCTGAAATAACTTCTGAAACTTCTCCTTGAATGTTAAACTTGAACTCAGTCTAACAGCATGGCCACTGAGCATTCTTATGGTTGGCACTGCAGGAGATCGCAGCGCCTTGGAGTCACAGATCCGACAACTGGACAAAGCCCTGGATGACAGCCGCTTCCAGATGCAGCAAACTGAAAATATTCTTCGCAGCAGAACTCCCACAGGGCCAGAGCTGGACTCCAGCTACAAAGGCTATGTGAGTAACTTGACCATCCTACTCCTGACCTGCRCCCGGATCACAGTTCAGTGACATAGAACGGTCTGTGTGCCCTGTGAGGGCTCTGAGTGTCCTTGAACTCCTGAAGGTGGATTTGCAGGACAAAGCCCTGCTATTTAAAGTTTGAGTAGAACCTGGTCTGTTTTCAGAGCTGAGCCCACTTTAATAACCAGCCTGTTCCTTACACTGAGCACTTAGGAAGATCCTTTAGTTGAATGCAACAAAAGGMTTTGGCTCCCAAATGTCATTAGGCATTTATCCAATTCAACTAATAATTTCTGAATCAAGGTTATCCTTGAAAGAAGATTTTAGCTAATAGATTACTAACATGGAATTTTTTAAAGTTCTTTTCCTGGGCTTTTGATTCACTGAATGACCTTGGGAATCTTTTTTAAATCTTTGTTTTTCTATTGTAGTTCTTTTTTTTTTTTTTTTGGATTCCTACGGATAAAACTCAGAGCCTTGTGCACGCTAGGCAAGGGCTCTACTAGTGAGCTGTACCCCAGCCCATCCTCTGATCTTTGTGTGCTCATTTTGGAGAAAGGAATTACAATTGTTATGACTCAAAAGAGGAATTTKGGGAAAAGACATCAAGGGATTATGTATATCACCAATTTTATTTGTGCAGCAATTCTCTATGTATTTTATCTCTCATAATTTTAATTCATCCTGCTTCAGTTATTCATCAAGTAGTTCTTCTCAGAGAAGGACCTGTTTCCTCCACATACTTAAGCAAGATAATTTTAGGGTAAATCTCTTACCTGCTTCAGATCTTCTTTCACATTTAAAAGACTGCTTAGTAAAAAGAAAGAAAAAGTAGTTTCCCTAGTCTACTTATAATTCACATGTACTACTTTTTTAAACCAGGAAAGGAAATTGTTCTAGCAATAAATGTTGATATTAATTGTCCTTATAATTGCTTCTATATAGTAAAACCTGCCTTTAAATGTATAATTTTTAATCAWTATGCTGACATCACTGAAATTATACTTATCCTCAATCAAAAGTAATCAAAGTAGCTCAACAGCACTGTTATCTGTTTTAAGGGCTCTAAGAGATAGTSTTATGAGCTATACAGCAAGAATGCCTTGAGGTGATTTATCCTTTTAATATTAGAATATTGTAGATGATATTAAAATGGATTTGGCAGCTTTTCCTTTGATTTTAGAATTTAGTCCCTCGATACCTATTAAATATTGCTTAAACTTCCTTGTAAAACACTGACTTTAATATGGCTTTATACTTTTAAGTATTTTAATTATTTATTTCAGAAACGTTCTCATGAGATTTGTGGTAATATCGGTGCTTCCACATTTCAGTTTGACAAAGAAAAACAGAGAGCAACTTGCCAAAAATTATATATTGCCTTGCCAACCGAGGCTCTTGGTTTTAAGTCCCAGATTGATTTAATCTGTTCTGATTTAGGAGTTTAAAAAAAAACCCCGAGGGCTTCTCTTGCCAATCATGCATGCAGAGCAAATCTTTAAGGCATAGCTTTCTTATGTCATTCCATATCTATCGATTGTTGAGATAGCACGGTTTTAAACTATGCCTACTTTTAGTAAAGAGGCACAGAAAAGTATGATACAGCCACTGCCCTCCCCCGGAAGTAAAAAGGGGTCTCCCCTGGAAGCTCTTGTCCTTGTGAGAGCTTTGGTGACAGGGGGCCRTTTCTTATGTCTAAACAGATGAAACTGCTGGGAGAATGCAGTGGCAGCATAGATTCAGTGAGGAGATTGGAGCACAAGCTGAAGGAGGAAGAAGACAGCTTTCCTGGCTTTGTCAACCTGAACAGCACCGAGACCCAGACAGCTGGTGAGTGCACTGTGCTCATTCAAGACATTACGAAAAAGAAGATCCTGAAGCACTTTGTCACACCCAAGTTCTACCAAGTTCTGCTCAGCCTCCTTCTCTTCTGTCCTGAGAACTCTCCAGGGTCTCCTGTTCTCCCATGACAGAGACAGGAGGTGAAGGTCATTGTGGTGGTTTTCGTATTCTGTTTGAATGAACTGTCTCTGATGTAGCTAGTCAACTTTTTAAAAGTATGCTCTCAGAGTCTATTATAAGAAGGAACCAAGAACAGAAGGATTTCCAGTATGGAAGTTCCTCAAAAAACTAGGAATGGAACCACCATATGACCCATATCACCACTCCTTCATATTTATCCTAAAGAATGAAAGTCAGTATACTATAGTGATACATGCATACCCATGTTTGTAGCAGCACAATTCACAATAGCCAAACTATAAAAACAGTCTAGGTGTCTGTCAGTGCATGAATGGGTAAAAAAAAGTTATATATAATTCAGTCATAGAAAGAACAAAATCATGTCATTTGTAGAAAAATGGATAGAACTTGTTAAGCAAAATAAGCCAGACTCAAAAGTCAAGGGTCATACGTTTTTCTCTTATATCTGTAAGCTATAAGAAAAAATAGGGAAGAGAGTCTTATGAAAACAGAAAAGGAAACCAGGAGGGTGTTGGAGCAGGGGAAAGAAGAGGATTGAGATAGAGGAAATATTGGAGAAGAAATTGACCAAATCACATTGTTATATTGTATGCATGTATGAATGTGTAGCAGTGAATTCCACTATTATATATAATTATAATGTGTTACAGTTTTACTAGTATAAAAAAGAATGGAATGATCTCTTCATGCATGTGGCTGCTCATTTCTTCATAAAGCTCTTCACAGTGTAGCTAATTTTTCTTTACTTCATTATCATTATAAAAACAAATGGGGAGAACACAAATTGGACCCATTTAGCTGTCGTTTACAAATGACAACAGAAATGTCCAGCAGAATCACTTTTCTTTCTGTTGCTCCTTAAAGTTAGACACCACCATATGATTAAAGCACTCCCTAAATGTCATAGGTGGAGAAACCCCTCACTGTTCTGTGCATGTCTTGCCAGGTGTCATTGACCGATGGGAGCTGTTACAGGCCCAGGCCTTGAGCAAGGAGTTGAGAATGAAGCAGAACCTCCAGAAGTGGCAGCAGTTCAACTCGGACCTGAACAACATCTGGGCCTGGCTGGGGGAGACCGAGGAAGAACTGGAGCAGCTCCAACGCCTGGAGCTCAGCACCGACATCCAGACCATCGAGCTCCAAATCAAAAAGCTCAAGGTAGCTACCTCTCCCTCTTCCTCAGCAGCCAAACAGAAAGCCACCACCCGCCAATACCTGTTCAGAAACTGCTAGCTCTGATGGTTTTATCCTCGTGGAGCAGCAGAAGAAACTATCTAACCAAAATGAACAAGAATGCTGCTCTTGGCCCCATACGCCCCAAATCGATGTGTTTCATAAATGCAGTTTGGAAGAGCAGAAAGAAGGACCATATTATAATGAATTGGTACTTTAAGAAATAGCTCAAGTTTTATGAAAGATCCAGGMACCTCTGAGACCTATTTAACCTCTTGATATGGGCAATATCAGTATACTCATAGTCATGCATATCTCTATCCATAGCTGGAAAGAAACATTTTCCAAGATTGTATTTGTGTGAATTTGTAAGAGACCTGATAAGACCATTTGAAATTCTCATTTCCCAAATTGATTTTGATTGTTATGGCAAAAACAGTTTTACTATAATCAGTAAAACAAAACTTTTGAGTAATTGTGATTAAAYGCCTACTTTGGATTTGTGACTGGGAGGATGTGGTGTGCAGATAGCTTACCTTAACTCCAATTCCTTATCTGAAAACTTCTTAGTCCAAGCTATTGAGCTGTCTTCATGTGGAAACTTGTAAGCATCCCCTGGAGCGGGGTTTTGTTTGATGAACATTCAGATGTGCTAATCCTCAGAATGTTTCTGCCCAGAATCTTCAAGCTCAGAATTAAGGGTGCTGTGTTTGTGTTCCTGTGGTTTTAGCATATGCTATTTATTTGGGGCTGTTATCTCTGTTGCTTGATTTTGAGTGGTTGTATTATTTTGTTTTAAATTTTCAGACAGATAAATGAGTCTTCCCCAAAGATTTCCCACAGTTGCATTCTGTAGAGAGGTCTCTGCACCAACCCTGTGAATTTCAGGACAGAGCRCGGGAGGGAAGATGCAATTTAGAGTATCTGCATACTGAACTGCATTTTTCATTAGAGTCCCTAAGTTACTCTAGCTAAAGAGTATTTTAGTGTAATCAAATTCCTTTGAAAATTGATAAAGAAAGTACTGGCCAGAATCTGAGACCTCAGGAGATCAGGGCAGGAAAATAAAGACCTTGGAAGTTAGCCTGTGTGATAAGCAGAAGGGGTCCTCCTCTGTAGCCCTTCCTCTTCCCTCCTGTTTTCTGTAAATAAGTCTATGGAACAATTAAATGCTTTCCAATCTATAGACCAGGATGTCAAGAACCCGTTGAAAAGTGAAAAATGAAGTCAAGTTAGGGACATAATAAAACTAGTAAGAAATTATAATAAAATACAGCCTGGATAGATGTGATTTCCACAATTGCTCCCCACCCCCCATAAGCTTGATCTGTGGATGTTTAAATAACATCCAGACACTCCACAATTAATATGTGCTCAAGTTCTTAGAATTGAGTTCTAGATTGTTTGGAAATGCACGAAGTCAAAAATCAGTCATGTTTTTTTTGGGTGACATCAAACTAAACTGTTTAGCTCATAAAATACCCAATTTATTCTCTTTATCATCACAAGAATATGGCCTGTGATGTGGTGATGTTCTCAGCCAGTGAGCCCCTGTGCCTACAGTTTCTGGGCTCTGAAACCCACTATCAAAAACTCACCACTTCATTCTATGCACACAAGTTGAGCACCATTAGTCTAGTGAACTAGAATTAAGAAATTAATCATTTTATGCACAAGATTTTTTTTTTTTTWAAAAGCAGGTGTCCAGCTGCCCAAAAGTGTTGGAGCCAGGTTTCTGTTTTGTTTTATTGTGGCTGAACTACTGTGCAAGAAATCAAGTTCAATRGCTTCCTTAGTTCATTGCATGTAGCTATCATTTCTTCCTTCAAAGCTCCATTTTGCTTTATTTATCATTTTCATTCATTGATTTTGCATTCSTATTCCTCAGAGCCTTGGCAACCATTCTGAAATATTTACTAGTCATTCTTTGTTCATATGCACTCTTGAAAAATGTGGGATTTTGTGTGCATTCAGGTATTAATGCTCATCCAGGTTTGGATTTCTCATACATCATGTTTTCTAAAGATCTATCCGTGTTGTCAAGTGTCCTGTAATTGATTTCTTGTGATTACAGTATCATTCTCAGTGGCTCTCATCATCTATTCCTTAATGGTCCTGTTAAAGGCCAGTTTTAATAAATGGATCTTTTTATAGGAGTAAAACATGTTCCAGAGTTTTAAACTACATTTTAAAATGTTTTTATCATTATGGTCCTTGTTTGATTGCTCGACTTTCTCTTGTAGGAGCTTCAGAGAGCCGTGGACCACCGCAAAGCCATCATCCTCTCCATCAATCTCTGCAGTTCTGAGTTCACCCAGGCTGACAGTAAGGAGAGCCGGGACCTGCAGGACCGGTTGTCCCAGATGAACGGGCGCTGGGACCGTGTGTGCTCTCTGCTGGAGGACTGGCGGGGACTGCTGCAGGACGCACTGATGCAGTGCCAGGTGGGTGKGGCTTGGCATTTGGAGACTTGAAGCCATAGGTTCATATCTCAGTTACCTTAGAGGTGCAGTTGCTCCCCCAGATCAGTGTTTGAGTGAGATAACTGCGCCTCCAAACTTTTCATGTTATTGGAGAATCTGTACTCTTGACTGAGGTATAAGGACTCACATCTCATTTTCTTCCCATCTCTCAAGTTCTGCCCTTCCTTCTTTGACTCATTCATTTATTTCATTCATTCATTCAAGACATACTTCTGAGCACACAGCTATTTCTTCAAGATCAAAGGAAGATATTGCAGTATCTATTTATTCATTCTTGCCACAGTTACTTGCTGTTTCTACTGTGAGCCAGATAGGTCACTGAGCAGCTATGATACAGTGTAGCCTCTGCTTTTGTTAGGAAAACAAGACAAATAAATGCAAGGACGTAGGTGACAAGAGTAACTGAGGAAAGCCACTTTGGGTGGAAAGTCAGGAGCTTTCTATAGTCCCTTGAACCAACCTTGGAGAAGGATGTTGCTAAGAAGGAGATGCAATGGATGAGAAGTCCCAGAAGCAGAAAAGGGCATGGCATCTTTTAGGACATGAAAGAAGCCAGTTTGACCAAAATATTGTGAGGGAGTCCRAAAATGAGCAGAAGGGCTGGGGAAGTGGTCAAGAGCCAGGTCCCACATAGCACTGCAGGTCCTGGCCAGGAGCTTGGGTCATATTCTAAGCACAATGAGATGATGAAGGAGGTGAAGCCTCTTTGAAAGCAGGTGCCCAAGCTGTTGTTGCACACCACCTCCACTCCTAGTGCAGCTTCTGGCACATAGGAGACCTTCACTGACTGCAGGCTGAACCACTGAGCAAGTGGGTGAGTGAAGKGGGGAGATGGGATTGGGCCTGGGCCTTCAAACATGGGAAGATTTTCTGAAAAGAGATAAGAGGAGAATTGTTTTCTTCCAAACTATTAGCATGACTCTTCCTGTGGGAAATTGAGTATTTTGATACCAATTTACTTAMTATCTAAATTTTCCCCCAAGTAATAATTGAGATGCTTTTGGTAAGAAGATGAACTCCAGATTAGATCATCAGCACCAGGAGTCATGTATCATGTTAAAATCAATGTGCATTTGCCAATGGTAGCCATTGGAAAGAATGGAAATATACTCTAGGGAAATAGGTTATCCATGGTTTGTATATTTTGGTAGGATTTCCATGAAATGAGCCATGGTTTGCTTCTGATGCTGGAGAATATCGACAGGAGGAAAAATGAAATTGTCCCTATCGATGCCAGCCTTGATGCAGAGATACTTCAGGACCAACATAAACAGCTTATGGTAAGAACTCTGGTGGCCTCTGCTTGGTTATTTACCTTTTGCATTATAATCTCTCACACCCCAACTGAAGTCCCCAATTTAACTCCTATGGTTTTCAGTTTTTGTGAAACAAATATGCACAGAAGACGACGTCGGCCAACTTCAGCCATTGCTCAGTTGTATTACTCTTACCTTTCATTAATTAGTTGTGTTAATCTCAACTATCTTGGGTTTATTATGGCAGCTTTTTGAAGAATGATGTTTATTTTTAATTTAAGCTTTATATGTTGTATCGATGTCCCAAAAGYTTATTTGGTGACTTATTGTAAAAGAATATAAAACAATTAAAATAGAAAGATTCAGGCCTTGTTAAGAGGAATCCATGAAACATGAACCTTGGCACCAAGATTTCTGAAAGCAAAACTRAAGAGAAACATAGTGCATTCACTCTCTGTCATTATCTGACAAACAAAATATACCAGTTCTTAAGGATCAAGATATTTTTCTAGCACTAAACTCAAGCAGAAATTGACTTAAAGAATCATGTTTCCTTTTATTGGCTAAACAATTTATTGATAAGTGCAACAAAAGAATTACCTTCCACAGTTAATTTCTCTCTTGAATAAGAAATTTATGCCATGCTAGGCCGGGTAGGTTCTTATAATGATCTTGGAACAATATAAAGGATGCTGTATTTTGCAACTTTGATAGATGATTAGAAAGCATATTTGAGTTCCATTAGGAGAAAAATGTCTTGCATGTTGTGGCTTTCTGTATTTTTTAAATATTATATCTTAACTTTTAAGAGTTACCAAACTGCAGAATTGGCAGTTTTTAATTTAGTACCATAAGGATCTTAGAAAACAAGAGCTATGTTTTTATTCAACTTTGATCTCTGGCATTAAGCTGTGAATGACGATTCACCCTGTATCTTTTTTAAAATCATGACCAGATATCAGAGTATGCCTAGACATACCTGAATTTTGTTATATCTAGATGTTTTGTTTTTCTGTTGAAAAGACAAAGTTTCATTTTCATGGACCTTACATTGTAAGTATTTTCATATGCATCACCTAATTTAAACCTTATAAAAACACTTGCCGGGACCAGGCAGCCAATGAGGAACTCAGATCGGAGAGGTTCAGAGGCCTTGGGGAACATTTTTGGCAGAGGCAGAATTAGAACACCGTCCCCAATTCCCAGGCCAGGGGCTGCAGCATTGTTTTGGGTGCGAGCCCATCATTCTGATGCTCAGATATAATTGCTCACTTTGGGAACTTACTCCAGCTATTACAAATTCTTAGAAAAAAATATTTCCTATTCCATACATTAGCAAATAAGGCGTGAGCTATTGGAGTCCCAGCTCAGAGTGGCCTCACTGCAAGACATGTCTGGCCAACTCCTGGTGAATGCTGAAGGTACAGACTGTTTAGAAGCCAAAGAAAAAGTCCATGTTATTGGGAACCGGCTCAAACTTCTCTTGAAGGAGGTCAGTCGGCACATCAAGGATCTGGAGAAGTTATTGGACATGTCAAGCAGTCAGCAGGTAAGCCTAGCCAGACCTCTATTTACAGGAAAGCCAAGGTCATCCTCTCCACCTGTGGTAGAAAGGCTTTAAATGCAGCACTTACCAGAATGGATGCCCACCTCCGGCACTGCTGATCCAAGTCCTGCCTTCAAGTTAAAAAGCAGACTCATAACTTTTCATGACAGTATGCTACTATTGATTCTCCTCAATCTAAACGATGTCTTGTACTTGTTTGCTGCCAACCCTATTACCACCACTGCTGTAGAATTTTATTCTCCCTTGTTTAGTTAAGAATTCACACATTTTCAGATATTCARCCCTGTTAGAGCAAACCAATTATTGCCCACGTGTTTTGTATTCAACACTTGAAAGGCATGAATTCTTATGTATATGGCAATTAATTCATAGAACATGGTCTTTTGCTCATTTATCTTTCCTATTTTTTTTTCAAGTCACGGTGCCATGGTAATATTCTTGTTTTAAGAAATATACTTGTAGGCCCACCAGTGCTTGGAGAGATGGCAAACATTCAATCATGAAACCCTGTCATCCACACAAATGTGTTGTCCTTCTATAAGCATGAAAAAGAGCCATCCACTCTAAATAGCAACTGTGCCAGAAAGAATAGGCTTTCTCTGATTCCATAAGGTARACTCCTGGATGACCCTCATTTGTTTCTGACTTCAAGACCTGGCCTGAGTGAGCCTTCGGCAGACATCTTCCTCTCCCAAGCCAGTATCAGCTCATTCACATCCATGACACTGAGAAATAATAAAGCTGCAATAACAACCCTGAAGCTGCTATTTCCAGAAGGGCCAAGCTTGCAGTCAGAAAGCCCCTGTGCACTGGAAGGGTTAAGTCCCATTCTTGCAATTGTCTGATTCCATTTTTCACAAGGAATGGTCTGATTTTTATGGAGGAGATGAAACGATGTAGGGCTGGGGTGAGAAATACATTGTGTAGACAGAGCTGCCATGGCTGTGGGTTGTGGCCTTGCTCAAAGAACTTTCCCCCTTCTAGGACTTGTCCTCCTGGTCTTCTGCTGATGAGCTGGACACCTCGGGATCTGTGAGTCCTGCATCAGGAAGAAGCACCCCGAACAGACAGAAATCGGTAACTTTTCACTGTTCATTTTCAGGTCACCCATGGGTGGGGGACACTGGGGTATGAGAGTATTTGTGCCTATCACAGGGTCCACAGGCTCAAAGCAGGAGTCCCCAGGCAGGAGAGGGCTGTCACCAGCRTAGAGCTGCTCTTAGCCCTGCCGCGTGCCCTTCCAGCATGTGCTAAGGAATGGAAAACAGCAGTTCTGTTTTTCAAAAAGAAACAGGACTCAACGTGTGGTTGGTATGCAGGGAAAAAAAAAAAGTATATGTATGCCTATTTTTGCTTTTGCTCAAGTGGCCATTTCCAGAATGGTGCTCCTGTGTCCCTTCAGCGGCTCCTTCCTTCAAAGCACCACAGCTGTGTCCACCTAATCCAGATGGGCCGCCACGTACCAAGTGCCTGAGCCAGAGGTGGGCACGGTGAACATCCTGTGCATCCACTAAAGGTGGTTCTGTTGTCCCTCAAGCTGAGGGGCTTCTGAGTGGTGGTCCTGAAGTTGCTTCGTGACTGTTCTGCCCTAAAGCGGCAACAACTCGAGCAGACCCACCCTCAAGGCCCTGGTGGGGGCCGCTTCACCAGAGCACAGTGAGGACAAAAAGACAGATCTGGCCCCTGCTACCCTCTATACCTTGATTTCTCTGTGTAAATAGAAGCTTGTTTTTTCTTTTGTTATTTTTTTTTTTTTAGTCTGGCTTTATGATTTTATTCATCCATTTTTTTTCAGTTTTTAGAAGTAATGATTTTATTTGTACTTTTTTTTGTTATAGACACTTATGTTCTATGCTGACAAATGTATTATTCGTTTTAGGATTGTTTTTTACTACATTCACTAGTTTCCTGTAGATCCTAGTTTAAGAATGTAAAGGAATACTGGCTTTTCCACTGAAATTTTAGCTTTGATGTAACTTGTTGGGCTCCATCACTATGAACAACAATGTCCTGTGATAATCCAAAATTTTAATATGATTGGAGTGCTCCAAAAGGTGAAAAAATATGTAAAGTGTCTTTGAAGTACATAATTGGCTATGTCTAATTATATAGTAAATATACGGAGACACTCATTTGTGCTTCTTTCATGAAAAGTGAGGGAAATTATGCCCACAGTGGTGTGGACGCCACAACTTATGTTTCTTTAAGGATGTATAATGTAGATGTGAATTCGTTTTATTTCTTCGACACAAGAAAAGCCAGTTTCCTTGATCCGTGGGTACTGATCATTTCATTTGGTTCRTTGTTCCTTTGCTGCACTTTTAGTTTGATTTTCATCAGTAGCTTGTCTTTATTTGCCTGGACTGAACATTCTTCTTTCTTTACCCCTGTTCATTGCAAACAGCCACGAGGCAAATGTAGTCTCTCACAGCCTGGACCCTCTGTCAGCAGTCCAAATAGCAGGTACCTTGTTCTCCTGGTTTCCACACTGTTCTAGAACTCCAAGAGGATGATGAAAATGGTCCATGATGTAGGGAGGCCTGTACGTGGTCTGCCTCACTCATTTCTGCCCACACTCTTTCCTAGTAAATTGGAAGATGTATTTCTAAAAGGAAAGTACAAATCTGGACCTTACCCAAATTTTAGCTACACATAGTCCATCTGGTCCTTTCCAACAACGTGTACTCTGAGTGTCCACAAGGACTCAGTACGGCTGTGGCACAGCCACCTTTTGATTCATGGCAGACTTTCATCATCCTCTTTCTTTCTAGATTTTACAATAAGACAGGTAATCAATCAGTAAATTATTTTACCATTTACAGAACCCACAAATCTGCATAAAATATACTAACATCCCCAGCTTTTTATTTTATCTTCCTGTTTTATCCAGATTGTGGGTTTTGSCTTCTCAAAATGACAAGTCCTAATTTGGTGTTCTTCACTTAAAATTTATAAGCACCTTCTCCCTCTCTTCTGGCTTGCCCTAAAACGCCAGCACACTCAGCCACGCACCTTCCTCACACTTGGCAGACTCTTTCCTCTGGACCCAGGAGCAGTGCTCCCTAGAGCGGCTCTCCGCTGGTCTCCCTGCTCCACGCCTTGTCTGAGATCTGTTCCACAGTTAGCAGTGCTTTGCCTTCTCTGTCGTTGGTGTGATGTCTGTGCTCCTTCGCCTTTCCACTAATCAGCTCATGTTTCCCCAGAAAACTTTTTTTTTAATGAAAAAATTGTCCTTGAAGCTGGATTTTTCTTTTTTTTTCTTTCTTTCTTTATTTTTTTATTCTAATCCCAAGCAGTTTATTGGAAAAGTATTTGTCCCCCTGGAAACTCGATCTCCACTGAGCAGGAATCTAAATTCCTGGAAGGAGGGTGGGGATGAGGAAAGATAGAACTGTAAACCAAGTAAGAGTTTTAGTTTTCCAGCTGTGGCCTGAAGGACTGGCTATTTCATTTGGTCCATCAAAGTCTCGCAGAAAGGATTTTGATATTTTGATATGCTTTCACGTTTTAAGTCTCCTTTTACCATTTTTTTTTCCTTTTCCTTTTTGTTTGAAGATGATTTAGTGGAATCTTTTTTTCCTATCTCCATAACAAAATAATAGCAACGATATTTGGAGAAACTCCTAGGTACTTTGAAGGTGATCATGGACATCTGAGGGGGCTCTGATATTTACTTAGGCCCCTAGAGCAAAAGACAGTCGTGTACTATGGACAGATTATTGTGTTATATAATCTCTCTTCTCCCCACACATTGCTAATGTGCCATGAGCAGAGATGAAGAATATCCTCATAGCATTCCTTTGAGGAAACCAGAGAACAATTCTTTGGTCAAACCAAATGGTGGAGCTGAGAAAGTGAAAATCTCTTACCCTCTTATTCAACACTGGTAGAAATCACCTTATGGTTYCCAAATATCACATCTGTGGGCTCCCTCAGTTATTTTGGACAGTCCACAGATCTTTTGAAACATCAAACGCCCTAATGTCTCTTAGGGTAGCAGGAGCTTCCATGCACCTCCTCACAGGACTTTGCGGCTGGGACAGCCACCTTCTCTCTGCCACGTCCACAAGACGCCTTCAGCTCTGCTCTGCCCTGCACTGTTGATTAACATCTTTCTAAGCATTCAGCACAATGTCCACTTGGCTACTCGGGAGAGGGTGGAATACCAGAATGGTGTCCTTCATCAGACACCTTGGCAGACGGGYTATGGTTGAATGTTCCCAGGCTTCTCAACTCCTTGGTATTTTAGCTTGGATTCACCCAAACCTGAGAGTGAACCAGAGAGGCTCCAGGGGAGAGTGGACTTCACTCACAATCCATGCTGCCAGGGTGTCCCTTTACCTTGCAACTGGAGATACCTTGCATTTGATCTTGCACTGGCCCAGCACATTTGAAAGGTTAAGGCCGAAGCACAGGAGTTTAGAATGTTGCCCTCAGTTCAACAAGAACATTTTAGATACACACTTTTTTCTGAGAAGGAAAAGGGGCTTTGTTGAAAAAGCCCAGGTGTTCATTTGAAGAGAGTGGTCACTTACATATCTCCTGGTGTTTAAATAATATACCAGCCTGTTACATATTTTATTTTGACTTGATGGTGACAATTCTGTGTCCTCATTTAATATTCTAAACCTGCATAGGGATTGAGGCCAGTAGTTACTGAACACTTACTATGTTTAGGTCCTAGGCCTACATAATTAATATAATATTGTTTCTTTCATTAAAATACTTGTTGCACCAATAATAAGAGGCTTTCAGATAATTCCTAAAATTATAAGAAATTGAAAAAAAATCTGTGCACACACTCATAATAACTCATAATTTTCATGATTTTTATTTGAGGGTAAACATACCTTAGAAATGTGCTTCAAAGCAATGTTTGTGATGGTCCATCTGGTACAATTTTCATACATCGGACTTAAAATTTTCTAACCCAATCACCACTTCAAACCTCTACAGTTGATGAGTTGAAGTTGACACGTGGGAAGATTTCACTCCACTTTTCAGCAGGACAAAAAAATAATTGCTCTGCAGTCCAGGCACAGTGAATGATGATTTCATCCGAAAACTCAGAATTATAAAATGCAGAATTGCCGTGGACACAGTTAGTCTTTGGCACCTTCTGCACAGAAAATTAAGATGGAATGAGAGTGGCAAATGCTGGCTTAAACACTGAAAGGGAAAAGAGGCCTCATTTAAAAATCCATCCAAGGTGGTCAAATATATTTAAGCAAGCCAGTGGGTGTTTTTGCATGTACACTAAAGTCTTGCTCAAAGTGCTGTTCCGTTTCTCCTGGAATTTGTTTTCAAATCTTTTCTGTTGCACTTTTCCTGGGGATCTCTTTATTCCAAGCTTTCAAAGAGCTCAGCATAAAGCAGTTTGCCCTGAAGGCAGGGTGCCCACCCGTACTCCAAGGACAGCTGTAGGGGACAGGCTCCAAGAGGTATGTCTTTTGCTGTTTTGATTCAGTCCTTCCCAGTCTTTCTGGGGAACAAGTCAGGCAGTTGGAGAAATTTGTCACACTTTTGAAATCAATACTAGTCAATCAGGAGCGCTTCCTGAAAGCAGAGGCTGAATCCAGCCAACCCCCAGGGGCATGAGTCAACATACCCTTGGTATAATTATATAGATAATAATGACAAGTTCCTGACATCTATTTAGTATTTAATATGTTCTAGGTGCCATGCCAAGTGTTGTATGTATATTACCTCATCTAGCCTGCACAAGAACCTTATGGCACGTGAACCCAGGTAGGAACTCGGGTCTCTCCCAGGTTAACCCTGACATGTTAACAATACCACTCTACTGAAAGACTGTCAGTGGGTAGGGGGACTCACAGAACAGGTCCCCAGGCTGCCTGAGGTCGTGTAGGAACAGCCAGAATATTTAGTTTGAAATAAAAGGAGACTGGAGTCCTAAATTGCTTCTGGGAACTTGTCTTCTGAGCCACATATTTTTATATGTAAATAAACACTGCAGTAAACACTGCAGTTTCAAAGACTTATAAGGGGCAGGYAGCAAGATCATGGATAGCCTATTTGGGGACAGTGACAAAACAACAACACCTGGGCAGTTATTTACTCAGAAATTTGAAGGAGTGAGAAGAATGAGAAACAAATAAATATTTGCAGTAGAGGAGGAGACCATGTTTTCCTGGACAGAATTACCTAAAATACCTGCATTGATCACCTTCCTTGAATACATTCACATGTTTAAGTTTTCCTATCTAAACACCACCTGCATTTGCTTGCATGGACATGGTAAGATCAGTGGAGAATGACCAGTGATTAGTCAACAAGTCCCCAAGACTCTCAAAACTGGGGTGACCTTAGGTCCATAGATAAATATTAAAAATACCCTTTCACTTTGGGATCATTAATCTACTGGTGCTAAGATCTCTAGAACAGAGTCATCCTCAAGGAGAAGCAAATTTGAGCATGTTGAAACTGGTAGTTACCACAAGTGGATAGGGCACTTTTCTTGGTGGATGGACTAGATGTTTTTAAGAGCATTCAGCTGTGGGAACAGTCACTGACTGGGTACTGTCTGTTATCTTTGACCTTTTCTCAGCCCATTTCTGCTCCCTATGTTGGCATTCTTCAACATTAGAAGTCATGCACCAATTACATTTTAATAAAAAATTCTCTGATGCTGTTAAATGTGCCATGTCCTCCAAAAGCCTCCTTAACATGTGAGCCCATGTTCCCAAAATAGTGACCTTTCTAGTTTTTCTCAGGAGAGAATTAGTCAATGAACAGCCTTTGATGTGATCTTGATCTTTGACCTCATGGCTCAGGAGAGCTAATGATTGATAAAGAGGTGTTCTCCCGCTCTGTGGGTGGCATTAGCAACTCTATACACACCTGTCCATCACTAAAGTCTTAAATTGTCTCCTATTGAAAATGAATCAGTGAGATATTTGGAAATGAGATAGGATGGGGCCATTCTGTTCTAACTCAGCCAGTTACAAGTGGTGACTGGTGTTTGCCAAATCATATTTTCACATCAACGGAAGGAYATGCCAAAGAAAAACACAATCCAGAGTTTGTGGGTAGCTTATTCCACCTTTCTCACGATGTTTTGAAACAAACCATTGAAGCATAAACTGTCAGACTGAAATTATTTTAGGGCACTAGGGCATTGAGTTTCTTTGCAAACAAGAAAACTGAAGGCTAGAGAGATAATTTACTTGCCCGTGATTATACACCTGCCTGGAAAAACAATGTCCTTGTGTCCACACAAGGTGATAGGTGTGATATTCTTAGGCTTTCTGACTAGAGGCATTTTAGATACAAAGAAACCACTTTAAAATACCTTCAGATGCAAAGATTTCTTCTTTGCTTCTGCATGTGAGATACGTGGGTCATAAATTTGACCTTCATGTCTATAATTCATAATCCCCAACCAAAAAATCATGGCCTCATCAAGCGTGTGGTGGGCAGGGATTTGGGAACTCTGAGTTCCTGYTAGAGCTCTTCCTTTCGTCTTGATACTTGAGACAAGTCGTGTAGCTCTCGACAGAGTCCATGTTCTGGTCATTCACATCCCAGGCTTTAAATCTTGATTCTGGCTAGGTAAACTTGGGCCAACTGCTTTATTTTCCAAGCCATTTTTTTCATCACCTATGAACTGAAGCTAATAAGCCTCAGAGGTCTGCTGTGAGATTAAATGAGAGAATCCAAGATAAATGCTTACTTAAGAGTGTTGCCTAGCAATCTGGAGTATGAATGTTAACTATCCTTAGCTACTTATCTCCCAAATTAGGAGATGGATTAGATACTGTCTAAAGAGGCTTGATCTCAAGATGAGTATTTTATAATTAGATAGCTTGACATGCTTCTGTTTTCCCTTTCATTAGTAAGGTATATGACTTTTTTTTTTTTAATGCTCTACTATATTTCCACAAAACATACATTTTTTTTTTTCTTTTTTTCTGCTCTTCAGCTCACTAGGAACAGCTCACTGGTCTTACCATAGGATAGTTAAGCAATTCAACCACTAGATGGTGATTGAACTCTTGTAGSCTCTCAGTTGGGAGACTGTTAACACTGACAAATTAGAAGCCATAAATCACATAAGACATGGAACTGAGAAGTTGGAAGACCATCAAGTCTAATTTGAAGAGGTTGATGACAAGGTTGGCACTTAGAGGTGAACTCTAAGCAGGTTGTTCGAGGTTATGCCACCATTGGACGTGAGCTTCAGAAACAACAAAGTCCTCATATAGACCAGTCATTTTTTTTTTTCTCTCCATTACACTCCAAGAAGCATGCTTGGAAGTGGCAGAACAGAGCTGCTTGGGGCTTCTGCAGAACTAATCTCTCTCTCATGTTACTTTGATGGTTTAATAAAGAGTTTTGCGTAGTCCCTGTGTTCCCTTTTAAGGGGATTATATGTGTTTTTTATCTTAACACTTATTTTCTCAGGTGCCATTTGTCCCCCATGGATACTTGGGTAATCTGTCTTTAGAAATTAACAGCTAATAGGTGAGCTAAAATGCAGAGTATTCTTATGAGCCAAATCTGCAGTTACTAATGCAGTTTTTACATCTTCATATGTTTCCAACAGCCTCCCATTCGATGTCTTTACATTTAGTGCTATTAAACTATTAGGGAATTAATTCATCCTCAATGTGTGGGACTGTGTCTTCTTTGTACATCTGTTCTTTGTGCTCATGCTGTGTAGGTGTGGGTGCATACGAAACAACTCTTGTAATAGCATTTGTACCTTTCATCTATTCCACCAGTGACCAAACAAAATGCTAATGGCTACTCTCAAGAGAAAACAGGAGCACCAAAATCAGAAGCCACTTTCATATTCAATATTTCCCAGCACTCTTTAACATGAATACTGAAAATTTGTGCTTCCTCTCAAATGTACTATTTAAAAGGAAGATAAACACAAACTAGGAAATTTTGAGTCTAGAAGGGATTCAAGATGACAAACCATCCTCTCCAGAAAAAATGGTCTCCTTTTCCCAAAGCCACATAATTAGTGACAGGATCAGCCTGGAAACTATGTCCTTTAACAATAATTCTTAGATGGGTGCCATTGCTTTTACTTATTCATGTAGCTTTGGAATCCACTGATGTCAGGGCCAGTTGCTGGTTCAGTGCAAGATGAAGCCAGGTAGACTCTAAGTAAAGTTCCTTGGTTTGTGCCAAATGACCAGGACAGTTTTTRTCCTTGGGTGCAGATTTCAGCACACCCAGGATGGCTAGATGGGGTACTTTGTATGATTCTCTCACAACAACTAACTTTGCCTAACAATAACGCTGATATTTTTAAATCAAAAATGTAATGCCTCAAACATCTACACTTTAATTATCCTGGATCTCCTTAATTTATGCTGGAAAATGTATTTAGAGCATTTATTTTTATTGATAGAAAAAAATTTACCAAAATAAGGGATAAAAGGAATGGAATTTCAGCTCAGTTAGTTACCTTTAGCTAACTGACGACGTGGGAATTGTTAGTGCAGTTTCCAGAAACTCTTCCTTTGGTGGGGGGAGTCCTGGGCATACTGCTAAAGGATGGCCACCCACTGTCAAGTTTGCATGGCCCTTTGGCTTCCCGGAAGGTGCAGAAACAAAAAGCAACATCCACCTAATTCTTGAGTTATTTATGTTGATTCTTCTCTCAGGTCCACAAAAGGTGGCTGCGATTCCTCCCTTTCTGAGCTACGGCCAGCTCGGTCAGGCAGAGCCTTCCTGCTCAGAGTCCTCCGGGCGGCTCTCCCCCTTCAAGTCCTCCTGCTGCTCCTCGTGGGGCTCGCCTGCCTTGTACCAATGTCAGAGGAAGACTACAGTTGTGCCCTCTCCAACAATTTTGCCCGGTCATTCCACCCCATGCTCAGATACACAAATGGTCCTCCTCCACTCTGAATCAAGCAGATGCTGGCTGCAGAAGCGTTGGTAGCATCGGGAGGATTGGGCCAGCAGCAAGCCCAAACCATCAAAGGATTTGATCTTGATGAAAGCCCTCCATGTGGCAGCTTTAGCTCTCCTCCATATCCATGTGTGCAGACCACGGCTTCAGATGTGGTTGATACACAATGGCAGGAAGAGAGTAAATGGAAGGTTTCAAAGAAATAGTGTTCCAGACTCTGAGCCTTAGCACTGAAGTAAGGACATCCAAAGTTTCCTGGACTCATGAATTCTGGGCCATTGGCCCATTCAATGCATAGCCGAGGACTTCAGTAGACCACCTGGGCAGCTTTCCCATGGTGCTGCTCCACCCACCCAATCAACCAAGGACCCTTATCATACAATCTACCAACCAATCAGTGCTGAAGAGATTTTAGAACCTTGTAACATACAATTTTTAAGAGCTTATATGGCAGCTTCCTTTTTACCTTGTTTTCCTTTGGGGCATGATATTCTAACCTTTGCTTTAGAAGCACAAGCTGTAAATTCACAAGGCACTTTTTTTAAAGGTATAAAAAAAAACAGATGTAATAAATAAGATCATGGAAGGCTTTATGTGAAAAAAGTTGAATGTTATAGTATAAAAAAAGATATTTATGTATGTACAGTTTGCTAAAGCCAAGTTTTGTTTGTATTGATTTATTTGCATTTATTATAGATACTGTACAATATTTTGTCTGTGCTTTTTTTTTTTTCTCCCTAAAAAAAGAGATTCTAAATTTCATTATTGAGCAGGCACTGATCAGAATGAAACTTGATCTTCTTTTTGTGGGATGAGTGAAGATGGAAAATCAGTATGTATTAAAGGAAAAGGAAGCTTGGAAACAGTACATATTTAGACACAGAGGAACCCGGAGGATGGCTTTTTCCCTCTTCCTTCCACAGCCAATCAGATCTCATGCATTCCTGCTTCCTGACATCTTCACCCTCTCTTCTCCATTTGCTTTGCACAGTTGGAAGCACCTCCTAGGGACTCCTGCCCAAAGCCCATTCTCTGATCCATCCCAGGGGTATACAACGGCCACATGAACCTTCTTGAAGTCCTCTTTTGTTCCAGTGCCTTCTTTGGGCTGGGGATGTAGCTCAGTGGATGAGCACTTGCCTAGCATGTATCAGTTCTTGGGCTTAATCCCTGATACCAAAGAATAACAACAAACAAACAAAACAAAATAAACCAGGTTCCTTCTTTGCTACAAAAATCTTCTTTTGTTCATTGACTACCCATTAAGTATGATTTCGGCCTGTCATTCAAGTCCAAATACATAAGATTTTATTCTGCCCCTCTGACCTTGCCAACTGGCAATCCTTGTGGAACCATGTGATACTCATGGCATTTAATCTGTCATTTAATAATTTAAGGAGAAGGGTACACAAGACCCAGATTTCATGCTTCTCTTGGAAATAGAAGGCTCTAGCACCTTGAGCATAATACCCTGCATGGCAACAATGGCTGGGGCTTATTGGCTTGTCTTTAAGAACTGGAAGGGACCGTTTTCATTTGTGCTTATATCCCATCAACATATCTCATTGTCTGTAACAACCTGTAAGTAATTGAGTTTATAAAACCTGTTCTAAATCCAAGATGGAAACTAAACTGAGGTGCCCTGTCTTCCCAGGCTTCCATTCCATGAAGCATGAAGGTTGAGTGCCATCCCAGGCAGGCTCCTGAGGCTTCCAAGCTTTCAGATTCCTGGGCTCATATCAGTCCTCACCTGACCCCTGGGGCAGGACCTGAGAGCCTGCATTTTAAACAGGTGCCTGGGTGGCTTTATTCCTACCGTTGACAAGAATGCCCTATGTTTTCTTATTTCCATCTTTTTATTCTCACCTTCCCTTTGTTCTTCCCTTACGAGACTTAGCTGAAAAGCCGCCTACTCCATGAAGATTTCTTGGTGGATCTTCTATGGTACTCCAGACTCTTCTGAACCAAACTTCCCTCTGTGGCTTTTCTAGCATGTGGACTGTGCTTTCTACCTTCAGGCTGCACCTTTACTTTCCCCTACCTGTCATGCCCTCAGGAGCAACATTCTTTTATAAAGAAGACAAAACTATGCTTTATGTGTCCAGTCCTCCTGCTCTTGGAGAATGTCGATTGGAGTTGGAGGGTTCCTGTGCACCCATCCAAGAGGGTCAGTCCTCCCTCATTTCTCTGTCGCTCCTGGCCCTTAGGCCTGGAAGCAGAGGCCTTGTCCTGGAGCAGTTCCCCCTTCCCCACCACACCTTGCCACTGTCAGGGAACTCACCAATGTGGGGCAGGAGGCATGGAAAAGGTGAGCACAAAGGGACTTCCAAGGCACTTCTGCTCCAAACAAGGTAACTGACTTCCTTGGCATCTCCCGTCACTGAAGAATCCAACGTTGAATGTTGCAGAGAAAAAAAAATTCTTTTATTTTATATTAAGTTATTTTGTTTTTGCTGTGCTGGGGATCAAATCCAGGGCATCACATATCCGAAGCACATGCTGAGCCACTGAGCTACACCCCTGGCCCCTCTAGAGAAAAACATTAACTTTCTTTTTTAACTATACTGGGGCTCTATTGCAGTACACCTGCTCTTCATGTTCTCTACCACTGAGCTACATCTCCAACCCTTTTTCAAAATTTTATTTTGATACAGGACTCATTAAAGTGCTAAGGATAGCCTCAAATTTGTAATCCTTTTGTTTCAGACTCCCAAGTAGCTGGGATTGCAGGTGTATGTCACCATGCCAGCCCTAATTAAGAAAAATCTTAGAGTASAATTTTTGCCTTTCTAAAACCCTGTGAAATGCTCACTGGGGTGTTTGACCTGCATTTCCTTAATTTTTCTGAATACTTAACAGCACACTGGAAGAATAAAGAAGCAGGGACCCCTGGGGGATATAAGCACTGAAGCCCAGAGGTCAGGGCTTTCCCCAGATGATATAGCTCATCCCAGGGAATAAGGGCCATGCACGAGACAGATGAGACCAGGGCCTTTGTCGGAGGCCTCACAACCTCAAGTGCCTTCTGAAGGAGGGGCCCCGGGTCCCCTTAGGAGCATTGTCCCCTACACCCAGCAGCTCCCCTGGCAATGGAGAGAAGGATGTGTACATCAAAGACTTCATGGAGAAACAGCATTTTAAAAGAAGATGAAGAACACTGATGGCAGTTGAAGGGGCTCGTGTTTCTATAGCAAGGACTGTCAGGAGCTCTATTGTGGCCTGCAGAGCAAGAATAATGTCCCAAGTGTATGATGGGTAAGGATAGGCACCATCAAAGAACTACCAATTGACCGGAAGGCGGGGAAGGGAAGGATAGTAACATTTTGGTATTGAGATTTTCACAAGCACACAAGAATTATTAGAAAAGGTGGACACAGAGAGAATTCATAAAGTGAAGCTGCAAATTAAAGGCTTAGAAACTAAAAGTAGTGACAATAAGAAATCCAGGAAGGAAGGAAAATTGTGCCCGAGGAGCAGGAACAGGCCTGGAAGATTGGGCAACAACAAATCCCCTTGTTTTTTTTAAGAAGTGAGAAGAGATACCTTCAAAAGACTCAGAATGGAAATTCAGCAAACTGAGGGCAGAGATTTATTGTAAGAGGGCAGGTTGGGATAGACTGATTTATAGCCTATACCCTGAGACCACATATTAAGCAATTATAGCTAAGAAATTTTATTGGCAAGCCATATAAAAGATTATAAAGCAAAGAATATTGGAGAGAAATAATTTATCCAAGCTAATCATGGCCAGAGAAGCAGGGCTTCCAAAGGAACTGAGCTGGGTAAGATTCAGGGCAGTGCCATGGCTGGATTCTTTGCTCTGTGCCCAGAAAATCCACCCTCCTCATCACCAATCAACTCCAGGCAATTGCACACCCATWAAAATAGTCCCAGAGCACATGTCAAATAAGCCCAAAATGCCTGGGAAGAGCAGCATCCAGTAAATGGCACTGTGTGGCCTGAACTGCTCTAAGATCCTSAGTCTCAGCCAGGACCTCACAACTTCTTGTTAATTACCCATTTGAATGGGTAATTACATACAAATTTCCTCTCCTCTTAACTTTCTCATCCAATTGATGTCAATGTAGGATGTATTTTTAAAAAGAATGACTGTCCRTCTATGGAAACAGGGTGGTTTACAAGCCTAGAGCCAATTTTCTGCTTAGCATGTGCAGCACTAAAATGATAATTTGGGTGAGGAAAGGAAGGATTCTGTTGGGAGTGGTTATTGCAATTTTAGATTTGATAATACATTGGGATAACTGTAGTTGATCATTATACCTAGAGCAACTCAGAGATAAAGAAACTGAAAAGGAATGACTTGCATTCTTCAGTTCCTGGCTTCTCCCTAACCTCTCCCATGGAGTTGCACAATGTCCAGCAGGAGGCCACTGGGACTATCACAGAGAGGCCTGAAATAGGGACCACCTCCCTTTCAGATGAATCAGTAAAACTGGGAAGACCAAGGGCACTTACTGGAGTCTCTGCTGAGCAGCTTCCTGCAGCCTCTGGAAAAAAAAATGTGATCTGAAAAAATGTGCTATATATGTGTAATATGAATTATAATGCATCCTGCTGTCATATATAACAAATAAGAATAAAAAATAATTTTTTWAAAAAAGTTGAGAATAGATCATAAAAACCAGGCAATGAATGCACTACTATCCAAGCTGAACCATGAGGAATGCTGAATCTGGGAGCCAAGGAGGCCAGGTGGGACTTGGGAGTCATCTTTCTAAACCACGAAGGTCCTGGGAAAATGAATCAGCCTTGCAAAACTCTTCACCTGTTACTCAGTACAGTCATTAGAACATAAAAGAATTTGAAGCCACAATTGTATCAAAACAAAGTCCCTCATAAGCTGTGCCATAGACACTGCATTGGATGCCATAGGTAGTCCAGAAGAAATCTAACTTCCCCAAAGAAGATGCATACCAGGGCCTTGAAGATGTGCACTCCAGGCCAATTCTGAACCCTGCTGGACACAATTTTGAGGCAGTCATTGGCTCAGAAGGCAAAGCCACCAAGTAGTTGGAAACATGCACAGCAGTTTCATGAAGCTACCTCCATCCCTAATCCACAGTTTTAGGCAGGAACCCAGCACAGCCCACCTCCTCCGCCTGCACTGCACCTTTCTGTGAGCTGTACAGATTGATGGGGAGCTGCAGGAATGCAGGTTGTCAGAGGTTTCCTAAGTGCAGTTCCTAATCAGAAGCACCTGTGTCACCTTGGGTTCTAAGATGGGCTTCCAGACCACTGCCTGCCCCAGATTGCCCCATCCTAGAGCCCTCTAACCCTCCCCCTGACTGCCATGGCAAGTGGTATGAGCAAGTTTCCCATCTTTCCCCATAACTCTTAACRTCAACTTCAACAACCAGTAAGTTTCCACATGAATCTGGATTTTCAGTTTGGACTCTGTCCTGTGCTGTTGATCTGTCTGGCCATTGCAGTGTATATAGTATAACTGACTATAATGATAATACATATGAATAATATACAAATACAGTAAAATGCCCAAGTCAATAATACAAATATATAACACAAATATGTTGTAACTCTCAATATACTAGTATCATATGTTGGTGACTCTAGTGTAATCGTTAATAATCTTAGGACAGGCACCATTTCTCTTTGTATATGTGTCCATTTAAAATTAACTATTTTAATTACAAAAGATTCTCTTCTAAAGATAAATTTTTTTATCATTCTCTTGATCATTTTCCAATTTTATGTTACCTTTCTATTGCCTTTTTACTTTTCTCAAACAACATACACAGTTGTTTTTAATCAGGGCTATTTATATTATTCAGTG